AAATTCAGAATTTCAGAGAAAAAAAATAGCGGGAGAATCTTCCTTCTTCCTCACTCGAATGTTCATCCCTCGGAGGTTTGATTTTTCCTTTGAACTTTCAGACGTGATCAAAAGTTCTGGTCTCGACGTCCGCTCACGGACGACATGATCTTCCACGCTGCTTTCGACGTGATTTGCTTGAGCGCTCCCTCGGTTGTCGAGAACCTCAGATCGGCCATACGAGAAGAGAGTAATAATCTCATGGAGGACCTCTGTCAGGAGCAAATACATTCCTACATCCAGCCTGACGAGGTATGTAGGTCGTCCGGAATCCTGCTCCCTAAACATGAATGAGCCTGGTGATTCTGTCCGAGCTCATGCTCATTGCGCTCGATCCTTCTCTCATAGGTGAAGTTGAAAAAGAAACAACGGAAGGTGGATCATGAGGTTGCGGATCTCCGAGCTCGACTGAGCGGTAACTCCGTCAAACCCATCGTACTATCGAATCGGGAGATTCGCTTATTGAGGTACATTGAGTTAACGGAGGAGGAGATAGCCAAGATTGAAGGATCACCTAAAGTGGCCAAAAAGCTCGAGAGGCTCCGTAATCACGGAAAAGAGGATGAAGATGAGGGCGAGGAAGACGATGACCCTGATGACGATGATTCCGAGGAGAGTGATTCCATGTCACAGCCACGCTCAGGTGACTACTGGAGCTACGTAAGTGACGAACCCTCATCCCTGACGGCAGCTTCGCACACGACCACCGAGCCCGTCAGCTTCAGCGTGAACAACAATCTCGACAGCATCGGTTCAAACCTCTCGAATCTGTCGAATTCGTCTTCGGGATGTTGTTGTCAGTGTCATAGCAATGGTGCTGCCCGGACCGGCAACGGCATTGGCGGCGGAGGAGGGGGAATGGGCGGCGGAGTTGGTTCGAATAATGGAAACCGCTCGGCTGGAAAAGAACGGCTAAAGCCGGCTGTCGACACAAGCCCACCTCCTAGTGCAGCCCCTGTCGAGAACAACGACTCTTCCACGTGCAATTCCCCCAAATTGTCGAACGGGAACCAAGAGAAACCGAGGTCACCGGGTTGCACGGTCGATGAAGGCACGCAAACTCTTTCGACAGGTAAGAACACATACCACATCTTCTGGAAGGATATCGATGAACGTTCCAGGATCGATCAGTTGAGAAGGGTTGATCTGAGAGTTTCCGACTCACTTACAGGAGATGTTGTCATCACAAGGGTGTACTTCGAGGAGGCCGAGCATCACGGAACGCCCACTGAGGGCAACGAATCGCGTGCGCCAAACGGTCCGGCTCCTATACAGCTGGTAGCTTGAGAAATGAAACTCCGATCAGGATCTCCCTATTGATCGAAGACTTTCGGTCGGTGGGGATGCTTCCGCATTAGATAGCGCAGCTCTAGCCCACTCGCCCGCCTGCTCGTGAGCGCTGTCCCTTGACCACCGATGAGGATCCACCCCGAATCCCAATCACGCATCAAGCTATGCGGATGATCAATTGACTTCACTCCAAGCTCCTTAGACTCTTAGCATTTAATGGTATTCCACCTTTTTACCCCGAGTTGACAAAAAAATCGCAAGGCGAGCGCGCCGTTGAAGAACGAGCCTTTAGCTCCTAGTTGGACTTCAGCCAGCAGCATGGAAGAGGCACGAAATCCGGAGATAGCGATGGACGAACGGTCTCTACAGAACGATCGATAATTCTGTTGCCGTTGTGAAATGTGAATATCCCCCAAGTGGTTCCAAATTCCGTACGGGGCTCGGAGACCCCTTCGCACTATCGGATGCTTGAAATTGGATCGGTTGTTCCGCAACAAATTGCGGGACGATCGCTTTCCTCAACGGATAAGTTTTCGGTACCGGAAGTTCCCGGATACATCCGGGATATTTCGTCGGGAACTTCCATAAGAGGATTTCGATAGCGTTCTGCACCACGTTTATTCCAGTATTGTGAGAGTTTTAAGAGAAGAACACGGTCACCGGCTGGGGTTTGCTCTTGGTTCAGGCTTCCCAATAACATACAGACACAGCGTACGGAAACGAGTGCGCTATTTTCTTCACGAGGTTCTCTAATCCTAATAGTCTGTTGGTTGCCGGAGTGATCTCCTCTCCAGGAGATGCTCTCGTGGCCGCAGAAGCCATTGAGTTGTAGTGTTTTCGAGGAAATCGCGAGTTACTCCGTGTGGGAGCGGCGTTTCTCGGGATGGCGAGCTTTGTTGGCGCACCTTATTCACCCAAAATACCCGCCCACACCCCGATAGACAGCTTTACAAAAATTTCGACGACTGAATACTGCGGAGTAAGACGTCGAAGTTGACCGCAACGACGACTTGATTCGTCCTGTACCCTTGTTGGATTGTGATCCGTCGCGATGTACGCAACGAGGTATACAAATATCTTTGTGAGTGAGTCGAGCGTTTTCCGAGTGTCTTGCAATCTTGTGAGAGGCTTGGCAGGAAAGCGAACGAAGACTGAAACTTGATACAGTAGCGAGCAAGGAAGCATTGGCTCGAATGTGATATAAGCGGTTGGTTGACTGGTGACCCCGGTGACTCAATCGATTCACGACTCATTTACGGCGTCTGATTGACTGATGGATTGAACGGTCGCGGTGCTTCGAGTACTTAGAGACTTTGAGAAGTACAGTGGGCCGGAAGGAAAAATGAGCGATAACAGCCGAACAAGTTCCTGTGGCGCCGGCTGCTCCGCGATTCTCTGAGCCACTGCGTTGATGACCTCATCGTGGGATTCGAAATGGAATCATGTTCGCTCGGACAACGACTGTGCGGACACTTTGTTTTGTCTCACATGGGTTTTATGTTTCTTCACATAAAATATCCCATGTTTTGGACGTACGGGAGACTACATGACCCCGAGGTGAAAGATAGAAGTCCTCCGATTTTATGTTTAGGTAATCGACGACAGCACCAGCACGGATAGGCGAACACCACCACCAGCGGCACTTTCCCGACAATTGTCAAGACCTACCGCTCGAGTCTTGTGTTGGTTGAAGACGGATAGTGTACAGATTGTAGGATTCACCGATCGTAGTAAGACGTGAACCGTTTCTCAAGCAATACATGACCAGAGAAGGGCGGAACAGATGTACGACGTAGTCTTGTATATTTTATACAGCTGAATACAGTCAGTACATGCTGAGGGGCTTTTTTTACTTCTGGCACACAGCAGCTTCTGGGTTGGTGCTAGATATACTTGACTTCCCTGTTTGACACAGGATCCAGATCTTGACGACATGGAACGGAAAGACGTAATAAAAAGAGTAAAGATATAGCACAGTGTTTTCACTTCATAAGAATGGGGAGCTTTTCCGATTTCTGAGTGTATCGTCCGCGACTGAGGAAAATGCACGCGAAATTCTACAGAAGACAACCATTCGATTTCCAAGTTCATTCGAAGTTCGATTTTATTCACAAGAAACACAGCCTATTTGACCCTCTTCGCCGCGGAGCGTGTCACTCTTCTGGGAGGAGTATCGGTTTTCGTCTCTCCTCCGGAAGCCTCGTCGCCGTTTTTCTGACCTTTGATTTTACGTACGGCTTTCTTCGTCGGTCTATTTTCTTTTTGCTTCTCGAGTTTCTTCTCGGGAGCTTTGTCTTCCTCTTGCTCTTCGTCGACCACCATACCTTCATCCTCATCTTCGTCATCATCGTCATCACCTCCATCATCATTTTCATCGTCCTCGCTTTGCTCGCCTCCGTCACTACCGCCTTCCTGGATCGGAGTTTGCGGAATTACAGATTTCCGAGCTCGCTTCGCTTTATTGTGTTTCGCTTTGGATTTTTTAACCTCGAGTGCACCGCGACCCTCAACCTCACGGAGAACCCTGAAACATGAAATCGGGTTAGATATCAATCAGCACGCAGACCGACTTTGCGAATTTGAATCTTTCACTAGAATTTGTTCCCTTCGGCTATTCATGCTCACCGGAAGGATCCATCTTTCTTCCAAACACACTCCAGTGTGATATGGAACTCCGCCATCTGGATTCCCTTGTGTTTCAGGACATCGGCCATCTCAGGGGTGAGGACATCTCCTTCGTTGCACACGGTGAATTCATTCGTTAGCTGGATTTTACCACGAACGAGCCTGGTGGGTAAGCCGAGTCGACGGAATTGCGGTTCCATGGAGTGCGGAAAGTCATCGAGATCATTCTCTTTCAGGACCACTGTTTCTGTAGCGACGAAGCCAGCTCTTGCGAAGTCTGCTTCTCTGAAGTCCTCGAACCATGCTAGGACTTCCTCTTCAGGTTGTGATGTTAAAAGTAGGCCGCACTGACCAAGAAGCCGCTCTGAAACCTTCGGCGAGAGGGTTATTCCGGAAAAAAATTCATGCCTCCGTCGAGGAGAAAAATCTGATGAGTTCCTCTGCCTCTCAACAACCCACCTTGTGTATGTTGTCAGCGATCTCATTCTCAGCGTTCCGTCCAAGGGCGAGCTGTAGGACCTTGTTTTTACCCATGATGAATTTCGAAGTGCCTTTCCATTCCTCTCGGACCTCTTTTAACTTATTATTTCTCATATTCTGTATTGAGAAAATGTACACCGAATCATATTGGTCGAGGGCTTTGCGAATCTCCTGGAAAGCATACACAGAAAATCATAAACGAAGTCATCGTGGATATTCCCAGTCTGAGGCGAATGGCTCGTAGCGGGAACTGCATACATGTTGGACCAGGAACTCGGGAGCCTTGGGTTCACTCAATCAGATCAATGGAGATCACTCACCTCAACAAGTTTCTGCTTGTGCTCGAGACCTTTCCTCTTCGCCTGAGTCAAGGAAACAACACGATTCCTCTTCGAAACTGGCATCTCGGTGATGCGGAGAAATCTCGTATATAAGGTAGAGAAAGCGCTATACACAAATCGAATCCTTGGAACAAGTCAGAAACACGTGCGCGGGTATCAGCAGACAGCCGACAGCGCTAGCGGAGAGAGTTGAGCGGCTCCGAGGAGAGAGCGCGAGCCCGCGTCGCTTCGAAAATCATGACCGTGAGGAACGTTTGTTGCAGGTTCCGCAAGATTCTTTTCCGGATTTTCGTTCAATTCGCCGCCCGACAGCAAAGAACCAGGTCCACGCGGGTAAGTGTTTGGGACCATCCTCTGCTCGGATGCGGGGCGGACTTCCGGCGACAATGTAGTGATAGCGGAGATGGTCCGGGGATGCCTTGCATAAATAGGGCAGCATGTGTCTTTACAACATGAGTTTATTATAACATAAATACAGGGGAAGTCGTGTTTTTTTCTCACACAACGAGTCGATATGAAATGTATCTTCCAGCGGTTTCGGAGTTCCGAATGATTTTTACGACTTGACCTCTCTTCAAGCCGTAGTATCGAGCGACTGGATCGCCGGCTTGGATCCTCATCAAATGATTCTCTTTGAGCTTGCTGCAAAGAGCGATTGTTCCGTCAGTTCACTTCGAGGTCGATGCCAATATCAAAATGAATGGTGACATCAAATAAAGTATAATGATTAGTAGGACGCCAATACTCACTATCGCGAAAGCAATTCAGTTTTCTCCTCTGGGGTCAAAACGACATGTTCCGGAACTAGTTCGTGCTCGATAATGTTTATCAGCAGCTCGCTTTCGAGGAAATGCTCCAAGATATATTTCGGTGCCATGTCACCTAGAGCTTGTCTCGCAGAGGGCGTCATTCCAGCTTGAACCACGATGATGGCTCTCGAAATGTTCTCTTCCTGCATACGCTGACAATAGGTTTTTATGGTTTTGATTCCGATTTTGGCTTCATCCGGGAAGAACACGAACATCTGATCGGTAGGGTCGTCATTGTGAGAGACTAGAACAACAAGATCCCCCCTAGCCGGGTGTTTGTCTGAAGGCTTGTCTCCGAACTGCTCCTTGAAGCCTTCGAGATCCTGGTCCAACTCTTCCTGGGTAACCAGGTAGCCTCGATCATGGCATAGCTGAAAAATGAATTCGTCATGTAAGACCCGAGAACGTTCACTTCTCTCAGCCTGATCTTTTCCGAAATTCGCCATGGCGCTTCTCCAGTTGCTTGATGAATTTCCCAGACTGAAGACGAAGAATGCATCGAGCATCGACTATTGTGTCAAGAATGGGATCACAGAGACATAGGGCTTCCGAAATTGGACTTGGAACGTCTGCCGTTCGAGAGATTTCATCACGCTTGCGAGGAGGACAGCTCCTCGTTTCCCGCAGCCGCGATCTGGTCGGAAGGAACCATCGTCGAGCTAAGCATAGGCCCGGAGATTTCCAGATCAGAGACCAAAGCGAACAATTTCGAAACATATCGACATATATTTTGAGAATGCGCTGAGACTCCAACGAACAGCGTGCCCCGAGCGCCGCGCCGCGGGAAACGAATTACCTGCATGATGGTTTTCCGGATTCTCCACAGCTTGTAGGTTTCTGCCTCATCATCCATGATGGAAAGATTGCTTTACGCCCTCGGATGAAAACCCCAATTGGCACAACACTACGATGTCTCTAAGTCAGGGCCGGCGTGTGTTGTGTTCTTTCGAACATGAGCTTCGATTCGAAGAGCTCTTTGTTTTCAAAGAGGGCGCTGGACTCGTCCTCCTGTGGAAGTCCCTCTCCACTTCGCTCTATCCACCAGTCCACCACCGGCTCAACACGTTCGCGAGACCCACGGACCCCACTTCTTCTGAAGATCATCGGAATTCTACCCATCTGACTGGAAGTGATTCCGCACCTCCCGATTAAAATGTTCTCCAACCGCGTTGTGAGTTTATTGGACACCGAAAAATCTTCTCAAGACTCGCCGATCCCTCACGCACAGTTTGCCGGCGCGGCGTTTTGTCAAAATCGAAAGATGCGGAGCGATAGCTCTCTTCGTTACTCGAGTCCCGAAGTCTCGACTCTACGTATCAGAGAATCGGAAAATCGACTTGGAAATGTTATCCGATCTCTGCTAGATCGCAACCCTCATCTTAGCCGTTTGTCTGGAGTATCCTTTTCCGTTTCCGGAGTTCTCGGGGCGGCTCATAGGTCAGGATCCGGTCAAACTCTAGGGACATTCCATATTAATCGAGGAGCAGCTTCTCGAAGTTTTTCGTTCTCCGGCAGAGCGGGTCCCTGAAATATTTAGCAGAAACTGGGCCCGTTTGAGAGGTATCGAGACGACCGGGAAGAACTTAGGTAGAATCGTCTGCGGAATCACTGCTTTTTTCGCCTTCATATCAGTCGCTCCTCTGATCGAGCCCAAGTTTGATCGTGAACGGATGAAGGGATCCCCCATGGGAATCAAGGAGAACGTTCACTCACAAGTCTTTTTCCCCACAGGGTTCGCTCCTGCGAAGTGGACTCCGCAACTTACACAGGAGCGTCCCCGCTCTGAATCCAATGGTACCCATCGTGATTGAGCAAACTGGCCGAGGAGAACGAGCATACGACATTTATTCGAGGCTCCTCAAGGAGCGTATTATATGCCTAATGGGACCCGTAAGTGACCCCCGATATCATGCCGGGCAACTTTCTCGACAGAGACCGTGAGAATGATGAGTTTCCCGCATTATATTGGGATCGAGCGAAATCATTTTGCAAGGAATGATAAATCTGATCTCTGGGAGCAAAGTAGGGAACTGCACTCGACACGGCCCTGTGGCTTGCCCGAACACATCGGGCTCTGTGTCACGGCATGATATTTTTCGTCCGGCATCTGACTTCCAGTTGATACTCACAATCAGTCTTCGCGGTCCCCATGCCAAACTCGATATCCCTTGCATGACTGGATCGGTTTTTCGTTTCGCAGATTAACGATGACATCGCCAGCCTTGTCGTAGCACAATTGCTTTTCCTTCAATCTGAATCGAGCAAGAAGCCCATACACCTGTACATAAATTCACCTGGAGGGAGCGTCACCGCTGGTCTCGGTATCTACGATACGATGCAGTACGTTTTACCGCCGATATCCACATGGTGCGTCGGACAAGCTTGTTCGGCGGCGTCTCTACTGTTGGCCGCTGGAGAGCAAGGTTCGTACTACGATTCGCGAATCGAACTCCTGTTGATTTACCTGTAGGAATATTCGGGAGTCTTCCTTTCTTCTGAAAGAGATCTATGCGGTCGGATCACAGTGACAAGGAGCCGAGCCCTCTTCCTTCCAGGGATGCGACATTCTCTTCCAAACTCAAGAATAATGGTACATCAGCCATCTGGGGGGGTGAGCGGACAAGCCACCGACATTCAAATTCACGCAGAAGAAATCCTTTACTTGAAGAAGAAAGTCAACCGTATCTATGCGAAACATACGAAACAGCCAATAGAAGCCATCGGTGAGGGGAGCTTCTAATATTGATTGCTGGGGACCTAGCTGCGGATATGCGAGGTTCGCTGCTCTATTGAATTTTTCCTAATTTTCCAGACTCCATCATGGAAAGGGATCGATTCATGAGCCCCGAGCAAGCCAAAGACTTTGGTCTGATAGACACTGTCCTGGAACAGCCCCCGGCAGTCAAAGAAACTCGAGGTTTCGGAGGAAGTTCGGAATAATTGGATGCATCGATTGTTTTAGGAAACGAATCAGTGAACGGTGTTTCAGAGCTGACCTGATGCTCTCAAGGTGTTCCACGAGGAATTCGCTCTGGGATACCTCCTCAATAAACTCTGTCGTTCTAGTTTTGTGAAGAGAGCCTCCCGGTGATTTTCTGACCGTGATGGTGCTTCGAGAAGGCGTTGGATACCTGTGTCGGAATGTGACTCCTTTTCTGGAGGCAGTAGGTTCGCGAAGTAAGGGGAATGCGCGCCTTTCAGCTTTGGCACTCGCTCGAGCCACGGTGCAGAATTCGGAAATTCTTCCGGCCAGCGAGGGTGTCGAAAAACAATCCCGCGAGGGGTGCCGACCCCACCGGGTGGCAGAGACGCTCTCAGGCTCGAGCCCATCAAACTCTAGATACGCTGAATGGTATTCACCCTCCTCATGCCAGTGCATGAATGTAGATTCCGGAGCCCCGATGTATTCGAAGGACGCTCATGCAATAACTCCGCCCTGCGCATCGAAGCATTCCCCGTCCCTACTCGTTGAGAGAAATTGCCTAATCCGCGAGCAATAGCTCTGTCTTGGCCAGGGTAGGGGGTTCTCCAGGCTTAATTGGGTAGCTCGGAAGAAAATAGACCGCTCATGATGCGAGGACTTCCCGAACAATCTTAGATATCATACTCAGTGGAAAAGTTATGGGAAGAGTGGATTTTCTTTCGGCAGAATCGCCCCTAGGCACTGTGGGATCGATGGGTCCGGGGCACGTACGACTCCTGACGTGTTTCAGGCGAGATAGAGATTGAGTACCGCTGGTCTAGGTGAAAGCTTCTTGCAGAGAAAACCATCGAATTTTCTGGGCGTGACAAGTTTATTCCCACGGAATGGGGACTCCTCACAGCCTTGGGAACCTCAGTCAGATGAATGGGGCCCTATGGGGTCAGTGTTTATTCCGCAATGGTGACTTCGACCTTAACACCGGATTGCAGGACGATATTTGTGATCTGCTTGACGATCTCGGCCGGCGAGTGAAGGTCGATGACACGCTTATAGATTCTCATCTGGAACCTGTCCCAGGTCTTGGAACCTTCTCCGCAGGGGGTTTTGCGGGTGGTGATTCGCAGAGTCTTCGTCGGCATACGCATCGGTCCCTTGACGGTCAGATGCTTTTCCTTGGCCGAACGAACCAAATCGGCACACATCTTTTCGAGAGCGCGCACATGGTGACCGGACAGCGTGATCCTTCATGGGAGAAATGCTCAGATTAGAACTCTCGAATAGGAAGATTTTCCGGGCACCTATACTTCGACACATCGTTCAGCCCGCTTCCGAGCGGCACATCCAGCAGCACAGGACGCACCTGATCTTGTGGACCGCTTGCGGCACCGCTTCCTCGGCCTTCGGGTCTTTGTAGGCAGACATGTTCTATCAGAGAGAAATCTTGCGGAATTCTAGCGTACTGGCCGAGATATTCGTGAAGAACAGCGCTGAGCCAGGACAACACGTGTACGGCGAACGGTAACTTTCGCGAAAAGGAAACAACCCTCCAAACACGTCGACGAATCGAAACCACCGGCGGTGGAGCTAGGCGCCAGATTCGAGTTCCGTTGATGAAGATGCTCATCCACCCCGATTTCGAATTCTAATCCGCGAGTCCCGTGATTGCTGTTTCTCAGAAGCGAATCACAGGAATTTTCAGCCCATTAATGAGAAATTGAGCGATTGGGGGTTGCGTGCACCCTCTGTTGGGAGAGGATGAGCATCGCCAGTGCTTAAAACGAAATGCGACGCCATCTTTGGGCACTCAGCGTCGTCTCATTGTGCGAGCAAGTCCTCCCAGAAACCACAGTTCCTGCCGACAAGTTCCGAAAGCACCATCTGATACTCCTCCACGTATTCAACTGTACATCATCTCCGTATTCAAAACTTCGCCGCACGGGATCCAGGAGCGCTTGTGTGTGTTGTGATAATTTTTCTTTGCGTAAACGACGACCAGAAGAGAGCCAACTCAAAATGGTCGACAAAGTGGATATGTCTCTCGATGATATCATCAAGTCCAACCGTTCGTCCTTCAAAACTGGCCGAGGAGGCCGCGGTGGACCCCGTCGGGGTGGAGGAGGCGCTCGTCCCAGAGGCGCTCGAGCTGTGGGCCCAGCCCGAAAAGCCTTCTCCACCGGAGCGGGCAGAAAATTCGCCCCCAAAGTGAGTATTGCTTTCATTGCGCCTTCGGAGCAGTCTTGGATGCTCAACCGATAGGCCTACGAGTGCGCAGAACTACACTGACCGTGCTATCGTTTGCGACGCTCGTCGATCTGTTGAATCGTCAGCTTGACGCGCTGCTAAGAGTCCGGCTGCATGGCTAGCTGGCCGGCAAGAAAATGGCGACCGTTGCCTCGAATTGCCGTGTGTGGAAGCCCCCTCAAGTCCTGCTCGTGATGGCGACTCGCTCGGTTGTAATTCGATATCGATATCGGGGAAAACATCGACGACGGCGCTGGCTCAATCTACTGGAACTCGATCGGCGGCACTGGTCTTTTCCCCGGCGACTCTGGGCGCGGCAGAACGACTCCGGCCGCGCTGTTGCCTGCCGGTCTGACCATCTTCGTCATCCAATCGCGAGATGCGCACAGTCTACTTTGTCGTCAACCCTTGATCGGGAGATTACGAAATTGTTCCCACCGCAGTCGGAAAAATGGCGTGTGCCTCCAAAGCGAATTCCACAATGTGGCCAATCCTTGAACCGCGTAGCTTCGATCCGGCTATCGTTTTCCCCTGAGCTTGTGGCAACAGCGGCATCATCACGGTGCTTCTCGTTGATGAGGATGTCCATGGCGCAGGCAGCTGGCTCATCTGCCGAATGTTCCAAAGTCACTTGAGGACTATCGATTTCTCGCGCATTGTCGAGCCGGCACGACGCTCGACATGACTCGTCGTCCTCGTAGGCTTCTCGTAGCTGATGGATATCCATACGGCGGATGTCAGGTAATCTCGGCCGCGACGGCCGACCAGCGTCTAGGATCGCTGTGATGATGATGATGATTACGTCGACGGCGTTTGTGAATTCTACGGATGATCGGCGCGTAGCCCATCGCTCGATCACGTCCTCAGTCTGCCTCATCGACCCGTCTTCACCTGGCGGAGGGAAACTCGCGTACGATGATGCAAAGCTATTCAATGAGACCCGAGTTGAATGACGAAAACACTCGGATGAGGTTCCGTACCAGACTCGTACGTTGCTTCGTCACGTGCACGTTTCGAAGGATTCTCTCCTGTCACTGCTCAGAAACTCGCATGGAGTCGGTGAGCTTCATCGCTCGGGATGGATTAAGATCAACAAGTCTTCGTATTCTACCTAGGGATCGCCAGCAAAGAAAAACAATGGATCGTCCGGAGATCGCTGGCAGCATGATAAATTCCGCGGACCTGCCGCAAACGGAACAGCACCTAATCGTGATGGCTCTTCGAAGCTGACTATCAGCAACCTACACTATGGAGTATCAGACGCCGACATCAGGGTGCGTACCATAACGGACAGCAGTGAAACCGTTCAGCAGCTGCGTTCATCATCAGTGGAGTGTGCTGGAACGTTCCGGATTTTAATGTGTACCTTCATCCGTAGGAACTTTTTAACGAGTTCGGAGCCTTGAAAAAAGCTGCGGTACACTACGATCGCTCCGGTAGAAGCCTCGGCACGGCCGACGTCATTTTCGAGCGCCGCACCGACGCCTTGCGCGCAATGAAACAATACAACGACGTTCCGCTGGACGGTAAGTTCCGCTCTCTCTGGACTCCGATTGAGGAGAATATTTCCCCCCTCACGGGGACATGGCGCGTATCCCTAATAAATTGCGTCAGGGCACATGAACATGATTCTAAAGAGCTCCCTTCATACCCGCAGGTCGTCCGATGAAAATCGAAATCGTTATAGACAAGCCTGTCGCAGGCGGCAAAGTTCTCGCCGGCCGTATCGGGAAGAAACCCGCAGCCCCTGTGAGGCCCCAGGCACAGAGACCCCAACGAGGCGGAGGACGCCCCGGACGACAAGGAGCAGGCCGCGGAGGTCGGGGCGGCGCCGCTGGCGCCGGAGCCAAGCGAGCTCCGGCGAAGAAGACTCCCACCAAGGAACAGTTGGATGCCGAGCTGGACGCATACGTTTCGAAGATGGACACAAATTGAGAAACTGATCAAATGAGGAGGATCATCCCAGTTTCAGACTCGGAAAAGGCTTCATTGTACAAAAGCTATTATACTTTGTAAATTTGAAAGTAGACTCATTACCCTTAAAATACAAACAACCACAACAACCACGCCCAGTATGAGGAAGTATTCGACGACTCTTATCTCTTGTCCGCACGAACGATGTTTTCTCTTCTTCTACTTGAAATCAGGGAAGCTCGACCAGGGGGTTCGGTTGGGAGAAACTATTTCCATCGAGAGACCTGTTCAGGGCGGGGACCATGTTTCGCGGGTCGAAGCCACAGCCAAACTTCGAGGTATCAGGTATCATCGATTGGGTTCCGCTTCGGCGGTCGGAATCTGAAGGCTTCCCGGCGCGGAAATCTGACCGGCAGCAGGATCATTTCTTTCCCGAGAGACGACTTGATTGTGCTCCTATGTCCTTGTTCCCACTTGTGGGAGGCAGGCCGGCTCGCGAGGGAGCCGTGATAGAACTTATATCGATTTCTGCCGGTGCTTCCAAGTCCACGGGTTCCTGTAACTTTATTCTCATCAAACTCCGCTCGCCTATTATGGAAAGTCGAGGAGCCCCGGCAGGTCGATTCCGAGACGACCTATGCGTCTTCCGCGTTGTTTTGACAGCAGACGGTCCACCCGATCAGGGCGAATTCCTTATCTATTGCCGCCAAGTGTCGCGAGAATGACAGGTTCGGACGCGTGTCGAAAACGAGGTTTCCAAGGAGGACATCTCAGATGAGGCTCCGTCGTCAGGACCTCTATGCTTGGGGTTGAAACTCTGTGTCAAGACCGATGAACATCTCACTCAAAATCTTCATCGGGTAGAGAACATTTTATTGATACAATTCCGGCGGATATATGTATGTATATGTAACAGTAGGTCCATGGCATTGACAGATTGCAACGTGATCACAAACTATGGCAACAAGATCTCGCTCGCTCAAGACTCCAGCATGTCATTTCTTCTCGTAAAGGCTTGGTAAAAATTAGTGGACCTTCCGAGCCCTCAACAAGTGACGAAATAACGTTCGACTCTTACTCTGTTTCCTTGTACTTTCGAGTTGTGAATATCGAGGATTCCAGGGAATTAATAGGGGTATTATTCTAAGATTGCTGTCGCCGCTCGAGGGGAACGTTTGAATACTGAATTCCCTCCAGTACACGACCTTATGATCCTATGTTTGTGATCTAGTATAAACTGATATAATAAGAGTGTAAATACGAAGATTGCCCCCTGCTAGGCAATCGCCGGTCACTCGACTCTGCGAGGATATAGTATATGAGCTCCACATATACAAATATCGACACAATGAGACATGATAAAAGATTCGCGACGTAAATCTTCGCGTCGGTCATATGTTATATGCATAAAATTTACAAGAGCAATCCAATATAGATGGATTAGGAACGAGTAGACGCTGGAGAGGCGGAGACGAGCCCTACACGTAATCACCGGGTATCAGACGGATAGATCGTGGTGCCGATATCCGAGGGTTTTTGACGGGAAATCTGGAGAATTTCCGGGAGTCGATGCTCAAATAAAAGAGTTCGCATGAATACGATTGGGTTCCACAAGGATGCTTATCGTACGTCGTCTCCTCCACCTCCCCTCTCATTCTTCGCTCGAACTACTTAGTCCCCGGTTCACGTCGGATAAATTCGCCAACGGTTGCGTATGGGAATCACTACCGTCTCGAGCAGTAATTGTTTGTATCTCATTATTGTCACCACGGTCGCTACGGGTACACGATTCATCGATGATCCTAGCTGATGATCCCATAGCTCCTCCGTCTTTCGTGGGAACTCCTGCAGCCCTCTATTCAATAGGCCACGGAAAACCCAAATGGCAAACACTTCTATTCGTCACGACTGCACTGAGCATCGTTGGAACCTCGATGATGTAAAGTGCGAGTGATGTCTAAAAAGGAAATTGGAGGAGTTTCAATTATAAGACCCCGAGACTAGAATATGTTTCAGCCATTGTATGGAACCATCCGACGCGAGGAATGTCTTGGATTTGAGTCGTCGCACTTTGAGTCGTTCCAGGTTGTTCCGAAAAGCTTTACCGATCACATTTCACTGAATGATGTTCAGCTCCAGTAGGAAGTCTACAGCCCAAGTGCCGAACTGCTCTAGGCTGCCGAAATCGCCGAGAGCAATGCTGTCGAGGATCACGAAGGCTTTCGAGTTGTCCTGTGGAAGAGATCATGGTAAAAATCCTGGACGCTAATGTTTGTAGATGGAAAGAGGGGAAACATTCCTCAACCATCGAGCCCTACGTAGCGGATGATATTCGGAAATCAGGAGGCGATCCATCGATGAGTTTTAGTCTACCTCGCTAAAGAAGACGCGGTGAACGTTAGCGGCTTTTTTGTGCGTTATTAGGTCCTGGGCGAACTTGAAGATCTTAGACGGGTCGATCGCGCGTTCCAGTACTACAGTGAGCTGCGGATCATCTTCAATCGAGCCGTCAGTCACTTCGATTTCAGCTCTCCGTATCACTGTACTCTTGTACACGCTGAGAGGTTGTTCATTGATATACAGAAGATTCATCATCGGACTCCAGATTCGACCGACGAACTGCGCCCACGCCGTCAGATGGTACGCGGCCAACGTTTGCGCCGAAGCCAGCTGGATGATCTCCTCTAGATCTTGAGTGCAGATCTGAGCGGCTCGACGATGGTGTTTGAGCTCGGTCATGGAATCTTCTGTCTGCGAGGCCATGATGGAAACCCTCGTTATATGCATCTTGAGCTTGTTGAGCTCCGCTGATATGATCGCTATCCGGTCGCTGATCATCTGCTGTACCGATCTGCCGTAAACGAGTTTTTCTAAGGTCTGCAACTGAGAAATACAAAATTGGAGCCGGTTCCAGGCAAAGGAACCCCGCCGGGATTCCATCCACCCGAAAATGATTGTGAATCAAAATCGGAATAATCATTCAGGATCGTGAGAAGTACCGAGCGGGAGAATTAACCTTTGGAGAGAGTTGGGTGCAATTCGAACATCGTGATTCCTCGCTGATCGCGAGTCTCTCCAGCGCCGGGGTTGAAGGTTCTTGGTTCGAGGAAGTACCTCCAGACACTTTGCTCCACTCATCGACATCGCTGAAAACATCCTCACACTTCTTCGGTTTCAGTACGTTTGCGGCCGAGTTCGCCGGTGACTGGTTCCCGACAATTGACCCGATCGTAGGGGACGATGCTGCTCGCGCTGTCGCTGATGCAGCGGGCGAGGGTTTTCCCTGTGTCGTGGGAGCGGAGGCTTTCTTCGGAGGAGACGCCGACCAGTCCTGGACGTTCCACGCCGGAGCTGTTCTGTTGGAGGGTGACGTCTCGTGCCCGCTTTCGGCCCAAGTGTCCGTGAGGGCTCCGCTCGGTACGCGGTCGTCGACTCGATCCCAAACCTCGGTACCGATGTCGTCTCTAGCGAGTCCTACGCTGCCCCAGCCGTCGGTTGACTGCGAGTTATTCTGTCGACTCTGAGTGTTGGTTCCTTGACCCTGTTGGCTCCACTCGCCCCACTGAGTTTCCGAGTTGCGGCTCGTGCCGCCGACAACCTTTATCTCTACTTCCATGGGCTTGACGCCGTCAATTCGATGCTGCACTCGAGGACATGGACGCTCGGTGTGTGGTGTCGATGGCTGCGACGTCCTTGGAAGTAGCGGCGTCGTCGATGACTTCGTGATTGCACGTTCGGAACCGGTCGTCGGGGTCGGAGTTCCCTCCTGAGGCAGCTGTCGTTTGAAGAGGAGACCTTTTTGCACAAGTTCGTCAAGGACAGATTCGCCATCGAGTCGCATATCTTGAACTCGGGCACAATCCCTCAAAAGTGCTCCAGTTCTTTCGTGGAGGTAAGCAAGTTGGAAGGTTTTGTTTAGCAGATGTTCTTCGATTTTCTCGAAAGTTTCCTTCGAGCTGGACGTGGCTGCGTATCCTTCGAGGAACACATCCACAGCCTTGATGCTCCAGTCCTTGTAGAGCTGCGAGAGGGACAGCACTTGGTCCTTCGTCACCATCAGTGAGCCACCGAGGTCAATGAGTTCCACGACAAGCATGCCGGACTCTTCGCCAATTTTTCGGCAGCGTCGCCATTTTCCTGAAACAGGGTCCTTACAAGCGTGAACGACGCCGGGATCCATGTCGTCCACGCCGCATTTCGCATAATTGGCGAAGTCCTCGAGGCCTTCGGAGAGCCCATCCATGTCACTTTCCCAGCCGCTTTCCAAGGCGACAAAATGCGTGCAGCTGACCGACTTGATTATTTTGAAGTTTCCCCGGACGATCTCGCGCGGGATTTGGATCTCTCGTAGCCGAGAGCGTCCCTTCGGACTATGAAGCCTTTGCCTGAAAAGAAAGAACTTCAAAAATTCGCCACCGACGACTCTGATCAACGGGAGAAGCGCAGCAATGGTCCCGCCGTCATAGCGAGGAAATATCCGAATTCGCTGCCTCATCCATAAAAATAAACTCACGGAGTGTTCCGGGCCTGTAGAGAGCTCCGGTTCTCTTGGAAGCTCCTGTTCCCGGCATTGTTGCTGCTGTTGTTATTGTTGAAGGTGTTTTGATTAGCGAAGGCCAGTTTCAATTTCATCGATTGTCCCATGAAACGGCTGAAATTCTTCTCCGCGATCAACACAAGAGCAGTCGCCTCATCCGCGAAATCGACAATCCTGAATTTATTAGAAAGTTAGCTGTTGGGAAGTGGCGGAGCAGGGACATGGTTTCCGCGCGGATCCCGGTTTTCGCAACAGCTGAGCATGGGAGTCAATGGGGAAGTTCGGCCGGAAAAAAAGGAAACTCACGCGAACTGCCCGCCGCGAGGGTCATTGTTCCTCGGTCGCAAGCGTATCTGGATCGGCTTGAACGGATTAAGAAAGTCCAAGACGTCATTCTGGAAAAAGAGCATCTCCCTCAATCACGCTGAGCTATTTGTTCGCTTTGTCTTGACAACGTGCATTCTTGCCAGAGGAGTCCTCGAATGAGTTTCTTGCAGCTATATACCGGCCAGAACTCGCTCGTGGATATCGATAATGCCCAATGTCGGTGGAAAGTTGTCTAATCCGGATGAGCTCTCACGAACCTGAGCAGCCGAGTTGGAGAAAGTGTTGATGAATACGGAAACCTGGGAGCGAGCCATTCTCCAAAAGGAAGGGCTCGGACTTGAGACACAAAAAGCAGCACAGACAACCTGTCGCGAGGCTTCCAACTCCCAGGTGCTAGAAAATTAGGAATTGTCGCTCTCACACTATACCAGAGTCCCGTAAACCGAAACCACTGGGCTCTTCGCATCGTACGCTAGGCAGCAGGAGGCCGATGAGCGAGAGGCGAACTGTTTTGAGGAAGGGGCGCGCGAAGTCTTCGATCGGGCTCTGTACAGGAGTCCGGCTACAATGCTCCCCACCATCATTTCAAACAAACCCCTCGACAGGTAGTCTAAGCTTTCATAGCCCAGGACCATCGAGGTCCCCGCAGGAACTCATTGGAAGCCGATTCGTACCCGGTATCCGCCGCAGCTGCGTGCGAGCCTTCCTGTGCAGCCTTCACTCCGTCGCTTCGAGAGCTACGGATGAGATTTTAGATACGAGATATTTTTGAGCCGTTCTGCCTCTGACGTCAGATGCACGGCAACGGTGCCTCATCCTCAGTTCAGTCGATCAATTCCATCTCCAAAAAACCTCAGGCATTCGAGGGGGGGGGAAGGGCAGAAATTATTGGTTTCCCATTCTTCAGTGTCACAGGTCCGCACGACGCCGGAGGGGAGGGACATTAATCATCATCTGGGGACTATTCCGATGAGAGTTCCTCCGATGGCTTCCGGGAGCGACACCGGATAGTTGCGAATGAAAAATGCCCCAAACTTCATTACGATCAAAGACGGAACTGGATATCGCCCCATGCGGTGTCACCGGAATAGAACCGACACAGGTAGTCTTCATCCAGCCGTAGGATTCCCAGCCTTCGCAAGTTGAAGGAGTGCATCGAGCTGCGTGGACCGCGGAGCTCGGGACTCATGGTCCGCTGCCCCGTGACGTCTCCAGACGATGGTTCAGGAGCGCACCGCCCGACCCAAGCATGAGATCTACCCCAGCTCCAATCCAGCTCGATCGTTTATTGATAGACAGGTGAACATACTCCGCTTCAAATAGGTTCGACATCTGATGAACACACTCTATGGAATGAGAACGGAGCTCCTCCCCGAGATCAAGTCGCAACGAACAGGGTCGGTGATCTCCTCCTTTGAGGCCCCCTGTTGTCGCCGGTAGTCCCGACAAGTTCGCCCGCGGATCTTTTCGCTATTCAATTAAATACTTTAAAATGCTCTCTCTACTGATGGGGTTTCCCCCGCTTGAGAAGAGGAGAGGCCCTGAATCATCTTCAAAATTCAGAGGGATCCCCTCCTCGTAAATTATCCAGCTCGCTCGGAGGCGAATTCCACCTTGCCGTGAGCTCCTCGCCAATGCACCCTCACCTTTCCGCTCAAGTGGCCCGTGTCTTCGAGATTCGTCGAACGGGTTCCAGCGCTCGACGCCCGGGAACCATGCGGGTTTCAAGGAGAGGCGTCTTCGGAACTTCCCGCATCCCCTCCAAAGCGTGAGACTTAGTTTCAAGATCCGGAGCGAGGCGGCTACGCTTGGCACCGATCGGAGTCGCAATCGATAGACCCTCCGTGATATCGAGACAGTCGATAAGTTTCCTGTAATTTTCAAGCTCTCGACGAATAGCCTTGTTGTCCTTTTCCTGTACAATCAAGCGCTCGCTGAGACGCTCTCGACGCTTGCGCTTCCTCGCCATTTCCTTTTCATGATTCAGGACAACTTCGAGCAGGCGTTCCTCCGCGACCCGTGTTTCTTCCTCACAATCCCGCAATCTGGCTTGCGATTCCCCAAGCTTCCTATAGGTTTTTTCCAGCTGATCTCCAAGCTCAGCGTGAGCATCCACGGTAGTGTTCGAGATCGACGTACTTCGCCTATCGGCATGATGCCCCGCCTTCAAACGAAGTAGTTCGGCCCGGTGTTCGTGTTGCATCTTTTCGAGCTCCTCAACCCCCAGCCTCTCGAGCTGAGCTCGTTGCTCGTGGAGTTTTCTCTTGAGGTCTGCGGTGGTAAACCGAAGCTTTTCCTCCGTCTCACTGGTCTTGGTCTCTTGCATGGTGAGTTCCAGACTCGCGACTCCCATGCGCGCCAATAGCCTTGCATGCTCGATCTTCAGCCTTTCGAAGTCCCTACCGGCAACTTCCCCCTGCTCCCGGTCGCGCTTGACTCTTTCTCGAAGTTGGGCAATCTCCCGTTTGGCGCTCCGGAGCTCGATACTCTCCGAGACCAGATCTCGCTCAAGAACGGCTCCTCTCTGATCTAGGGAAAGATTCTCGTCTCTGAGGTGCTTACACTCTTCGGTAAGGTACTCGACCCTCTTTTCCGACCGAGCTTGTTTTTTCTCAGCAGCGACAACTCGGCGAACCTGCTCATCGACTTCGCGTTGAAGTATTTCAAGCTGCTGGGCCCGCGTGTCCCGGACCGTCACCGAGTGATCTCGGATGAGTCGTTGCTCAGCCCTCGCCTCTGTCAGGAGGGTCTCTTCCTGTTTGACGCGATCCATGTAAGAGATCAGCCTGCAAGGTAATTCTCTATCAAATTGAAGAGAATTCGCAATCCCGAGTTCGTAATTCTTTTTCACAGAGCCTACCTATGATTGAGACCGTTGAATTGACGTCTCAAATAATTTCGGTCTACCGTGGGAGCCGCATCCGGAGTGACCGAGTCCTCCAGCCCATCCATTGTGCTGTACCCCGTGGCACAAGCGACAGGCAAGTCGTCAACCGTGTTTCCCTGACACGCAGTCTTCGCAGCGGGATCGTCGTTCTCTCTGGAGAGTTTCTCTCTTCCACGGCCGTAGTTTCGGTCGGCCCCGACTTCCATGAGATCGGTAGGTCGCTGCTCCGGGCAACCGAAGCGGAAAATACCGTCGCTGGATTCAAAACTCTGAGACGGATCGAAAACCTCCGATTCGAGTCTGTCAGGAGGCTAGCACGGATTCGATCAATGTCGAAGCCTTGTTGTCGATCGCAACGTTATCATTCGATATGCACGTGATCTATGCGCGATGGATCGCGTCTGCTCAAGTCTCTAGAATGAAGCAAACCGCCGCTTCTTCAAATTTTGAGTGAGAATCCCCCATGCACAACAGAGTCGAGCCCTCCATGCAACGAAGCCCGTGACCATGAGGGCCGGCAGGCCCGCCGACGCGACGGGATCCCTTCAGGCCCCTGACGCTTTCGAGCTCCGTTCGGCCCTATCCCTGCAGGCGTTGATCAGAAGTCTGGAATACCCCGCCGCGAGGGTTTCGTGGCTTTTCAAATGCTTCCCCGATGAATGAATGAACCCAAGACCCGCGATTCAACATCTCGTCAATCCTCACATTCCATCCGAGCTATTACATGTGCTTAGGGGGAGGGATATTGGCTCGGCGTTCTCGAGGTGTAAAGTTTCCCGCAGCCGCATTGACCCGTGAGAAGACTTCGTCAGGGCTTCTTCGTTCGGAGATCACATCGGAGACAGAGCATCCTCTCGAATCGGTTGAGACTTCCCGTCGCCTTTAGAATCTGGCACAGCCGAGCCGTCCATCGAATGCTTCGCTCTACGCGCGGTTGAGCCTGGTGAGAAATAACGCACGAAAATGCGAGAGTTGAATGCTGAAGAAGAAGATCGATCGTAGCTCCCACATGATTCGGATATCCCTCGATCGTCGCGCAGTCGATCTCTTCCCGCGCTTCTCTCCTCCTCTGGCCGGAGGAAACAGCTGGAGGAGCGCGTCAGCTGGTGAACCGAATCTCGATGGTTCAGCCATCGACTCGGCTGCACCATCGAGCGGTGACTGTCCATCATCATCGCACTGTTTGAGTGTTCGAATTGCGGTGGAACCGTTTTGCGCGTTCGTGAGCCACCGACGATAGAGAGAAAGACGTTGGCTGGCGTGTCCAGGAAGACTGCCCCCGTGTCGGTGAGAGCACAGAGGAGGACAGGAATGGCTTTCACCGAACCGCTCTATTTGCCGTTGGAGAAGGAAGACACGACAGCCCCTGCTCCCTCATCGGATCCGACCTTGCAATGTTTAGTCTGTGATGAATCATTCCGCGAAAGTCCCGAGTTTCTCAAACATCTATTAGAAGACCACAACATCGTGATTGAAGACGTGAACTCTATAGCCGATCTTGCGGCGTACTGCAGGTGAGTCCGTGTGCCGAACCGTCGCATAGCTGCAAATCGAATTTCGATAGGAGCATGGATGGTCTCATGGATGAGCCATTCCTCTTGCAGATATTATCGACAACGCTTCCAGACCGCCGATTTGTCGTGGCTCTGTGCCTCGATCGAGACAACCGAGAAGAAAAAGTTCTTCATGCTGACCAAAACCCTGCCTGAAGACCAAAAACTCCGTGACGATCTCCGATTAAAGAAACAGCATGACATCTTGAAACCACTCTTGGAACAGAAGCAGAAAGAACGCGCGGATGTCAGTAAGGTTCGCAGCTGCTTGTTTTGTAGAAAAACATTCGACGGTAAACCCCACGATCTCTTCCAACACATGTACCTTGATCACAATTTCAATGTTGGTCGGGCGGACAATCTCGTGTTCGTAGACGAGTTCCTTGGAATTCTGCAAGAGAAGCTCGACCGTCTCATGTGCTTATATTGTGAGAAGAGCTTCAAGACGTGGGAAGTTCTGAAAGAACACATGAGAAAGAAGCAGCACAAGCAGTTGAACCCTCAGAACGTGGAGTACGATAGATTCTACATTGTGAGCTATCTTTTCGGCGAAAACAAAGCCAACGGGGAACGCGATGTGGATACCGACGAAGTCCCAGATCTTTTCGAAGATTGGTCCGAAGAGCATAAATTCGAATTCATATGTTTGTTTTGTGATCATTGCGAGAAAAAATGGGACGAACTATTCAAGCACATGAAACTTCGGCACTTCTTCGATTTTTGCGCCGCTCGCAAGGGCCTCGGCTTTTACGATCAGGTGAAAATGGTCAACTACATCAGACGACAAACACATGTCAATGTCTGCTATCTATGCGAGAGCAAGCAGGAAAGCCGTCAGAGTCTCCTGAAACACATCGATGACAGCCATCGCGAGGGGGGCTGTCCCTCGAAAGCGCAATGGGATCAACCAGGCTACTTCTTCCCCACGTACGAAAACGATCAGTTATTGCAAGCTCTTGAAGATGATCATGACCAAGCCAACGAGGATTGGGTACTGCCTGAGGAAACGATTCAGCCGAGCGTCGAGTTGCTCAAGGAGCTGCAGCTGACTTGAGACTAAATTTAATCTGTGCAACTTGACCAATAGATAGAGCTTCTCCGGAAGCTCCGAGATTTCACTCGGTGTGAATGAGTCGCGTCGAACGTTGAATAAAAAAGGAGGGAAGGGGTTCTTTGTTTGGAATCATAACGAGGCTTATCCCCATCGCGTCTCCCTGAAAAATAAAACCCAGTCTCGTCTCGAAACACGAATCTCTTAACTCGACACTGTCGATCCTTCAGGGCCCATTGAGAAATGAAGATCCGCATTCGGAGAGCTGATATAACGTTCTAGTTTCTTGTGTTCTCATAAATCAGTCCGTTGCATAAGCTTCATCAACAATTATATCGCGGGGTACATTCGGAATGAGATGTAACCAACTAAAATCCTCTTTTAATACACATAACTTAATCAAATTCATCTGAACATCGTCAAGTCAGTTCGGGTGCGGCCGCGAGCCCACGCGCACTTCAGCTGTGCATCAGTCTCTGCGATTTGAAACAGTGGCAGTGCACTAGCGTTCCGTCCGGGTACCTCACGAAAGCTGGAGAGAGAAGGGGTCGACTGCAAACACTGCAAATTCTGGAAGCGGAAAAGAATCGGAGTGAATCACACGCCATTCGTATAGATTCTAGGTCTAGATACATATCCGTAGATTCACCATGACAGGCATTCGATTCCAATCAGATCATCTCATGAGATCAAACGTATCTGCTATCAGGGTTGAGCAGCGGATTGCACCGGGAAGCGGTGTCATTCCTCACCTGTTCTCTCTGACTAGAAAATGCAAGGAATCCACTGCGATTTTCTTTTGACGTGCGTGAAGATTCTCCAACTTCGTGAGAGCTGTTCTGATTTGGAGCATTCCCAGTCTATGATGTGAGTTACGCAGACCTTTGGTAATAAATTCGACCAGCGAAGTGACCTGCCAGTTGATAGGTACAACTCGTAGAACCTCGTCCATATTGAAGTCCGAATCATCATCGTTCAGCAAGGAGATCGCCGCTTCGAGGAACTCGTCTTTGCTATCACTAGAATGAGCAATGATGACTTGTTAAAGCACCACGAGAGCATCTGTTCATCCCTGGTGATGATTCGTAGCTCAGTATCCGTCAAGGTCATATATCTACTAAGTTCCGCATCCGGAAGTACTAATTACCAGTTCGCTGCAGGGTTCATGAGAATGTTAAGAAGAGTTCCGTAGAGTCGACATTTCAGGGCGTGATCCAGATGGATTGTACTTATTCGCTGACAGTAGTCTTTCGCAGAGTCGATATCGCCCAGATCGTTGACGAATACGAGCAGGGCTTCATCGTGCCGCTCGAGTTTCTCGTAAAGAATAGCCCTCTCAGGGTGGAGATTGTTGGCAGTGCATAATTCCAAAATTTTCTCAGGCAGATAGAAATCAGAGGCTCTCAAGAATGTCTGGAGTTTCGTCCGGTAGTCCCGGGGCGTCACGCCGTCCGCGGTGGAATCCAAAACGTGTGACAGGTATATGTTGGCGAGTTGCGTGTGATACGCGACTTCCTGCGTCTTCCGATCCAGAACCAGGTGCTCCAGGTACTCCATTGTGGCTAATGGATACTTGAGCAAGGCGGACAGAACGACCTCGTCGTCGATCGGCTTCGATCTCTCTATGAAAATCTGGAAGTGACGGAATCGGTGAATCGACCCGCTCGCGCGAGGATTAGAGCTCATGAGATCTCAGAGACTCCGGGCATGCTCATAGCCATCGTCGACTCACCCTGACTCCACTGGACTGATTCTTGTCCAAGACGCACTTGGAAATTTTCAGAACAAGATCGATGTCACTGAGACGCTTTAACGTATCGATCATCAGAAGTGCGTAATCCTCCATACTGTGGTCGACTAGTTCTTCTCTGACTAATTTCTCCCAGACCTCCAGACCACGTTTATGAAGGCCCTTGAACACAAAGCCGTCTCTTAGCTGGGATTCGTCCCCTCCTCCACACATCGCTCTCACGGAACGAATTAGACGATACAAGATATTCTGCGGCATAAAAGCGGAATATACCTGCGAGAAGTTGAGAAGAGCGTTGTAGTGGTAGAGTTTGAGCTTTTCCGCTAGAAATTCTCCGCACTCCTGAATGTCGCAGACGGTTTCATTATCTTCGATCATTTCAAGCAGCTTGGAGGTGAGAATGTCGCTGTCCTCCACTGCCTTCGACCTCAGCGCGTAGAGTTTGATCAGCGCGGTGTCCACGGCCTGCCTCTGCTCATCCGGGACGGAATGCCGAGCCCCTTCGAGATAGTTCGTTAGGAACTGGTAGGCGTTCTTACGCATGTCGGGGTTGGAGCTGCAGGCCGACTCGATAGTTGGAGTATTGAAAGGATCTCTGACTGAATACTTTTCGGAGGCAACGGCGGAAAACAGCGAGATAACGGCTCGTGCGTCAGCGGCGCCTTCTTCGAGTAACTGTCCTGCATCGGAGAAGTTCAATTCCGACAGTTGGATGAATCCGGCTTGCTGTTTCACTCGCGCTATAATCTGCAAGCAGAGAGCCGGGATTGAAATTCAGGGCGATGGTCTGACACGGGTGGAAAATTCGGAATCGGGGCAGTCGAGCGGCGTTTTCCGAATTTCGTATCGCAGCAGAGTACCAATTAAAACTCACTTCACGCTGCTCCTCTGCCGTGAGACTAGTTTTGTGAGCGTATTTCGCCAACTCTAATGCTTCGGAAACTTTCTTCTGTTTGAGGAGTTCCGTCACTTGTTGGTCCCACGGGACCGGATGAAGGGTAAAAATGATGTCTTGCGTACAGAGCATCAATTTGCCCTCAAAGTTGTTCAAGCATGCTCCGCCCGGGAAACTTATAGTTTGCTTCGGTTCCTGGTCGAATATGCTGTTGAACGAATGTCGTAGGTTGTAAGCGATGATTATTATTATCGATAAACATATTTCCTCGCGCTGTCCCCGATACAATCCTCTTCGCAGAATGAGGACTTGATCCAACTGACCTGTAAACCACCACACTGTCCTCGTTAATACAGAGGACATAGGGGTGGTAATAGGCGCAACTTGTAACTGCTTGACTAAATGGCAGCGGTGGTCTTGTGGCGTGGCCGTCTCCCGAGGCGAAAATTCCCAAATTCGAGGGTCCGGCGACGAGAAACTCGCAACCCTGAATGAGTTTGATTAGTGGAGGAGCGCTCTCAGCTGAGTAGCTTGTGACCTCTTGATGAAGATTCGATGTGACGTCGAAGACGAAGTAGCACGAAGGCGTTGCGTAGCAAATCGTGTTGCCTTCCATTGCCTGTGAAATTGACGTAACGTTACGCATTTCGCTTTACTTCTGTGCGGCATCCGACGATCTCGGACAGGAATGAGGACGGATCGTGTCTCGATCGGGCTGTCCGGGTACGCACGAGAACTACGACTGTGTCCTTGGCATTGAAATCCTTGTGGTGAACGAGTCGTTCTTCGGTGAGCTTATAAAGCTGGATTTGTTTCTTTTTGGCCACGCAAAGGTGCGCAGACAGGGCATCTCCGGCACTGCTCAGAATCGGGTTCGGGTTCAAGCACATCGTAGTCAAGCTTCGCAGGCGATCTTTCGTAGGCTGTAATCACAGAGGAAAAATTGACGTCTCTTGAGAAACTATTGGTTACTTCAGTCCCATGAGAGAGACCGGCTGTCGCCGGAAGACACATGCGATATCGCGGAGGAATTAATGCGATGCCGCGGGAAAATTTATGCGGTGCCTCACCTCGAGATGCCACATGTCGTGTATAGAGAGGGTCCCTTCATTCGAGAGCGCAACGAGCCGGTTTATGGCGGATAGAGCATGTAGCTTCATGATGGACTTCCCCGGTGCGACGGCATAATTCGCGACCTGCTTGTCCACCGTCGGAAGTCGGCAATCGAAGCCGACGTCGGTGAAAGTCATCGAGTAGCGACAAACGGTCCTGAGAATGATAGAGGAACACGCATCAAGAGCTTGCTCCCGGTGCGGAACTGTCGGAAAAACCCTAGTCCCGTTCGGGAATTTCTCTAGAGCTGACCGAGGATGCGAAGCGACATCGAGGTCAAGGCTTTTGATAAGCAAAAACTCACCCATCTGTAGAGCCGATGAAGAGGTTCGATCCACACATGTCCAAACTGCTAATCTGTAATAAATTGGAGGGGCGTTTCCTTCGAGATTCCGTCGCGTCAAATGAATCGAAAGTACCATGGAGTGACATTCGGAAGAGGGAGGAGAAATCCGAAGATATCGGAGACTCTGCTGAGACGGCAGAATTTCCGGCTCGAAATCAGTTCGAACCCAACAGCTGACTCGACATCCGACCGACTCGTCTCCCTTGACGCTCTCTCAGATCTAGGATCAAATGGGGAATTTCTCTCGACACGGAGGCGTCGGATCTCCCGATAATAATGGAATCTTACCAACAGGGAACGGCCCTCTATTCCTCGTAAACTGTCAGAGACAGGGATGAGATCGAAAGCCTTCAAATTCATTTTTTCGGTCGAGCGATGTTCCCCGGTATGTGGAGCGACCGGAATCAAGAGGAAACTCGCCAACGCTCTCCCACCGGCGTCATTCTCCGAAAGGCTCCGCTGGAACAATCGAAACGTTTTTTCTCCAGTTCGAGCCTGTTGTTCCGACAGAGATTCGCTCTCGGAGGTGACAGCTCTTTTGTCAACAAAGCGGGCGGCCGCCCAACCTCAGACAGGCCCATCTTCGCTTCGATGCTTCTCGGTACCGCTCCTCACCAGACACAGAGTGGAAAGAGACATGTGACGCGGTCTTGCCCGATCGAATTCATTGGACGCGCGCTCGCTGCTCCCATGGATAAGAACATCTTGAGGGGATCGCATTCCGATGCACATGCAATAGGTTCTCGCGCAACTGCACGCTGATCAACAAAGTCGCATCCATGATTGATCATCATTACCTTGATCACCTGTTTTCCGAAAAAGGGGGTATACGCTGGAGCGCGCAAGGTCAATTCGTTCTAAAAACAGAGCGAACGTTGGAAGCTCGTCAACCTCTCGAATTTGGTACGTTTTTAAGCAAATTTTCAGGCGATTGGGGAAATCAATTCAAGTCGCTTGTCTGACGATATTTTTCGTGAAAAGTCTCGGTGACGATACATCCCAGAAAAAGGACTGCTCGAATCGCGCCGTAATTCGGATCCACCAACTCTGTCGCGGAGGCACGGAAATTCCCCGTCTCCACTTTGGACTTCTTCCATCGTACGGCGCAGTGAAGAGAGACGGATCGACAGATCGAGAGTTTTTCTCGAGACCCGAATCCCGTCCCGAAGCGCCCGGTCTCCGAAACCTCTCTCGGAGAGCCATTCAAGCAGGAAGTTTTCTGTTTCTTTCTATCGAAAGATGTGTGCCTCTTTCAATATGGAGCTCATTCCACCGCCGAAGGGTTGGAGGAGTCTCCGAGGGGTGTGTTCTCTACCACGAAGCGGAAGCGCTCCACCCACTCCGGAGCCTGCCCTTTGTGAGTTGTTCGTTTCTGCCGCTGCGGCCGGTCACGCCTAACGTTAGCGGTGACGTTCCCATCTGGTAGCGGGGCTGGTTCCGTCCTCATCGCTAGTGAGCTCGATCGAAACCTGGGACACGCTGCATAGCTCATCCCAGTGCGCGTAGCCCTCGACCGAGATTCGAATTTTCGCGCCACTTCAGAGTGTGGCAGTTCCACGTTAGCATCAGCTGGCTGGCGGACTCTCTCTGAAGAAGGCTGCGCTGGTTGCGGAAGCCTCGGGAATTCCGACAATGCTCCTGGAGTACGATTTGCGCCCATACTCATCCCGCATCGTCGTCAGAAACGGTATCCTGTAAGGACTGACGGATCATCGCGAGGATCGCGGAGAGAGAAGTGCTCTTTTCCCTGTAGCCGACCTTCCGCTCATCCCCGGCTCATGGTGTGATCAAGGGTTTTGGAACCAGGAAAAAACCGCAATCGAAACCTCGACATGGCGGGATCCATGTCGCGACAGTGGGAACTGTTGATATACTGTGCTTTCGTATCTGTAGTGTGCTGGATCGCTAACATCGTGAACTCGAAAGTTCCCATACCCTACATGGACGAAATTTTCCACGTCGGGCAAGCACAACGGTACTGTGATGGGGACTATTCTACTTGGGACCCGAAAATCACGACGCCGCCAGGGCTTTACTTCTCAAGTAAACCGATGAGTCTACTCACCGCCTGCTCCCTGGACGTCTTACGAGCAACCAACATAATTTTCACGCTCGCGAACGTCTATACCATGCACCAGATCCGGCAGCATCTCCAGCACGACTCTGTGATAACTTCGTTGGTCATCGTGCTTCTTCCCGTGAACTTTTTCTTCACGTTCCTTTACTACACTGATCCGGGATGTATATTCTGCCTGTTGCTCATGTATTTATTTTTTCTGAAGGGACAGCACTACCTAGCCGCGTTGTCCGGCTTTGCGGGAATATTCTTCAGGCAGACATCTGTAGTTTGGGTTTTCTTCGTCGCCTGTCTGACCCTTTCGAAACACGTAGAGCGTGTGATCAAGCTGCCAATCCCTACCTCCGATAAATTCAAGACATTGTTGATAGATGCTCTACGAGACTGTTTCGGCTACGGAGTCGTCGGTGTTCTGTTTCTGGTTTTCCTGAAGCTCAACGATGGCATCACGCTGGGGGATCGAGATGCTCACAAGGCCGTGATCCACTTGGCTCAGATCGGGAACTTCCTCTTGTTCGCGCTGCTCTTCGGCGCGCCGTATATTCTCAGCTTGAGCAATTTCATACGGTTCCTAGACTTCGCGACGAAGTATCCCATCCACATCTTGGTGACTTCTCTCGTGATGTACGGTCTCTTCGAGAACTTCATATACGTCCATCCTTACATGCTCGCCGACAATCGTCATTACACGTTCTACATCTGGAGGAGATTCCTCTCGAGAGAATCGATTCGCCAAGTTATGGTCGTCGTGTATATATACGTAGCGTTCTGTCTATACAACTGTGTCAGGCACATGGGGCGCGTATGGATAACATTTTTCGTACTGTGTACGATGATCACGATAGTTCCTCAGCAGTTGTTCGAGTTTCGGTACTTCGTCTGGCCTTTGCTGGTCCTTCGCTTGCATTTTCGTCAGAAGAAACACCAGCTAGTCGCCGAGGCCCTTGCGTACATCGCTCTGAACTGCATCACTTTCTACATATTCCTGTTCAGCCCCTTCGTGTGGCGCCACGATCCTGGACACATACAGCGCTTCATGTGGTGAACGGCGAACGTCCAGTGTAAAGTTGTAAAAATCTTACGTATATCGTCGATAATAATCTATCGGAGTTATTTTGTTTGATGATAATTAATAGTAGCGGCACTGAATAAACTTCGGTGGGACAGCGAGAGACATACATCTTCACTATTCAATCACGATTGGCGATTGAATGATGCGCAAATGAACGAAGCTCATGAGATTACCGCATCGCTTGCGTAAAACCTCGAAGGTCAAGTGTGCTGTGCACAATGGCATGCAGGAGTGGTAGGAATGAATCAGGCCATTAAATTCAAAGGATCCGAACTTCGATCGATACGGTGTGAAAACAAAATGGAAGACGAGCGCTGAGCTAATGAGCTCCTTGAATGTTGCGGAATAACGCAGTGGTCATTACGAGAGGGGTCTCGGAGCTCGTATGCTAACGGAGAAAAATTATAATCGCTGGGTCGTGACAAAGTGCAGAGCGTTCCGCCCACGACCTGGGGCTAAGACAGGCTTACTGAAGGTTGAAAACTGAAAAATTTGGCGGCTGGAGGCTTCAGGGGTATGAATTTTCGGAAAGTGAGTTCAAGAATACACACTCTGTGACATCAGCTGCAACAGTTTGAGAAATACGCGAGTATTCTGAGAATGCACGACTGCTCTACTCGGCCCGGGGAGCCATGCTGAGGATTCTTGGGCATTCTCGGATAGCTGTGATTCGCTGCGTCTGACAATCCCCCAATCCTCGATATCCGGCCGGTCTGCTTGATCGAGAGTTCGTCCTTCCGGTGATTCCGACTTGCGCTCCGAGTGAATCGCATATGCGTCGCAATTTCGGATCGGAGGACTCTGCTCTTTGGAAGAGAATTCATGGGACGACTCCTCGCCGGAAGAGACTCAGCTCGGGAAGTCACGGTCCTGCTGCGCCACATTCGTTTGCCTTACTCAATCAGCGGAATCATCTTTTGTCGTGCGCTGACGCTCACCTGTCGACGCCTCGAGGACATTCGGCTCCCAAGATTTCCCGAGCGTGTCCTGTTAATTAGTTACGTCTCAAAGACACTTCCGTGACTCTCCGAATCGTTTTGGGCGATGATGCACTCTGGAGCGTACCGAATAGGCTTGGAGAGGGAAGGGAGCCGTTCGATATCGATACCAAACCGTTGAGCGTCGGGCGGCTCTGCAAAACTCACGGGAGTCTCCGAATCGGTGAAATCTCATGAAGTTCTTCGTTACAGGTTAAAGGCTTCGCCAACCAATCATGCGAGCACCGCGCCTGAGTTTTGGATGCCTCTGGCTGATATGGTCCGCAGCGGAAGCTTTCCCGGCCCAGATACGCGGCTACGGACCCCCGAGCGGCGCGCAAATGCGGTTTCAGCGTCCGACGTGGGGTTATCCAAGAGTCCACCCTGCCTACCAACCGAGACCGCCGATGTACCCGCACGCGCATATTCCAGCGATTCACCCCCGGCCCAGACCCTCTTACCATGCTCCTCTTCCCAATTACGAAGCGGCTCAATATCGTCCCCACATCCCTCACCCATCGGCCGGAAATTTCAGGAGTTTCCCGGGAACTCGACCGCGTCTGTATTCTCCGTCGCCCCCTGTGCGATCTGAACGTCGAGTCTATTGGTATCGACCTACCGAACCGACATTCCGAGCCCCTCTCTCGCATGGACCGCCTCCACCGCCGCATTTCGTCCGACCGCCTCCCCGACTCCCTCGAGGGGTTCAGCAAAAGCCCAGAGGATTCGTGCGGAGACCGTCCTATATCCCATCGACTCCTCCCGCAGAAGGCGCCCACGGACCGCGATGGAGTACGGCGGAAAGCACCCGACCCTACAGCTCTCCTCTGACGACGAATCGTAGGCGAATCGCTGTCCCTCAACCGTCCGAGTCTCTTCAGGGGAACTCGGTCGCGCCCGACGGAACAATCGGTGGGATGAGCGATGAATTGCCTCGTGAGGAAGCCACGACGCCACAATCGAATATCGACGCGGCAAATTCTCTGGCGGACGCGAGCCCGAGATTCCCACGGAAGTGGTATCACGGAGATGAGGACGACAGCGATGAAGACGACGCTGGACTTCAGCTCGATGGAGGATGCGGTGAAGACCTCAGCTGCCGAACGTCTCATCATTGCGCCGCCCTGGGCGGGAAGCCGACGTTCATGTCGTGCGGGGCTTCGCCCGGGCTTTATTGCTGTGATCTCTCGAGGAACGCGGACCCCTTGGACGAACCAAGGAACGGCACCGTGAAGAGTGATTCACAGTGTGGTTGGAATCGGGAAAAGACGAATCGAATCATAGGCGGCTACGATACCGAGTTCGGGGAAATACCGTGGCAGGCTTTCGTGAAGATAGATGGAATCAGGTGCGGTGGAGCTCTGGTCGACCGCAGACATGTTGTCACCGCCGCGCACTGTGTCGTCGGACGGAAAACCAGCAAAATCGAGGTCCTTCTAGGGGAGCTGGTACTGAAGCGGTTCGTCGAAGAGCTCCCCCACGAGCGAAGACGCGTCGCCGATGTGATCATCCATCCGGATTACGAGAATCTAAACGTAGACTCCTACGATGTTGCGATACTCGTTCTCGATAAGCCCGTAGAATATCAGGCGAACATCATGCCGATATGCTTGCCGCAACCGAATCAATCATTCCTCGGGAAGTTGGCCACAGTTTCGGGCTGGGGACGAGTGTTCCCAGACCACGAGGTCAGAAGTAATCACCTCCAGTCGATCCAGGTGCCCATCATCGGGAACGGGCTGTGTAGGAAATGGCTGCGTAGCCGAGGAAAGTACGCCGGGATAAACGCTGATCACGTATGCGCAGGTTACGAGGCGGGCGGACGCGATTCGTGCCGTGGGGACTCAGGAGGACCACTCACCTACCAGATGAAGGGTCGGTGGTATCTTGTAGGCATCGTTTCAGCCGGTTTCGGCTGCGGCAAACCCAGGCAGCCTGGCATATACCATCGCGTGAGTCATTCTGCGGAATGGATCTCTGAACAAGTGTTTTCATGATTCTCAACAAGGCTCCAGCGCTTTTGCGCCCACGGAACACCAGGGGAAGAAGTTTGGAGTGAGCGGGGACCTTTATTTCTTTTTCAAAAGTTATGAAGAGAAAAACGGGATCGCCCACACCGACGAATAGTATCATCAGTCTATTATATCATAGATACATAGATGGGACAATTTCTCAAGAATATCTAGTGCTGACTCAAGCTGGGGACGGAGGGCGAGAGAACGAAGAACAAAGGAACCAATTCCGGTTATGCGAACGCTCTCACGATACGCTGTCTACTTCGCGCACAAAGAGATGATGCCCTGCTAGGCTGGGATGTAACATCTCTTTTTACAAATCGTAGAAATCGTAGTTTTTAGTCATTTTTGATTCTAGGAAGATTTCATTATTGAATCGCATCACGAGATTTTAACAGGACATCGAAATTAGTGAGTTGTCAAGCATCGCCGACAACTCACGCAGTTTTCACTCAAGTTGACACAATTTAACGATGAGAGTTCCTCCTCTCTACGAAGGAATGCTTCTCATGAAGAATAAGTGAGTCAGAGATGCTGTACATATAAAGAAAAAGTCGCATGCATGGAAGTACTTGTAAATAAATGAGGAGCTCCATGTATGAAATATATATGCACACACTCCCATATGAATGGAATATCTCGAGTTTTCATTGCGCGCTTGTCTAGTCCGCGATATCCGCAGTTAATCAAATCAATCATGATGATCCATATAAACGCCATCCGGAAGAGATAAGGGGCATTCCATAAACTAGTTCGGACGCTGCGCTGAATGAAAACGATTAGACCAGACCCTCCTCCTGTCGAGTTGAGGAAGGATGTCAACTTTGAAGAACGTCGAGCAAGATCGGTTGCGGCATCCAGCGTGATGATGACAGTCTGATGGGATCCCTGCATGGGATAATTCGAATGGGACATCTTGCGGCTGGCTGACTGCTCGCCTGACTTGCGCGTTGTCTGAGTTTACATAACGAGCCGATATGTGGTCAGTGTTGTCTCCCGAAGTGACATAACGCCTGGTGGCCTACATGACGCGCGTGGCCAGCCGCCGAGCCGTCTAGCAGCTACGCTTTCCCCGCTCGATCCTTTCCCCAGGACGAACGATCGAGCAAACGGACGAACGGGCGGGCGAACGGGTGGTTTGGCTAGCGAGCGGGCAGGCAGGCGGACGACCGCGTCTCGAGGATAGCTGCCGAATCAGAGTTTTTGGGAAAACTGCCGGCTCACTTGCAGGCGATCGAGTGTTGTTTGTCGACTAGTGAAGAGCGTTCGCTTTGCTCCGGTGACATGGACGTTTAAAGTGATAGTTTCGAACGAAGGACTCCCATGCACCTGCAGAAGATGGACGAGACTGCTACACGCGGACTCTTCTGATTGGGGGTCCTAAGCTGATTTCTCGACTCTTTGGATAAGGTTCGATCGGGTAAGACCGTTCTTGAGGGATTTCCCTTCCGACAAATCGCTGCGTGCAGGAGGATGAGAAAATGGAAAACATAATCAGTGTCCGAGGGCCCCGCCGGCAGAACTCATCTGCTCGACGGAAGAGCTCTATTTCCAACGAAGTTGGCACAGCTGATTGGGTACTCAGAAATTCAGTATCCAGCGTGACCAAAGGATTCATGCTAATCCCTTCGTTCCGATGCAGATGGTATCGCCATGGTCTTCTCGAGCTGCGCCGATCAAAGCCGAAGACGATTTTGTTGGGCACAGTGTGGATATTTTCTGCAGTCGCAAATCCCGCCGAATAGTGTTCCCGAATGGTGCCGAGCGCCCTACGGCGGTGCTAAACAAGTTTCACTTTCAGTCGGAGCACTCACTTGCTTGCTTGGCCCGCACTAAAGCCGTTGAAGACGTTGACTCCGTCGACCACGACGACGTCGTCGTCGTCAACGACGGTGCCGTTCCCGTCTCAGAAACGGAGTCACATAAGTAGCCGGGCACCATTTAACCCGATTGATTAACACGGCACACGGCTAACTGCGTCCACCGAAAGCGTGGTCTCGTTTCGTCGCAGTCTCCGCAGTGCAATCCATCATTCACGGACTATCATCGTCCGGGTGGAAAAAATCGACGGGTAGATGAAGATACATATCTACTTCGCCCGTGCTAGAATCGCCCGATCGGGAGCTGCTTGTAACTTGTCGAGCCCGCAGCGAGCTCGTCACAAGCTCTTGTCGAGGTCGTTCCCTCAATTCGGGGTATTTGTAGGCTATCGCGAAATGAGGTCGTTTTCCGGATTCGAGCCGGAAGTTCCCCCGGTGGAGTCCTGAGCTCGGAGAAACGGCGGGAGACTCCGGTCTTGAAGGATGGGTCGTTTCTGCTCATCAGTCTGCTCGATATGAGTCGGCAGGAATTTTCCATCTATCCGAGCCTCCAGCCAGCTTGGATCGCGGGGGGGGGCTCGGATCGGGGGCAGCACTCGTGAATGTGGCTCCAATCGAGAAACCATTGCCGCTGTTTTTTGACCGAAGGGGAATGAGTTTTCGCATCGTGTCCAGCGACTGAATTTATCCACGGGTCCGGGGATGCGGCATCCGAGAATCCAAACTCCGAAGTCCGCAAGCAGAACTTCTTGGGGAGAGGGATCCTTAACGAAGTATAGGGACCAAACAATTCATTACTGAGTTTCCGTTCCAGTTTGTGAGCGCTTTTGGCTGGGCAGAAGATTTTCAGCCGATCCGAAAGATTCACCTGCTTACTAAAGCGCAGAAAACGCTGTGATCTGGATTTTGGGAGATGCGAATGGAAAAAAAACCGAGAAAAACGCCCGGCCTTGGCTCCGGCTCCTGCTGCTCGAGATTTCCGGCTCAAGAAAGCTGAAGTCGCTCAGCTTTTCACTTCGAGGATCATCCTTCTTGGGGCCAAGTGTGAATAATTTTTTTTCCACAAATCCCAGAGAAGAGATACGTCATGCTCCAATCAGTGGGCATTCGAAGATGCAATCCTAACGAAAAACGTCCGCGGAGCTGTTCCGTGCTCACTGTGTTTGGTGCTCTTTGGGACCCTGGAACGCGCCACCTTTCTTGTGATACTTGCCTCCCGTCGAGTCTTCGAGAGGTGATTTGACACTCTAGACCTCCTAGCCGATTTTCACACTCGATTCAGTCTCTCTCGATCACTCCCCGATCAAACGCCCGAAGCATCATACCTACCTACATAAAGTTGAGAAAAAGGGGGGACGGGGGCTCACCGGCCATTGGCTGCCACTTGATTCACCTGATGCATAGGGAGCCGATATCAATGCTATGGATCGTGTTCAGATGAAGACAAAGCTTCGTTTTCCTGGTTCTTCCCCGTTCCCCGGCAATCTATCTCCTCTGCTCGTTCCTACTGTTTGGAGAAATCGTTCCGTAGCGTAGGGATGAGGTTCCTCTTGAAAACGTGAGAGGAAAATTGAACGCCGGAAACTCGTTAACGCTTAGGGGTCAGAATCGTCACTCGGACGACAATTATTGCCGTGCCGGTTGCCACGACATCAACGGTAGCGAGGCAAGTCGTCCGTTCACTAACCGCAACATCGTAACAAAAAAGTCGTTATCATCTTCAGTTGTCGTAAAGTTTTGTCCGTACAGAACTCTGTGAATGCTTTCGCATCTCTTCTCGGTGTTTTCTCTCTTGAGTTGACTGTTTTCGCTCGGAACGAGAATTCTCACCTGAACCCTAATATCCCCGCTTAGAGTTGTTATTGCAACCCTTGTGCCGTTTCGCTGGCCAAACTACGCATTGCTGAAGATGTGAGGAACGTAGAGCTGGTGCGGGAAAAACGTCGTCAGCCATCATTTGAGGTATCTAGCTCGTATTCATGCTCACAATCTGTCGGAAGGTTGATCGCTCATCGACCGGCTCCATCAATGGAGAGATAAGTCATCGATGAATGGATCAGCGATCGTTTATATGAAGATGCGGGCTTCGGCTACGACCACGGGCACAATGGGGAAAAGAGAAGAATGCGCAGCAATTTTCAAGCGATCAAAGATGTGGTGATTATCACATGCCCAAGCCGCTGTGAGAAGGTGCTTCTTGAGTCTTCTTCCGATTCGTGCCAGTCCTAGCGTGTCCGATACCAACTCGGCAAACGCTTTTAGCGTGGTGGATCTGGCTTTGTCTTCTCCGGAATTTCAGAATTCCATTTGCATGTCATCGACGCCGCTCCCCGTGCCCAGAGTAGAACTCGCGCAATATAGCCGTTCCGTAAGCAATCTCGCTCACTCGTCCCCCGGTGGCGGACTGTTTGTCCGCTCGATCGCTTGCTTTCTCACAACGAGCCAGCCACAAAGATTTCTCGAGCTGAGCAGAACGTCACATCCGAGTGGGATTACATGCCCCTTGAAAGCCATTTGGATGGACTCCGCTCGATGTCGTCGCCAATAAAGCCAATTGCCGTGTGAACCGAAGGGAGCTTTTTTTCGGGTACGTAACCGCGAAGCCGCGGACCCCGGCCGCGCCGCGGCAACGGCCGAAATCGAGAAGAATCAACTGTGCGGGCCGACATCGACCCCTCGTTCCAGGAATAGTAGGCGGATCTGCTCGCTATCTGCAGTATCTCTTGCTGACCGAATTTGTTTCTCGCGAAGTTTTCATTGTCCCTCGAGGAAGCTTTTAATTGCATTTCTCATCGACGTTTCACGGGAATTCAGAGCTCTCGTCTCCCGGGAAACGTGGGACAATTCGACCGATCGCCGGTAACGGATCCGGCGGCTCTTGTGTACGTGAGCGATATCCATAATCTATCGCCCCACGTTAGATTCGGGTGAATTTCGCAAGAACGTCCAAGAGCTCCGACTGCTGCCGTGGATGTGTCGTCGGATGTCATCGGTTCCTTTTTAATTTAATCAACGGTTTCCATTGGGCAGCCCGAATCGCGCTCCGTACGGTGCCGCGTCCCACCAGCAGGCGAAACGACGTTTCACCGAACCTCTCACGTCTCCAGCCCGGAAATCAAAAGTCCGTGACACAAAATTCGCGTGTTCTCCTCTCTTGTCGTCCGACTTCGCGCGAGATACCTATCCCTAATATTTCACTCAGACACGGACTTTCATCCGCAGAATTTGTCAGCTGGTCTTGAGCGGCTCCGATCGCGGCGGATTCAGCATAAGGAAATTATTCTAGGTTGCAATTCAAATCCATCCGAGCTGACCCCCTGAGCGACTCGGATTTCCAACTCTGGATCTCACAAATGACCCCTGCGTAGTTTCAACGGAGTTTCGACGTCTCACGCGGGACGAAGCCCATCCCAAAGTTAACGAGGTGTAAAGGACGGTGAGGAAGGATCGGTCTTAAACGGACCTTAAGCCTCGGATCGTTCGCCGTCAAAGACTTCATGACGACGACGACGACTCCGACGGGGCCCATCAGCCTTGAGTCGTTTCGCATCCACCAATGCTCGCCAGGCATATTGACCGACCATTCGGTCGAACGTAACTGGAGGCTTACGGAAGTGACTTGCCTCGATTAGAGCGTTTGTATAAATCCTCCACGTTTGCTCGATGGACACGTGGGTGATTGGATTTAAACCCCCGGGAGGCCGGTGCCGCGGCGCGCCGTGGTCAACATTGGGATCACGCGGAAAAATCAACAACTTCCGTCAGTAGGATCTAGTTGTCATTTCGCACGCTCAATGTCTTCGGAACTCGGGCAGACTGGACAAACTCACTGTCAGCTGCCGAAAACGTCACCTTATCCATAAGGCCGACCGGTGTCAGCTTGACACCGCACGCGCGATGCCCAAGGGCCGTCGTCGAAAACTGACCACTCGAAGTCGCCCACGTTCGCGAGTGAAACGACGTGAAGTCTACTCCTAGGGATATATCTATTGCAATGAAAGCGCGACTCAGGATTTATCGAATCTCTGAACGCTCGGTTCCGCGAAGTCTCCTGAACGAAGCTGTTAGCGGATCAACATCTGTCACGGACCGGTGTACGGAATGGTGGAGGGAAACCCTCGTGAAACAAAACAAGCAAGGTAAAATTGAGCCGGAGACGTGAAACAGGGAAGCAACCGCGGGAACGACATGAATGAGGGCAATGCCCCCTGCACCCACCGAAAACAACAACAACATCGCCACCACCCAGAGAGCTACTGGAAATGGAGATGTTTCGGACAGTTTTGCCTCTGGGGGCGTCCGCTGTCTGCGGTTGTGTCGCGCTCCCATCTTCGGACGCGATATCCGCTAGGGTGGCAGCGGGAAAAAAGCGAAGGAACCACGGGGTGCGGAACATAAAAATCATCAACGAATGCGAATCTTGGAAGAAACACAAGAACTCTCGCTGCAGGAGTTTTTAGTGCGATGGAGCGAAGACGTAACGAAAACAAAAGCCGAAGTTGTTCGAGGCGATACGCGCGCGGTCTTCCACGATTTCGGAGCTTACTTCGGTAATTAAATACTTTACAGAAAATTACATCGATGGGAAGTTTCGGAAGAGGGGAAGTTAGGAACGAGCTTCCGGGCGATGCAAGCCTAGCGAAGATTCGCACCCTCGATCCGAGTTGCTCGCGAATGGCTGATAGCCTCTCCTGCCCCCCGAACGGGATGACCGCCGCGACGACACCAAAATCGATAGCGGTCTCGAAGCGACGGACGTTCCGATGAAACTTCCGTGACGAACAAAATTTGCGAGCGAGAAGGAAGCTCAAAACTAGAATCAGCCGCTGTCGCCGACGTTACCTCGGCCTTGAACTTATGGTTCGACAGGCGGATGGCGTCCAGACCCTTCTTTCATGGAGGAAAACCGGGATCCATTGGTACACCGCGAAATTATCGAGGCCTCCATCACATTCTCGAACTTTGCAGCTGGTGGAATAAGATCGGTCAGGTTCCGTTAGAAGATCATCTCAATGTTTGGATGATAGAACAAAGTCTTCGGAACGTAAAAAGAGTTTCAGTCTGCTAGACCGGATCGTTGCATTCAGATATTACAGACCAGTGCCCAGAAAGAGGAGAAATCTTCCGCTTCCTTTCGGATGGAGCAGTGCACTGATTAAAATTCTGATGGGTGAAATGTCCGTATTTCAAGCTGACGAATGCTGCCGGGTTGGCGACAACACTGGCGGGGCTCGAGCGTCTGTCAACGATGATTGCCGCGCCTATCTCTCTGATGGGTAGTTTTCCCACCGGAATATATACATATTTGGCGCATGTTTACAGTTCACCGTGAATACCGGTTGTCAGATGGATTCGCCAATGTAGCTCAGGTCTACTACATGCAAGGTGAAGAATTCTCGATGCTGAAGATTCTACTGCAGCGCGACGATGGGATGTCCGTAGTGGGATCCACCGACGGATAGCCCGATGGTTATCGTGGGCATCCGTGAATCATAAGCAGATCTGAGATTTGAGTCGATTACCCCGACCATGTATGGGGCCGCTGGCTCGATTTCACTGGCGGCCTGGCTCCTTCCGGAAACCTTCCGAAGCCTCTCGACGGGCCGGAGTCAAATCGTCCCGGAAACCCTGCTCAATCCGAGTGAATTCAGTATCAGCTGCCTACCCCGGCCGAGGACAATATCGGTTCACTGCCAAGATCCCGACTAACGCGAAGAATCGGCGCAAGACACCAAATTCGAAAATGGCAGCGAGATGTTTCGCGATCGGATCCACAGTCCGGCACATCACTGTCACGAAGAGCGGTGAACCGTCACCGTTCCTAAGAGCCGACGACGCCTGGTTTGCCCGTGAAGTGATGACGAAACACAGTTGCAGCAGAGGGCTGCAATCCTTGGGTGCACTCTAAAAAGGCGTGATTCCGAGCTTCTTATCGAAGCTCTTTTTAATTCGCAAAACAGGCGCTCTTCCCTGAACGGGCATCGGAGCGGTTCATCTCCGTCTGGAAGGGCTCGACGAGGCGTTGCTTATCCAAGAGCTCCTTTCATATTTTTGGTTTCGTCACGGCTTAGAGGAAAACACTGGGGCTACAAAGTGCTGCTGGTGCTGCTCCTTGAGATCACCGGATCGGCGGCATCGTAGACACGTCTTTTCATTGTTGAATGGCGCACCTTGCTCTACCATCAGGGCTAGCGTTTGCCCTCGGCAACGAGCCGCCGACGATCCTTGTGAACGCTCGGACGCGTTCATCTCAAGCAACGGGAATGAATTCTTCCTCGAGTCGAATTGTTACATCAGTTCATGCCTTCATGTGATTGTCGGATGCGAAACTATTGTCCGGCCACCCTGAATTCACCTGCAGAGCTACTCGCTCGAATGATTCAATGAATGGGTGAACGAGTGACGGCACCGAAGGAAACCGATGGAAATTGATGCACGTCTCCCTCGTCGGAATGCGTCTGTGTCCGGAATCACGCCACTTCTCCATACGGTAGAGAGGACTCACGGAGCACTTGTCAGAAGCGCGGTCTGCCAACGAATTTGATCGGGAGGATGACTCCTCGACTCGAGGTCTCCGCCCTCGAATCAGAAGTGACATGACCTAACTCGGCGAAATAAGGCGAAGATTCTGCTGATCGCAAACACTGCCACGGCAGATGAAGTTGTTCGATCGGATCAGTGAATCGGTTGGCGTGTTTATTTTGTGCGTCGGCACTCGCTTGCTCGATCGTTCGGCTCCTCGCTTACGGGTGGCTCGCTCGCGCATCCTCATCTGATAGTGATTTTTCCTTTTCCTGTTCCGCGGGTTATCTCATCGAAGGACGCGTGAGCTTCACTTTCTGAGCGATAACGCTAATCCGTTCGATGACTGATGGTATTTTTCCGTTCCAAACTTTTTCGCTCATTTGTGTAGTTCCCGCAAGAGCGGCAGTCTCAAAATTCCCGGGATTCTGTACGAACTCTCCAGGACCCAGATCTCGGCGGTGGAACCTCATTGAGCTTCCTTCCTTGGATCGATTCTGTTGAATCTTGTGCGGCGATGTGATTCCGCGAATTGACTGATGTAGGCCAGAAGCTTTGAATCTGCTGTGGATGGAACCGCGATTCGTGGAGCCGATCGTGCATTTTTGTGACCGCTAATCGCAAATGATTTCTCGCTTCCTGCCGTAGTGGACGCATGCATCTCAGTTTCGACGAATAAATGTCGCGGCACCGCGAAGCTCCAACTTGTTCACTTGGGGAAGGCACGAGAGGATATTGATAGACTAGAATCGCGCCAGATGGTGGCGTGACGCGAGGGTTCTCTTATTAGCGTGCAACGTGATGACCGAGGCATCAGGAAGGAGAATCCGCTCTCCAGAGTGATGATCCGAATGCCTCCCAGTTTGTCACGATGACATTGAATCTAGGGTCTACTGGCGCGATCGGAGCGATTCAGGAGATCTTGCCATGAGAAAAGAACCGGCTCCCCAAGAGGAGATATCCGTTCGACGATATCATTCAACGTTATCAGCGTGACGCGTCGAACGACGGTTTTATTCTTCGTCGATCTAAGTACAGTGTCACCTTCGAGAACCAATGTAAAGGATTTTTTTTTCGCGGAATCATCGATACGCCGCGCAGGCCGACCGTCGAATCCCGATCAGCTCATGAATAAAGAAATCAGCTGTGAATCTGCGCCTCACGGGTGTCTCATAGAGTAACGCGGGCTTATGAAGGGGAATAATTATCGTCTTTAGTGGGGATCGCTTGCTCGAATCGGGTAGAATACAGTTTTAGCGTACAGAGACTGAGGGCAACCGTTTACCCGTCGTTCCCGGAGATTTTCCATTAATGATTGTCTCATTCCTCCTTTCAGGCCATCCGTTGGGATGCTGGCTGTCTGAGGTCGATGATGCAAGTCCTCTTATCCCTGCACTACCTGCCCATTCTTATCTTCGTGACAGATGTCGCCGCTCAGTACAACTCCGAAACGGTACCTTTCCTCGACCCCATGGCACCTCAAACGCCTGACCAGCCCATCATGAAATACCGTCAACGAACTACGAGCAAACGAAGTTCTTGGCGAATGAGGTCCCGTTATGCTTCGAAATCCGGCAAGGGCAACTTCTTGCAGTTCGTGAGGCGGCCCTTCAGTCAGAGAATCGTCGGACGACTCAACAACGACATCGATGGATGCGATATGGGTCAGAAATGCGGGATGATCTTTAGCTGCCTCATGTCCGGCGGTAAGCCTGTCAAGGCGTGCAGTGGAAGTCTGCTGCAGTACTGCTGCGATCATCCTTCGGAGAAAATCATCCAACCACCGGTTTTCGGACCAGTTAAGAACGATCCTTACTGCGGCCGGAGCGGGGGTCGCGTGAGTCGCATTGTCGGCGGTAATGATGCAGAATTCGGAGAGTTCCCGTGGCAAGCGTTCATTCTCGTGGCGGGAAGTCGCTGCGGAGGAGCCTTGGTCGGTCGGCAGCATGTCGTCACTGCCGGACACTGCGTCGCGAAAGCCAAGAGCGCGGAATCGATCAAGGTCATCTTGGGCGACCTAGTGCTCAACTCGGACCTCGAGGAATTGCCAAATGAAGAGTTCAACGTCGTGCAGATCAGAGTTCATCCCAACTTCCAGTTCACTCCTCAGGCAGATCGCTACGACGTCGCCATTTTGGTTCTCGATCGTCCGGTCCAGTACCGAGAGAACATCATGCCGATCTGTATACCTGAGAAGGGGGCCGATTTCACCGGACGCACGGCGACGGTTGCGGGTTGGGGCGCCGTCGAGCCCGGCTCGAAGCTCCGACCTCGGACGCTCCAGAATGTCCAGGTGCCCGTCATGAAGAACGAGCAGTGCGAACGTTGGCACAGGAAACAAGGCATAAACCTGCGCATTCATCCGGAGATGATGTGCGCGGGGTACGAGTTCGGTGGACGGGATTCGTGCCAGGGCGATTCGGGTGGCCCTCTCATGTTCAACGACAACGGAGTGTGGTACCTGATTGGGGTCGTTTCCGCTGGATATTCTTGCGCGAAGCAGTATCAGCCCGGTATCTATCACCGTGTATCAAGTTCCTCAGACTGGATCTCTGCCAACGTTTTCAGCTAGCCAATAGTTCCTCCGCTCCCGTCGAGGAATCTGTACAGTAAACCGCCTAGGTAGGACTTTAGCGAGTCGCTTTCCGGGAGGGGAAATCTGAAAGAAATGGCCTGTACATACATAGTTCGGAAAAGTATGAATCTTCTCCCGAAGCCCGCTTGATCGATGGGGACAACAATGCGCCTGCTGCCCGATATCGCTTAGGTTTAGTTCTCAGGCAGGTGAACTCCTGCATAAGTCGTCTGGAAGTCTTCAGGAGCATACGCTGCAGGTCAGCGATCGTAGTATTTATTGACGGAGCGTTTCCGCTCCCGGGGCGGTGGTGAGTCACCGTGGGGATGAGCGGAACGATTGATCGGGTCGTTCCCAGAATAGGATTTTGAAAATGGATGTCTCGAGATGTGTGCTTCAACGACTCTGCCAGGCTCAGTGCGTTTCCTCTTGTGATGGATTGAATTGGAACTTGACTCTATAAAGTGCGTCTCGCGTTTTCCTCTTCTCTTCACTTGAATCGAGAATTCGTTTGTTAATTATTTGCCTCGCTAATCACTGAATGCGAAAGCGATCGGCTCTCTTCCATGACCGCGGGTTCGTTGATATAGTTAGAAAGAGAGCCGGAACAAAAAGCTAGAAGCGGCTTACGTCGACTAGAAGCGAATTACAATCAAAAAGAATAGAAGGCAAAACCCACGGCTCGCGGCGGAATCCAAAGAAGATTTTCTCTTTGAAAGCGATTTGAACAAGTTCGCATGTCGAACGATATTTCAAATGGATGGTCGAACGAAGCGACCCACCGACCGACAGGCCGGCCGGCCGGCCGGCCGGCCAGCCGATCGACAGATCGGGCAGCAGTCGGAAACGCAACTCGTGTTCACGTGTCATGGTCCGAACCCATAGCGCTAAGCGGTCGGTGTAAAAGACAACGAAAAGCATTTTATTCCAAAACTTGATGGACTGCTTGAGTGACTTATTGAACGGGGTGCGCACATCCGATTGGCCGCTGGGATGATATTTTTTAATCTTGTGGGTCGTGAGTCGTGATACGGAGCGTCTGATAAAGCGTTTGCGTGGCTGGGTCCGGATTATGGTGGACCGTGCCCGAGCGTGCTATAGGCTCGACGATGAGCTTCGATGACACGCCGCCGCTACCGCTGCGACGGAAGCGTGGACGCTCCAAACAAGTTTCAGTTTACACCAGGACACGGATGATTTCCCGGACAGCTCGCTAAATCTCCCCATCATCTTTCTTTTAAATGGAATCGCATCTATGGTCCGCGTCGCTACCTCCATCTCTCATTCACCCTTCCTTACGGGACCATTCACTATAATATCTGCGCTCATCCAGTGTGGCAACAATCGCTTTCTTCCTTGCCACGAACGATGTGGCAAATCTGAGAACGGAGCACACATTCTCAGTTCTCGGCGTCGTCATAATCATCACCACTACCACCATCGTTTCCTGCTTCTCCGCTCCTGCGCGGAGGTTAATCCCGCAGATCCATCCGGACACTGATCTGCCGTGGTCTATTATTGAAAGGTCTTTTCAGACTTCTATTGTTCTCGGCCGCTCGCCGATGGGGAGTGCAGCCCGCTGTAAATTCTGTTTTGGCTCCTAGCGGTACTTTCTCTTCGCCCCCACGCTTCCGAGGGTCAGATTGTGAACCTGTGTTCAACGCAAAGGCGGCTCGATAGGCGGATACAGAAGACTCGCAGTCGCGTGAATGAGTGTTGGCAGCTCAATCGACGCTGTTTGACCAGCGCGTCTCACAATAGCCGATATGTTTGGGGGAGGCAGAGGATGAGCGAAGCGCTTGGCCATATCCTCTCATATCTGTTCGCTTTTGACCATTATCCGCCTCTCACTACTTCTTCAGCCAATCTACTTTGGCTCCAGGGTGTATCTTTGTTTTGCCTGTCTTGTTGTGCTTATTATTTTTCTTCATATATCTATCTATCTTCCGACCCGTGAATAGTCCATCGATCGATCACATCTTCGAAGACTGACAGCCGTCCACTGACCTCTGACTGGCGGAATCGGAGGAAGTGACGCGAACGGTTGACTGACTGGCTGGCTCCGCACCGACTTTCGTAGAGCCGCTATCATGCATCTCCCCCCTCGATTGTGTTTTTCGAGGCAGGGAGTGAGCCGCTATTCGTCCCAGCGTCTCATCGTCCATGAATCAATCTCCTCCATACCGATTGTTCCGTGAGAATGCAAAAAAATGCCCCTTGACATGAGACCGCTAAACTGCGGCTCGCAAGAGATTATTTCCAGTTTTCAGGGTGGATCAGGACCGAGTTCGTTGGATTCAGAAGACGATACAAAGGAGAAAGAAGAGAAGGTTTCTGCGGAGCTCCCCCATGGAAGCAGGAATTTCGACAGAGCAGACGTTTTCTGATCGCACTTGACCAACAAGAAACTATGGAACGAACCGGATTTTCGTGGAACGGCGAGCCAGATTGCAGCCTTTCTCGTAGTCTCTGGGAAAATGACTGATGAATTCGCAAGTGAATGGAGACGATTAAAGCGGCTGGCAGTGGAGCGCTCAGCCGAATCGCATCGATCATCATGATTAGCAAGATACTTCAGTGATTTCTCGAGCCTCCCGAAACTCCTTTCGAAGACTCCCATGGCACAATTTCAAGCTATCTCCGGCTCTTGTCTGTGCCCGTCTTTAGTGGACCCTTAGAAATCGCCCGCAAAGAATCGAGAAGGACTCAAGCACAGTGGCGGATCCAGGGGGGGGGGGAGCTCACGATTCTTCGATCCCTGTGCTAAAGCATGGGCCGCGAGGTTACGCGTCATCATTTTCGGCTCTTTTCCCCCTGAGAATATGACTTGCCCCCCCCTCCCCCAAGGGAAAAAAGCTGCATCCGCCCCTGCTCAAGCGAGCCGGTGGAGGTCCTTCCCCTTGGAATCGAGGAAAACTGAAATACGGAGCCGGACGAATAGCAGAGATGGTATAATTTTCATAAGTTTCCTGATTTCGGAGTGGCACGTCTTCAATTTCGAATTGACTTGTACATACGGAATCCCGGTCATGGGACCGCCTAGCCTAGAGAGTTGACTGCCTACCTGCACAATCTGATCAGAAGATCAGACCGAGAAATTGAATACCGAATGCGATCCTTTCGAATCTTTTTTATTCGGCCAATCCATCTCAGTTACACACAGTCGACTGATGTACTACTTATTCGCGTACGCTCAGCTCCAAGATTCCGGGTCTTTCTCGACGCTATCCGGGTGCAGCATGCAACTTTAAAAAACGTGATCATCTGAGCTACGCAGTGCGGCTGACGATTCCTCATACGACGAAACTAGATAGCCACTCGTAACATGAGGGGTCCCACTCAAGGCTCCCATCAATAAGTCAAGTCGAGAAATTTTTACCGACTAGTGTACCGTGAGAGAGGCGTCTCAGTGGCCAATCCAAGAGATTCACCATGATACAGCCCCTAAAGAATATTCTCAATCGAAACAATTGGAGACAACATCCAGGAGGAGAATAAATAGGTTCGTCAGCTGGCGGAGAGGGCGGTACTGTATTCTATCTGGACTGCAACTTAGATCTCTCGATAACATGTCGGGGAAGAAGGGGGAGCTATGGAATGACGTCTGTTTCGACCCTTGTTCCGCTGTCTTGGATCTTGGGATACCGTATTATGCGTCTTGCAAAGATGAAATCAGATTCAGGAAGCGAATTCACCAATCGCTCATATATTATCCGAGAACGCAAAACAGCAATCCATAATTTTTCGAATACCTAGTCTGAAAAAGCGATATATATACTGTATATGTGTTTTTTTGGGAATCGCATTGGGAAATCCGAAAACAATAAATATTGATCATGAGCGCATCCGATCCGAAGCTTCGAGCCCTTGACACATATGTACCTGGTTCGAGGGAACATCCTGTTATTCAGTACCTCTGGAGCACCTCGGAAGAGCTCCAGGTTCGGGATCGTATTAGTGTCGATCAATCTTCGAAATGATAGGAGTGAATTTTCAAGTTCAAACCCTCCGAGAACGCAATCAAGTATCTCCCTATGGGAGATAATTATGAAGGATTCGAATTTCCGCAGCGAGCACATGAGGTTCTGCATTTGAGGAATCCGACGGAGGAATATTTCCGCGAGGCTAAGCTCGATTCACGAACATTCGTAGCGTCGCTTATTCTCAAATGGAAATAATTCCGAAAGTGAAAGTTGCGTCGATTTAGGTATATTGTATGATCTGTCTAGGATTATATATTATGAGCTATGTAACAAATTTAAACGGGCTGTTTCCTATCTCAATCCCTCCTCGGGAGCCTGGTCCCTCAGAAATCGACATCTTGAACGTCTGTTGGTGTCTCAGGCTGAAATTTCACAACCTCTTGATTCGTCGGGGTGGTGCAATCGGCAGGATTAGCCGCACTTTGCTCTTGGTTGAGGAACGCGTTCCCAGACGGTGGCACTGGCTTCGGAGGCGAGCTCTTCGCTTGAGCCGCATATGGAGAACTAGGCACCGTCACGAGGGCATCGATATCCATGAGGCAGCGAACGACAGTTTCCTGCGTGAAAGAGACGGTATTCAGTTATACTTGAGGGGTTGCGGAGATTTCAAGGTGCGAATTCATCGGAGCAACCGACTCCAAGGAAAAGGAATGATGGAGCAGAAGAGGGGACCTCTCAAGCTTACCGCTTTTAGGTTCACTATCGAGCTGAGAGCGACAATCAGCTTGTCGAAATGGTGGTCGGGGTAGACCAGTGTCCGGCACCAATGGAATCCTTTGATCGCTGCGCCGACGCAGGCCGCGGCCAGAAGTGAGGGCTTATGATACATGAAAGCGTTTTCTGTAATCGAACGATCGGCAAAGTTAGGATTTCGGTCCGCATGGAGACGACTGCCCTCGCACGATACGGAATGATAAGGCGATCCCTGGTACGGAACAGGAAGTTTCTTGTGCAATCGGGAAACCCCTCCACAGAAAATCGAGGCGTAGTTTCGACCGAGTGTGTCTGTGATGAATAGTTTGTGTGGCGCAACCGTAGAATATGCGGAAGGCGCTCCTCAGGTCTCTGGGGCTCTCTTGCAGAGAGGATTCTCGATAAATTGTGATTTCGTGTTTTGATTATCTGTTTGGCTTGCGTCATTTTGTGCGACGTGCCTCCAGCTCGGGGTGAACACCCTCGGCCCTTCAGGTTTCGTCTTCTTGTGCCGCCGCTTCTTGCTGCATTTCTCGCCCCTACCCTTGTCGCGGAGGTAGACAGCGCTGGAGGAGTCGCTTGTGAAGGGAGGCAGTCAACAAGAGAGCGACTGGGTAGGCATTTAATGTTTCACAATCTCATGTTCTCCTCCCGGAAGGGGCCAGACCCGCTTCTCCGGCCGCGCGTTTCTACGAGTTCGATACGATTCGCGCACGCAATCAGGCTTCTACCTTCAATATTAACACGAACGCCACTCCGACGGCCGACATCCACCAAGCATATGTGCTCTGCCGCTGCTGCCTCTACCGATGCATAAGTCGGCAACCTCAATTCCATGTGCCCACGTTCGCCGGGTGCTGTCCGATTAAAATCAAGCGAGTGGAGCGAGTGCCATCGACTCTCCCTGCAGCTTACAGACTCTTCGAACTCGCTGAAGTCATGGGTTGCCCTCCGCTCCGGCGCTGCTGAAGCCGCCGCCTTCGAGGACGATGAAGCCAGATGGTCTCCAGGAATGCAAGAGTACGAGCTCGGCCATTGTGTGGTCTCGATCCTAGGTTTTGAGGGCATTTTTAAAAGCCCACGAGTACACAATGAACGCGAAAGCGGCGACTACGGTCGAGAAGTGCCCGGACCGGGAGGAATATAAAGCCGACTGTGGCCCTTTTTCTTGTGAAAAGCCAGCATTCGTAGGAAAGATCCCTGATCGGAGCGAATACAAGCACATAGGAAAGCATGCATCGATTGTACTCGCTGCCGGGACGGCGGCCGTAAGTCATAGAAAGCCTCATCCAGTTCGGGTCGTAAACATTTCCTGGCCCTCATACTTTTGCTTGAATGAATCCAATTGAAGCAGCGGCGGGCCATGGCGGACACGAGACGGTCTGCCTTCGGAAAAATGCTGCTTTTCGGCGGCCCGGTGGTAACCTAGTTTTGTCAAGTACCGCTACGAAGAGAGCAGATGCTGAGCCCGACGTCACCGCTGTTGTCTTTTTCGAACATAGTGGACACCATATGGCGTCGTTGCCGAAGTCCTAGTCGTCTTCGCCAAGTCATGGGGCGCCCCTGGCGTAGCTCCGGCTCACAAGGTCGGTGATTTCTGCATGCTTCTCTTCGTTCACTCGCTCGTAGTCGCGATGTTGACGTTAGCGTGAGCTGGACCCTGTATGTTCTCGTGACATGCTAACCCTCGATGCAGCGATCGGGCAAGGTCGGCTCGACTCTGGGGAGACCGCGGTTCCGAGAACGTCAATCATTAGGTCACAGAACTACCGCTATATCGAAGGATCAGCCGACTGACTGAGTCAGAGTGAGCGAATGATTGAGCTAGTCACTGTCTCTGTCTGTCTGTCAGTAGCCACCGAGCTTCGACGGCAATCGCGCTAACGATGATTAGCGTTATCGATACGCGATACGAGCGGCTTCCGTAAAGGATACGGAAGCTGGATGAGGATGTTTTTCGTGCATGAATAGATTTGGGAGAAACAGATTTCGGACCGTCGGAGAACAGAAGAGGGCGAGGGAACGAGCCGAAAAAATCTAAGCACGTTATCGGCAAGGGCCAGACGAGCTCGGGTCGGGGCTCGGGACCTCCTGCTCACCGAGGGTCGGAGCTCCTTCGAATCACAGTAGAAGTTCAGCTGGCGTTGCTCAAACGTCAATCAACGTTGAGGTCGCTAATGCTGAATGAATTTTCTGAATGACGGGAGAATGCACTCGAAAAATGATTACTCATCGCCCCCTCGGACTTTGTTCTTTTTTCTCTCTCGTGTAGTTCGAACGCACCCAAAAGCGAACATTAACTTAGTGAGCGGTCCGGCAGCCGACCCATCTGTCCGGAAGCTCCTTGACGTCGTCGAGTGAACCAGATCGACGCCGGTAGAAGTCGTCGTCGTCGTACTGTCCATAGCCGCGGCCGCCGGAGCGCCAGCAACAAACCATCTGTCGACGTATGTAGACGACAGCGCTCGACGTAGTCTTTGCATTGACGCCATGTTTAAATCCCGCACACAGTTCACAGAACAGTCGTAGCACCTGGCATTTGAACCACGCTAACGTTGTCGCTTGGTGTACGGAGGCCTCGCGTACAGAGGGAAAGTCAAACGCTGCCTGAAGGACCATCACACACAAAGAGAAAATACACCACGCCGATTGAGCATCAAGACATGGCTGGCGGCGCTCGACCGCACATATGCCGCACGATGCCGTCCTGGGAGAGCACGAGTCCATCGGAATCCTGAGAGGACGATCAACGTTTCAGCGACAGACGACGTGGGCGGACTTCGAGAGCTCAGTGAGGCCGAAAGTCAACTTCGAGTCGAACAGAAACCAACGGATAACCGGCTCTCGAAAGTTCGTCGGGTCGGAGCGAAACGAGTCCGAGAATTTCAACCGTTCCGAGCTCGTTCGAACGGATGTCCCATTCAGAATGCTTTCGTGGGACGCGTCCGCGACGTGAACAAGGCATGTCTACGATGAACATATGCGAGCTAACGCCTGATCTCCGTGTCTCTCGAGCGGAGTTGGGTACCGTCAATCGTCGACCCAGACGCTTCTCGTAATTTAAATGACCCATTTCCGATCAGGGTCCCCTAATGGGGCGTAACAGGTGGCGGCTGCATGGCCCTCCGACTATCGGTCACTACCACTGCAGTGGTGCCCCCGAATAGCCGAGATTTTACGACGTGTAAAACGTGATCAAAGAACTCGTCACCGTCCGCGGCGAATTCACGACGAGACAGCGAGCGAGCTGAAGTTCAAGTTCATCTGGCGCCGTACAAACAAGTTTCTCCCCCGGAGCTCAGTGTCATCGATGACATCTCGGTAACTAGAGGCGGAAGGAGAAATCCCGGGGCGAAACTGGAATACTGTAAATCGAACTAAATTCAAAAATTTCGATCCTTCTCGACCGGAACTTGTCCGGGCAAGTCATTGCGTGCTCTGACGACCGTGATTTAAATTCAATCCCATTGGGGTGAGTGAAAGCTCTGAAACAATCGAGCAACAGCAGCCGCGACGAATGAACGGTTGGTTTCTTGCTATGAAAAGTGGCTTCCGTCGTACGTACGCTCGCACAGTGTCAATTGTTCTCATACGGAAACCGGGCAGCCGGCTCCTCTGTCATCTGGTCGAACGTGCGTGTTTGCTGGTGACCGTCGCGGCCGCCGCAGCCGCTCGAGCTTGTATCTGTTTGTGCGAATCGTGCATGACGACGAGCGAGTCAACTCACTGCGCACAGTACCACGTCGTGATCCATGATCGACACGTAAATCAAACTCTAACGGTTCCTCAACAACGACAACAGCGACGTTAGTCGCTTGAGTCGCCGTTGCGACGTGCGGGTCTCCGAGCTCGTTGTACGGGCACTCTAGCGACGCAAATCGAAAGCCGGGAAGAACTCACGACTCTATGACGACCGTCTGCGTATTACGCGTGACCGCTCAGCGAGCTGCTCAAGTATTGTATCGATGGCTGTCGGTACGGAGCAATTCACGATGCCCAGTCTTGGCGAGGGTAGCGCAGGAGCAAAATTCACCCGTTGGAAAATAAAATCCTTCCTACACTAGACGAGACGAAGGGACACACTGCGGACGCTTTGTAAGAGAAGAGAACGCCAGATGGACTCCGGCTGATGAGACGAGCCCTCAAAATGTTCTAGATGTACCTCAAAACGGCTCATCAACGGCTCTGGTCCGGAAACCGTTTCCCTTTAAGTCTGCGAAGACGACATACACGGCAGAGATAATGCGTCTGCGTTCAGAAACTCGATCCGATTCACGAGCTGTACGCTCCGGCGTTGACGGCAGGTCGCATGGGAGTGTTTTCCGAGAGAACGTTCCGTATTTCGTGAATACTCAACGCTCGAGTGTTCGACGGGCGATAGTTTCTCACTGGTTTGGAACGGCTCTGATTGAAGCTGAGGGGGAATGAAGAGGAACATCCGAGATTCCTCAGCTGTTCTCCGATTCCCCGACGGTTGACTCCGAATGCAGTGTAGCGTCAAAAGGCAACGTACCCAACGTACAACGCACCGGGCTCGGTCTCCCACCACCTGGGCCGTCGAGTCGGGTTCAAGTCGCGGTCACAACGGAAGAACGTATTTTTTTTTCGCTTCCATTCGTCTCTCAACCCGAGTCCCACCGCTTGGAACGGCCTGAATCGGACGCCATCATCGTCGTGGTCGTCGTTGTCCCGGGAGCGGATTTTTATGTTTCTTTCTCCTTCCTCAAACACTCCCAGTGCTCTTGCTGCTATTTTCGGAGTCGGCATCGAGCGGGGTATTTATCGAAAGCATGCGTTTGTAACTGATTTCCTTTCCAATGACAGCCTCGCTCGTCATGGATTCAGACTGTCGGCATGCGACCATGAGTCGCAAAATTTTTTCGAGCTCGCACGAAGCGCCGTGGTTTTTATCTCCATACCAATCTAAATGCAATGCGAGGGCCTCTCGAACTATTTGGAATTTGTGGAATCAAATCGTCGCCTCCTCGCTCGTCTGCCCGGTTGCATGCCTGCCTGCCCGCCGGTTGGCCAGCCCGCATGTATACGACAGAGCATGCGACCCCCGTGCACTCGAGAAGGTCGCAAGGTGCATTCGACGACGCCCATATGTGCGAACAATGCACGCAGGAATCCGGCCCTCGGGCAACAAGTGCATGGAGCCATGCGTCCGTCTGTTTCGTAGACAGACATGCCACTCATCTGGCGGAGGTGAATTCGGATGGTGAAATCGAAGGCCGTCAAGCGTCGAAACTGTTTCGAGAACTGAGTTTCATTTCGAATGCCCCGAGTATTTCACGGCCATTCCCGTGGTTGGGCAACGCAGGAAGCGGGCGAGGCTTCACTCCATGCAGGAGCCTTGATGATGATGAATCCGCCGACTGACCATCCGCCGATGAATTCGGCCGAGTTATTGCTAATAGATTGGAAACGACCCCCGCGGTGATACGAACGCGTCATGACCATCCGCGAGCACTGAGCGCCACCGCGGAGCGTGCGGTGAAATCCGTAATGAAGCCGAGTTCGGCCAGGATAAGCTGCAGTGGACTACGATGAACTGGAGGCCTTCAGGCGTACGTAGTACGTGTTCTTGCCGGGACAAGCACAGGTGAAAGCACAACCTGCCTCCGTTTGCAGCTGCTTCCCTGGCTAACTATCGAATTGGATTTCGCCGGCGGCGTCAAGCAAACAGAGCCACGCGCCTCGCCACGGCACCGATGAAACCTCCGTCGTACTTCACAACGCAAGCGAACCTCTTAATAGACTGTTGTCGATAAACCACTCTAATATACTCGCGAAAAATACATACTCATACAGACATGCGGCGGCATGCACCTCCGTGCATCGGCCGACCCGAATGCATGGTGCGCGGCCTAGAAGCTATAAATCCGCTTGAAGTACGAGCCACCTAGTCGGTCGCTGTTTACAACCCGGCCGCATAACTATCACTCTGTGATCCCACCGATGCACGGAGCGCACTCCGGGGGAATTTTCGGAAGATTCCTCACCGGAAGGATCGGGAATCTCTGACCGAAAACTCATGAGATTCCATTGGATTCATCGAGAAGGGGGGGAGGGGGCGCTCGCCCGCGATGGAGAACAAAAAATCTTTCGAAACGAAAAAATAATCCGGCCATCCTCGTCGAAACGGGTCGCGCGGCTGGTGCGTCGGTTGAATCGCGCAGAACTCGCTCCGCCGGATCCGCACCGGTGGGGATGCCCACCTCTGGCGAGAGACCGTTGAGTTCGTTGGAATGAGAGTTCGCAGGTGTCGAAAAGCAGGTTGTGGGGGGAAAATGAAATGACTGGTGTCTCGAGCCGGAGCTATTCATGGAGTGCAGCTCGCACCGCACCGCTCCGTAGCACTCCGAGCGACCGGTCGTCTGCCCGATCGGTTGCTTGCAGCGGCTGCGGAAGAGCGACTACAGCGAGCGAACGAGCAAGTCGGCCAGCGAACATGTTCCACGTCGAGCGTGAGCAAACGGTACGATAGAGCATAGGATTTCGGAACACCAACGAAGATATCGATTTTCTGACTCGTCTGGGAACCCGGGGTTTGGAAACTCGAGACAATATCCGGCACGGAGAGAATAAAAGAAATAATTCCTCGGCGCTGTAGAACGAGCAACACGAGAAAGAAATAGTCCGACTTATCGTCGGCGGTATCGACGCCAAATTGACGTCTGCCGCGAACACGATAGCCCCGATCATCTACAGAGTGGCTCAAATCTCCTCTACGTGGCTCGCGAAAATCGAATTCGAAATTTGTTAAGCGCTTGCTGACCTGGGCGGAAACGAGAACCCTGGACGGAACGACGGGGTTCCGAGCTATCAATCGACTCGTGTGCGTATTTTCATTCAGTACTCACCGATGGAAAGCAGACCGAGGATCCCACAGGCTTTCCGCCGAACCTCCGGTATCGATGGGGGACTGACCACTTCGTCGAAAATCGACGCGAGGTAGTCGATTGCGAGGACGTTTTCGGCATTCCACTCGAGAACGTTCAGAACGACCATCTCCCAAGCCTGAAAGATATGAAGACTCGTTTAGCTGGTCGGATTTTGATCCTGAACGAGCATTCTTTCCATCGTTCCCACATCATCGATCGAATGTTACACCGAAACCCCGTTTCCCTCTCTCAATAATTTTGCTTGTTGGGAGCCGCGATCCATATGTATGTATGTACATTGATCGTCGGGAAGATAGCGGATCATCTATCCGCGATATCCATCATAGGTTATCGTCGGTCTGAAGACGAAGGTAGCGAACAACCTGTTCCGGCCTTTGACCGTCAGACCTTCGGTCCGCCCATCGGTCGGTCATCGTTAAGCGTTCTCATCACTGGACGTCGACAGAAGCGCAGAAAGAGAGAACGACTGGCTACCCGGTCTCCTGTAGGCTGGCTGAGACTTTAGCGTCTGACGCCATATGGTGAGCTTCAACGAGACGTCGTCAGCGGCTTGGCCATGAACATGACTGACGAAAACCCCTCGGCCCCACTCTCCTCACTCGCCCGTCTTCCTCCTTGTCTGTAGTACGTGAGTGTAATTGAGAATTTTTTGATGGATAGACTCGTGTTCCTGATAGAATGCAGATGAGATTTGTTTTCTGACAAGGCGAGCGAACGATTGCGTTCCCGATTCCCGATCTTTTAAAGACCCGAGGGAAATCGGAGCAGGAGCTTATATTGGGATCCTAGACCGAGACGGTTCGAAAAGTGGGTCTTACGGCTGTCCTCTGAACCTATTTTTTCACTGTGGGTGTGAGGATTACGACAGCAATGTGTACCCATGACGGCGTATTTCGCCATCTAGAGCCGAGGCATCAGGGTTCTCGTTTGGGTCGTTTGAAACAAAAGTGAACAAAAATTAGCCGTACTAGAAACTTTTGCTTGACCGGCGCAGTCGTTTGCTGCAATCTGAGACGACAACAGAACTAGGGTTTGCTCCCGCCGTGAGTTCCTTTGCTCCGGGACTTGAACCTGAAACCAGGCGACACCCCGTTGAGTGCGCACCGGAGTTTGTCTGTCTAACTTCAATAGCAGCAGCGGTCTCCACATCTGTAGACTTTCTGGTAAACGCTTAACGCTGCACGAGAAAAAGAAGAGGCTCCAAAGTTTGCATTTTGATCAGCCAGCAAGCAAGCGAGCAAACCGGAGGAGGGTAGTTTACATGCTGCTAGCAACCGCGATGGCGCGTTCAACGCGGGCTCTGTGTCTGAGTGAGATAAATATGTGTGTTCCTGCGAGTACTCCGATACTGAAAATTTCACTCCATGGTAAGCCGTGGACAACCGAGGGGCCTGACTTATGACCTAGCCGCCATCTTAGGACGGCGCCGCTCGCTGCAGTTGTCAAGAGAAACTTTTTTCGAAAACGACTCCCAAAACAGATGTACTTAAGCAACAAAACGTCAAATATTCCCGTAGGGCCTGCCCTGACCGATACGTGATAACGATCTCGAATGACAGTCAGTGCCTTGAAATCGGAAACAGCAGAGAAAGAGGCCGATAGAGCGCAGAGTCTTCTCACCCTCACAACTTAATCCTCGACAGAGGGAGACCCGCGCAATCGAGTTGTTGCAATAAATATCAGTTCGGCACATCGCGGCGTCGAAAAGATGATCACCGATGCCGTGTCTGAATCGCCCATGGTGGTGCGCGGAACGGAAGTTCGCTCCCCGAGCGCAACTTCTGGTGTTCTCAACGTCGCATCGTCCGGCTCAGAGCTCGGCGTGGGCTGAGGCTCTTCAGAGAATGCTCCGTCGAGAGCCTCGAACCGAGTCCGGCAAAGTCGCAGAGCGCTCATCGGGTCACATCCGATTGTCTCGTTCGACTTGTGGTTAGGGGCAGTGGACTAGAGAAACTTGGATGTGTCTGATTTGAGCCGAAAAGATTCGCCTTTCACTTATGGGGCCTCTCAGGTAACTGTAGAAGGCGCGTAGACGTTTTGCGTCACCGGTGAATAACCTTTCGCCGAGGAAGTATCCTAACAGCGGAGCTACTAGGTCACCGGATTAAGTCACGGTGAACCTTTAAACTGACTTGCCTAGATTTTCGCCTGTCCAACCACTTGCTGTGTCGGCTGTTTCAGTGAGAGGTTTCGGAAGGACTTCCGAGAAGCATCCGACATCACGGATCATTCGAATTAGCCGCGGAATCGCGAGTCGAGACTTACCCTTATTTCCGAGGCGGATATGGAATAATCACTGAAGTAGACGAGTCGATCAACGGTCAGCGGTCGAGATTGTCTCATTTTGGAAGCCACGAGCAGGGTGACGCAGCCGATGAGTTGGAGTTGAGACTTCTTCACGTCGACTATCGACAGGAAACGATCGACGAGATTCAGTGCCAGCAGAAAAACGGACTCTTCACAGTGCTCTTCCTCAGCCACCTGGAACGAAGTCGAAAAGTCAGCATCCGGATAGAAGATGTGCTCGCGCAGACCATTGAGCACCTATCATGCGTGAAGCGTTCCGTTCGTACGAATTATCATCGTTCCAAATCATCGAGTCGATATCGAGGCGGACTCGCCGAGCAACCGTTCATCCTGCTTAGAGATCGAATCAAAGTAGCCGGTTGTGATGATGATAGGTCTCGTCATGTACTCCGGCCCGGGTCCTTGATCCGAAGTGTAAAAATCTTGACGATAATTACATGTTCGACTCGGAGCTCGGTCGGAGCGCATCACCTCTGCCATGATCGCCTTCATCATCGGCGCCGCCACCAACACCGCCATCACTGCAACCACTGCCCGTAGCAGATGGTTGAAACCAGTCTGATCATTTACAGAGTCCGAATCACGGCCAAGCTGTGACCACTGATGCCAAACCTCACCAGCTCGAGCCTCGGCAGTGCGACAAAGTCGACGTACATACATATGTTCATGCGCGGAGAGATCTCTCCTGTTTCAGGGAATCCGCGTTTTCCGGCAGAAAGAAGAAGCTGTCCTGATTCCGGAGCAGAGGGGAGGCTACGGGGAGTCCCGGAAAAGAAAGAAACGGCACGCTCCCTCTGATCGATTCCGGGAAATGGGTCTGCCTCCGTGGGAGATGCGCCGTCATCGCGACAGACATTGAAGGAGTCCTCCACCTCAGCGGAGCATCAGACCGACCCTTGTCCTCCGGGATTCTGAAGTCTAGCGTCTCGGGGTCTTCGTTGTATCTGCGTGAGTCGAGCGCCAGAAGAGCGTATCGCCGGCCGGACTAGTGGTCCGCCGGTGTTCTGACCATGGACCGACCGATCTACCGCGAGGAGGAGTAGAACCGCGATGAAGGCGACTCACGGTTTCGAGCTGGCTGCCGAGGGTGCTTCTGACGTGGAGTGAAACCGGTTGGCGTCGATTCCCGTTTTCTGTCAAGGCTCGATGGACGTGGACTACGATCATCTGCGAATCGTCTCTATACGGGGGAGCCCCGTCTCCCGTATCTAATTCGTCCCGAGCATTCCCCGTAGAGCGTAAATGTCCCGCGCGGGCACCTCCTCGATGCTTGAGTCCCAAGGCAGGACACCGATCCACAGCAGAGTCGAAAGCGGTCGACACGTCGAGATTCGTTTCGTACCTAGATCCGGAAGCTCGAAAGCAAAGACTGACCAGTCGGTGCCGCGGTGCACGGAACTGCAGGTACTCGGACGTAGCCTCCGCCGATGAGGAGCCGACCCTGAGCCTTTTGGGGGACCGAGAACACCCGACCAGGGGTCTAGATGTCGCGCGGACACCACTTGTTGCCTCATGCGATGGGGAAAACTCGAGAAACTCACCTCCATCATCCAGCCCGCGAGAACCTTTCGCATGTGAGGCTTTATCTCCGACTGCACTGTGAGGAAATAGTCCTGAGAGACAGCGAATTTATCCTCAAGATACAAAAGTTTCTCAACGACACGTTTCGAAGATACCGCGCTGTCCCAAGGCGCGATGGGGGCGACAGGACTCCGGGATCCCTCCAGTCGTTCACCACAGAATAACTCCATGATGTTCCTAGTGCGCGGAACCGTCGGCGATTTTCGGCGAACGCGCGAACAACTCCCCCTGACTGGTGTACGACCGAGTGAAAGAGCGGGCTCCGGGCTGTCTTTTCACTAGCACAATTTTCAGCGTTACTGCTAGCGATTCTCTCACGTCCATGTGCATTGGATCCTTCTCGCCGAAGACCCTCTCCCGAAGGTATCACACCACATCGAGTCGACAGGCAGCCAGGCCGGCCGGCCGGCGTTCAAGCTGCTAGTCGGCGTAGCTGCCAGCCAAAGCTAGCCAGCTGTACCAGACACGGGTGCTTCATGGACAGAAGCTCGGGAGAGCCATGGTGTTGTCGGTGCTGTCGCAAAGTCGAGCCGAAAAGAGAGGACTGCTCGGGTTCTTGGATGGGACGGGTGGGGTACCGTATTCAGACCGTGGGCCTCCGCTCCTCCGATCAATGCATCGCGACATATGCTGCACAGATCGGAACTACTCCTTTTGTGACTTCAGACAAACCTCAAATATACGATCAGCGCTTAGCGTTCGAACTCGGTCAGAGTATCCGGAGTTCCGTGGAGAGAATGAGGTACAGCGCAGGGGCGCAGATCGGCGCATGAGACACCTCCGGCTGCGGCGGCAGGCGCGGCCGATCTTCATCTTGAAGATTCACGTCCTGACTCCTTCAACTCGGAGAGAATTCATGGGCTCATGCTTGAAGAACGAGCAGAGGGATGGTCACAGATCGAAGTTTCCGAAGACTTCGGTATTGACTTTAGAAGATTGCTGACGAGGCCGCGACGTCCACACATACGTGCGATCAAAGCGGATCCGGTCGACGTCTGTGCATGTGGAGGAATCCCGTTAACATCTGCTTCTCTTCGCGGATGCGCATCGTCGGAAGCTCGACTACTCACTTTCTTGGCAAAAGCCACGGCGGCGAAGAGCACTTCAGCAAGTGGCCACATCGTTTCTCTTACCGGGGGCAGCTGGTGGCGGTTGTCCGCAGATTATCTTCACCTTCAGTGCGCAGTTTTCTGGAGACCATTCTATTCAAGGACAGCTAATTGCTGTCTAGCGTATCATTCGGGGGCACTGAATGCAGGCTCTACCCGTGAGTTGGGTCTTTTCTCTTTGTCGCCGCCGATGACATTGGACAAGTAGACGGTCTTACCTTCTTCCTGTCCGGTCCGAGATAGCCGAGGCAGCTGGTCGCGACTGCAGTATGAAGTGAATAGCTCATTGATATATCTGAAAACAGTTCATGCGTTCCCCGGTGCTACTACTCCTCCAATCGTCATGCCGATGCCGCTAGACATGTGTTTCGTTGGGAATCTACTCAGTCACCGGCCTTGGACTTATTCCACTTACTTGGTTCAATTTCGTACAATATTCCGGTTCTTGGGGGTTCGAGACCAGAATCGGCTTCCAGATAAATTATGATTTCGACCATGCAGCTTGCCCGAGATACCAATCGGAGGGATCCCGTTCCGAGTCAATCTGGTCCGATATCTACAAATCCGATGCAGCGAATGCTCACATCATCATGAGGCGATGCTTTTGTTTATTGGATGACGCCCATCAAGCGCTCCGGAGCACACCGTTGAAGGAGCCGAAAATTGATGCATTTCTTCAGCATGGTCACCCTTGCGGTAGAACTCATGGCTCTCATAGCTTCTCCCTGGTGATCCGTAGTTAAACCTCAGGTCGAACGGGGGTACCGCGTGAAGTCTTTCGCGCGAGCATTGCTCGTACTCGGGAGATTTTCGCAATCTCCGGGGCCAATTCTACCTGTCTCCAGGGACAGGGAGAATTTACTTCAGCGTTCGACTGAGAGAATGAAGGAGAATCACGGACAGACAATTTTGGAATCGAACCAGGGTCTCGCCGGGAGGAGTAGCGTCAGCTTGTCGAGACGACCCCGTGCTTCATGTGGTTATGTGCGAGCTATTCAGACCTCCCGGCTACCCATCGGTCCATCTTCCGTACTACGATCTCATGCATTTAGAATAATTTTCCGGGTTAGATCCGCTTCCTGTGAGCCTGCTGGGAGCTGGAAATTCATCGGATAGAGAAATGCTCACGCCCGCATCCGGTGCTCACCTCCGAAATTCGAAAATAATTCGCTGCTCCAAGAGAGAAGCATTCCAAAGAGCTCGGGGGTCGAAGGTCGTGTTCCGCGGGTCACAAATAGCTCGCGAGATTTCTTCCTGTGGCCCGCCGCTAGTCCTGAGGAATTGTTTGGGATCATGTCTTTATCTTTTCATGCTGTCATAGGGTGAAATAATCGAAGATATTCCGGTTCACTACTGTAAGTCGATGAAGGACTGCAATAGGACGGTGCTTTATGTATTCTCGTCGGACTTTCTGGTTCCTGCTGTGGGATTACGGGAATTCACAAACATACTGGAATTCAGATGTGGCCCAATGGTTCCCGTCGCTGCTCCATGTTCCGACAGAGACTTGACTTCGGAACCCCTCCTCGAGAGTATCCTCGAGATACTTTTTCCATCGCACAAAAGAACCACAACTCACACTCAAGCTGGGTCCATCGGATCCTGGATCCAGCAGCAGGGAGAGTAACTTTCTTTGAGAGATCTACGATGGATGCTGCTCCCCGGCGAATTATTAGGCCTCGCGCAAACCTCGCTCTCGATTCAGAATTTGAGCAGGAAGAATGACTCTGACGAACGTGCTCGATGCCCATAGCAGGTCTCATCATCTGATGAAGTCATATTCGACTAGAGAAAACATCACACCCCACCGTCTCGTTGGGTTAGAGTCTGTCATAGCCCCCAAGTCCAGCCGGTCGGTCATAACAGTTTGCGGGCTCTGATTTCTTATGCCTGGCTGAAACCCGAAACTTGATCGATCGCCTTTGCCGGAATGCAAGGTACCCGTGAGGGACCTGAAAACAAACTTCGGCTAAGAACGCTCAGAGCCATCCGGATCGTAATATGCCAAAATCGGAAGAGTGCCCTTCTGCAGTGCTGGCGCTCGGCGCCGGGTGACGTTATTACGCCACTGGTTTTCCCTGCTTTGATTCCGTCACGTGGAGCCGCGGTTCAAGGGGAGTGGAAAACGCATGCTTGAGCATAGCTCCTTCCCGTTTGTCGCGTATTTAAAGCTTTCAGAGCGAGCGAAAATCATCTTGAATTTTACCATCACGCCTCGCTACACCATGGCACAGGTAAGCGACTAGCAGTTTTTGATCGAATTTCCGAAACTTCCTAATTCCTGGAGATCCAGTCCGCCCTCGAGCGATAACGCAAGAGAGGCATTGAATATACAGTCCCATTCGCAGCGTGTCCTCATCTTCGCTCTGTCGGCCGTATATTGCGCACGTGCCGCCTTCGTTGCACCTGCACCTCTAGCATATGGACCAGCGCCAGTAGCCGTCGTTCCGGGCGCCCAGGTAAAGGGCATTCTCCAAACCTGAATGTTCCTTTGTCCGTATCTGGAATCTATAACTCCCTATCAAAGCTGATCGGGTCTTCTCTTCGAAGCCTTACAGTTTCGGTTACGACACCCGTGATGAGTTCGGAACTCGACAAACTCGAAGCGAAGTTTCCAACGCGGCTGGTGCCAAAATAGGATCTTACGGCTACACCGATCCGCATGGCATCTACCGTCAGGTAAATTATATCGCCGACGGAGCGGGTTTCCGAGCGTCGATCTCCACGAATGAGCCTGGAACCTCAGCCAGTGCTACGGGATCGGCACTCTACAACGCACCTACCACCTACGTGGCTCCGAGGCCCGTCGCACCGATTGCTCCCCTAGCCGTAGCTCCGGCTCCTCTAGCTCTTGCTCCAGCTCCTCTGGCTGCAGCTCCGGCGCCGTACTTGGCCCCGCACCAGGTGCACTATCATGGCTGAAACCAGTTCTAGCGCGATCCTTGGAGTGATTCCGCTGTCAGATCCCTTCCGTGATGGCTTTGTGGATGTAAATAATAAAGAACACTAGTATTGCACGGAACGTTGTTTCCGTTATTCCGACTAAGCTGAAGGATTTCGCATTTTCTCGGAGTCACAGCAATGGTGAAGGCAAAGATGAGTACATAACGAAGTAGCGAATTCCCTCGCCGACCCATATATTTATTTATTTCATAAAAACGAACTCATTTTAAGAAAATAAGTATGCCGTGCAGACATACATTGTGTACTTTCGAGAACATCACGGGGAAGCTCGACGACGGCTCCCGTCAATATTACGCATCCACTGTTATGTACGTCCTATCCGCTCTGAGCTCCCATCCTGCAACGTGTGAGCGGGTTTGAAGCGGGTTACGCCTCTCTCGTCAACGAACATTAATTTTGGATTCGGGGTGCTTTTCTCCCCCAAAGACGAGAAGCCTTGATCGTACAAGGGGCAATAAGGAATATATAATTCTCTAATGAAAGTCCAAACTTGACTGTAGTTCCACTTGAGTATGGGAAAAACCCTCATGGCTCGAGGCCAATCCGGGTCAGTCTCCTTGAAATGCTGCAAGGTCTCGCCTTTCGGATCGACCGTCCGATTGCCCAACAGGAAGACATTCAATCCGTCGTCGATAGCTCTCTGCAAGGCCTCTTTATACGGGGGACGACACGTACTCATCTTCGCCGCGTATAAGGCTAAACTATCGTCGACGAATCTATCAACTTCGGGTCGGCCCTTGCCGGATGTCACGTAGAACCAATGTTGAGGGACATCAGCGATGCCTCTTCTGTCTTTGTAGTCTTGGAGGGCAGCATAGTAGAGGAAGGCCACAACGATGCAATCTTTGCCTCCTGAGAAGCCCACGCAAATCTCTTCAGGTTTGTAGCGCTCCAGGGTCTCGAGAACCACGTTGTAGGCCTCACGGACGAAGTCGTACTTGGCTGCCAGAACCTCGACACGTTTCGCAGCCGCCTCCAATGGACGTTGGAGGAAACCATCCAGAATGGTACCTTTGGGCAATTTCTCCGCTAGGTAAGATTCTACGTCAGTCAAAAGTGAAGCGTTCGAAGCTTCTAGCCGTAATCGTGTTTTGTAATAGTTCCCATACAGTTCTGGGTATGAGCCGAAGGTGACATCTTTGAATTTGTGAACGGCATCGTTCAAGTGCTTCGTGATGCTCGCCTCGTCCAGCGTCAGGTACAGCTCTTTGCTTATTTCGGGCATTTCTTCGAGTTTCAGATGTTTCACGACTACGGGGAAGAGCTTCTCGACCAACACTGGAACACCGGGGAAAATCACGACGTTCTCCAATTTGATGAAACAGACCTTGAATTGCTTCGAACTGTGCGAAACTTGTTCCACGATAGACACAGCGCCTTCTGGAATGCGGGCGAATTTCGTCAAAGGGCTCGTCTCGTCTAGTTTCCCGAAGTATAGCTCGAACATGTCCAACACCTCTCGACGGAGTTCGGTCCGTTGGTTGAAAACCTTTGCGATTGCTTCATATGTAATGTCATCGTGCGTGGGTCCGACACCTCCAAACGTGAAAACGAAATCGAACCTTCTCGAAAAATCTTTGACCGTTGCGCCGATCTCTTGTAGATCATCCCCGACGAAGTTGATCCTTTTGACGCTGACACGATACCTCCGTAGATTCTTTAAAGTGAAGTAAGCATTCGAATCCCGGACATCACCACGTAGCACTTCATCACCGATCACAATGAGCCCAGCCGTCGGATTGGTCGCGATGCAACGTTTCTGTATCAAGCCCAGAAGTGATCGGGCGGACAGCATCTCTAGAGAGCGGTCATTTCTGGAAGAACAGAACGGAAAAAATGTGAGGATTCTCGTTCGGTCGTGGTGTGAGTATCAGAGGCAGCGGCCGGGGTTGGAAGGGAAATGTCTCACGAATACAACCGCACAGCCCAGGACCGCGGCTCGGAGTCCATGCATGTGCGGCAGAGATTCCACTTGGAAGGGTAATTATTCGCGACAGCAATCCCGGTGGTCACCGAGGAGCTCGGGCTCGAATCACTCGTACGGCGGCGCGGATAGCAGAGACGGCAACGAGGATCGTTCCATTTGTTTTTCACCGCGCTAACCCGATAGGGTCAGGACCCTGGCACTTGCTGAATCGCTCTCCTTGATCCCCTCCGACTGTGGGAGCCACAGAGTCAGAGGGAGGAGGCCGAAAACGTCTTCGATGGTCGATACGGGCACCTCTCAGAAATGTCATCTTACGCTCAATGGGAACGTCACTCACGACGGACACCTCCGGAACGACAACTAATTACATGCGAGGTGCGTTGATTCACGTGTGGGTGTGTACGGAGATTTCCTCGATGAGCGAATTAGCTTGAGACGAGGATATCATGAATTGATTTCTCTGGGAATCGCGATTCCCAGCAGTTCCCACGGAATCGGTCCTTTCTGCGCTAGGAAGTATCCCCGCTTTTTGAAGTATCGATAAATCCATCGTATCATCCTCGAACAGCTCAGAGGGAACTCTCATCTTAGGCTCTCAGAATCGACCGTGATCCGAGGCTCAACAAGACTTGGCGAGGAGCTAGCAATGCTTGAGCTTGGCCCCGGGCTCGGAAATACGGTCGGATGAGGGTTCGCCGAGGGGCACAACTCAGGGTGCGAATTTGTTTGCAGGATCCGCACTGCCCGTGAATCCGGTGATAATATAGCGCTTTGCGTCGATCTTCCAGGGATCTCAGGGTTCTGAGCGAAGTTTACGGTCCTCCAGTGCGACACGCCGCGATCACGGCTTGTTTGTTGTCCCGCCAAAAATTTCTCCCCCCAGTCACGACTAGGCCCGTCGAGGGGTTTGTCGCGATGACTTGCCGCGAAATTGCAGTAAAATCGCGCCCTCAATTGATTTTCCATGGAGAATCGTGGCAGAATGCCGCGAGAAAACGCGGGTTCCGCGATTCTCTTGCGGCCCTGGCCATGACCTATGAGTATGAGTCATGACTTTGGACATGCCCTGAGAGAGGAACAACAGATATAGTGATACACTTTTAATCGGAATGTCCTTCTTGGAAGGTTCCATGGAGCCGGTCAGCCAGGGGTGAAGATAGGAATTGGGAGAAGGGAATCCACTTACGACGTTCGATCCATCAAAATGAATCAGACCCTGTCTTCGGATGCCCTTCAGTCGCTTTCCTCTCATAGCGAATCGATGAAGACCGGACAAAGCAACCTACGAGACTCAGATGAGCTGAGGGCAGGAGGGAGGAGCTTAGAGCTCAGAGCAAGGGATTTCTCATCGGGGCAATCCATCGGAACCTCTCCACAGTGGCTGACAATTTCGAACGACACCAGAACTTAATTTTCAACTGTACAACGAAGAATTCAAAGCACCGCCACCGGCAAATCTCACCAGAACGGGTCCTTGCGGATCTAGGTCGTTCCTCCCGACGTCGCCTTGAATAGACGACTGACAGAGTACCGGGGCTCTCCTCGCGGAGCTCTCTCGCAACGGGCTCGCTCGTGATCAGCTGATGTGAGCCGACGGCGAAAGTTAGTATTCAAGATGGCGACTGAGGCACTCAGTAGCAGACAGTATGGACGAGCGCGCTCATTGAAATTCCACAGCGGCTGAGACACAGCGAATCATCGGGATATAAGCACACTGCTTGCAGCAGCGGGTGGCGAACCCTTGTCTCTGAGCCTAGAGCGGAATATGGTTAGGACGTTCTATGACGTTCGTCAGCTCCTACCGCTCTACTTCACACCGAAACGTTTTCGACTCCAAAGAGCCATGGCATTTCACCCAAGGCATTCTCCCGGGACACTCCTCCCTAGAGGAGGACATCCGCTGCATTGGTCCGATTCGAAACCTCTCAGACAGCCCTCGGAAGATCTGTGTAGCTCTTCCGACATCCGGACGGCCAATGTCAGGATCCGGATATCTCAGCTTGGCAAGTTCTCAGAACAAGTTGTGCAAGTCTTCGCGGTCAGTCCGATGGACTGATCGGGAGCAAGGAATTCCGCTCAGGAAATCGAGCACTCTGTGAGCGCGAAGACGGGACGGAATGATATGTAGTTACCGATAGTTACTGATTCCCCGATCCGGAGCCTGGATACATTACGAATCAGAGGTTCCCACTATTCTCATTGAAGACATTTCTTTCCAGCTTCGGAATGACGAGAAAAGTCCATAAATTAACAGCATCCAGGAGGATGAAGGGGGTATCACAACTCAAGACAATCGTTGAGGAGCCGACTAACTAAACTTTCTCCTAGTCGCTTTATCCTGCACCCTCCCTGTAGCAGCTCTCTGAGCGCCGCCGCTGCCGCAGCATTTTCAAACATTGGGAGAGGGTCCTCGACATCATCTGCGCGGCTCACCGCGATTCTAGCCCGTCCTCTGATTACGCTGCTAATTCCCCAGTATTTCCGATTCTCCCATGAATTACCTCATGAGGAGTTCTTTCCAGAAGTTCTGATTGTCATTTTCATTCGGTGGCGTACCGACGAGAGCTCGAGATCCGTCCTCGAATGAGCTGCCCACGAAGTGCTGGAGATAGAGAGGAAGGATTTCGCATGGTGCTCGATGCCTATGGTGTGTCCCTCCTTCTCCCCTGAGCGGGATTTCTCTTTCCATCAACGAGTGAGCGGCGACTACCACAGACCGATGTGGCGAGTCCCGTTGCTAAGAGATGTCGGCGCTTCGTGAAGCGACGAACTAGAGGTCTGGCCGAGAGGCTGACTGACGAACAGACACACACACCGACGGCAGTAGACGGCTCATCTAGAAGCGAGCGATTGCCCATCACGCTCTCCGGTGCTTTAGCGCGGTAGCCGAGCGAGTCCGTCGATAGTGTCCCCGCACAGGAATCGCTGCCAGTGCGAGAGCGTGAGAAAAGAAGCAAGGGCCGACTGAGTGCTCGGAGAGTGCTCGAGGAGTGCTCAGAGGTTCCGTGAAAACGTACGGATCCTCCACTCATCCCCATCAGCTGATCGTTGTCATCATCATCATCATTCCTCACCGCGCCGATAATGCCGCCGTCGCCTCCAAACACCGTGGATCGACTGGGTTACTGGGGTAACCAAACTTCCACTCTCGATTGGTGCGAGTATAATTACGAAGTGAGCATCTATATCGCTGAATTCTGTGAGTACCCATCCGGCCTAAGGCATGACAGATATGATCCAACACTGTTCCTCCCGGAGAATTCGCGTGCCCAGTATCGCTGTTTTGGGCCCAACTCTATCATGAGTCCACCTGATTCGACCTCTTACACGGAGTCCCTCGCGCACAGAAACGAAATATCTCCGGGTTCTCAGATGTTCATGAGTCATCTCGTGAGTGGAGCTCTCCCGCCTCGTTCCTCTGGAGCCGTAACTACTTTGAGACTCTTCGAGCACGCTCGATTCGAGTGCTATGAGACTTTATCGTAACTCTTATTTGGCCGCGCGCTCCCCCAGGGTGTGGAGCGGTCAATAGATAGTCGAAGTACGGAAAATGAGAGATCAGTGCTCAATTCAGCTCTTGAATGAACCATTGACGACCGTAATTGGGTGCTTCATTGGTTCCATTCACAACCTCTCTCGATGTAGAACGCGAACGATTCATCTGACTGACGAGCATGAAGTTGAACCTCTCTAGCCTGATTCGTCTGGTTCATCCGTTTTTCCCAGAGTGGTTCGCGCAGCCCTATCGAGCGCTCAAAAATTGCGGAATCATCGTTTCCTGTTGCTCCGTTGCGCTACAGTGTTTACGGATCTAAAATGTTCTTTCCTCGTTACAGGGAATACGCTGTCGAACCTCTTCATGATAGTGCCACCTTTGTGGGCAATTTATTTAGGAATACGACAACAAATTGGCACTCGACTACTGCTCTGCTACCTCTCCTTGTTGGGTGAGTTATATTCTCTGCGCCCTCCGCGCATAGGGATGAAGCTCGTATGGCTGCACAATTGGCATGGTGATCGCCTTTCCGACATCGAGCGGTGAACCTGCGAAAAAAAATGAATGCGATCGACCACGAGCCGTATCGATCGTCCTCACATCATCATTCGACAAGATTAAGCGAGAACATAGTTCCTATTGGAATACGTCTTGTTGCACACAGCCCTCCGATTTAGCAAGACCATCATCGGATGCCTGGCGGCTTCTCGTTTGTTTTCGGGGTCTTATTTAGTCAGGGATTCGATTCTCATTCCGCGCGGGTCACATGTAAGTCGACTAGGTCCTGTCGCTGTCTGCGATGAGGTGATGGGAGCCGAGTCGCTCAAGCAAAACTTGATAGCAAACTCTCGCTAGCTCAACGTAGATCCAATGAGCGCCGATGTGGCGTTGGCGGACACATGAGGATGGTTGGCGGTCGCCCGGTCGGCAGGCGGTCCTTCGCGCTGCAGGTTCCGGTAACCGTCGGCCCGGCTTTGTGATCCTGCTGCTACAAGCTTTCGAATCGTCAGGTTTCTTCTCCGTTCACACCGTTCAGATAGACAGACTGCTCTTTGAGCACGATGACAGTGTTCTTGAACGAAAGCTCATCGCTAGACTCGGAATCCGTGGGTCCCCTAGAGTCTTGAGCGACGAGATGCTGATCCGAGTCTCGCGTCGGAGGCGATCACAGCTCTTATGATTATCTTAGGTCAGGAGTCTCAGTCAGAGGGAAGCTCTCGATTTCCGATCAGACCGTAAATGCGGCGAGGATTTTCCAAGCTGTGCCGGAATCAGCTCGGTCGAATTGAGACTTCAATGAACTTGATTGGTACCGATCGGCATCGAATGATCGTCTAGTCCACACCAGAATTGTCGCATCGCCGATTCAATGACACCAGGTGTTTTTTCCTCGACGGAGATGTCTCATGTGGCGATCAGTGGTCCACGGATCCTATTCGTCGGCGTTCTGAAGCTATCCGTGCTGCTGTGAGAATGGATTCCTGCGATCACAGAATGTCGACCACAGCTTCAAGTCCGCGACATATTCTGAATCTGAGAAATGAAATCCATCACACGTCAAATGGTGCGGCAGGGCGACAAGCCGGAGGCCGTCAGGATTCGAAAAAAACCGGAAACGTCTATGCAAATCTTGATGATTCCTTAAACGCGTTCGCGTGTTTGCCCAGCTTCACCCGAGCGCAGCTGCCGCGCGACGGCAAGTCTCAGTCAGCTATGCTGAAACAGGAGATGGCTGACCCGCGAGCAGGCGAATCACGGACTCTTCTGGGGCAACGTTCAGAATCAACTATCGATCAAGGACGTCGCGTGCTCCTTTGCAGTCTTTTTGTCCGGTTTCTTTTTCGACCGCTGTTCCTCGTCGAGTCCGAGCCCGATAGAGTCTAAGATTAGACATTGCTTGTTCTCGAATCTGGTCGTGCTTTGCCTGATTCCGTCATAAATAATCTCGAAGCGAATCTAGTGCACCGCTTCTTGTGAGGAGAACACTAAGTCCTCCAACAAGGCCATCGCAAACCTTCTGAGAGAACTCATTCGAATGTTATCCCAGCAGTCAGATCGGATAAAAGAGCAATATAACATGGATTCTCCAGAATCTTGATCCTGATATCTATCTAAGCAGAAAAAAAACCTTGTCCGCGCAATACGAGCGAATATCAGCGATAAATGACTCTGTTATCCAGCGAAGCTTCCTACGGATATGACGATGAAAGTCGATGATAGCGGCTTCCCCGCTTTCCATTTATTAACTACGGGAACCATGGCAGATCGCTTGGCTTGGATCTTGGCTCGACTTTCATCGTCGCAACCGACGGATGCCCAAGCTGCGTTGGCGCTCCGCACGTGACGTGCAGATTCGCAGAGACCCGGTCTTTGCTGAGAGGACGTTCCTTCGTTCGGGAGGCCGCCTCAGAGCTGTTTTTCCGCGCGGGTCCCCGAAGTAGTCCCATGCTGCACCCTTCATGGGCACGTATTCATAGAGAACGTATTCCCGGAGAGTTTCCGTAGGATTTCAGGGGGGTTTTCGGGGGGAGACGCTTCCTGTCGAGGTGGATGTATGAGTAGATTCCTGGGACCGTGACAAACCGACCCCAGTGCCAACAGGCTCTGGTATATAACGGTGCTGCGACCTCGAGACAAATGTGGAATCAGAGGAGAAATCGCGCCCCTCATGATTTTTGAATCTTTTCCCGGATAGGCCGAGCACGGAATCGAAGAAGTCCGCATTCGATTTCATTCTACCCAATCGAGAAACCACCTTATGACCGGTGACCGTCCCCTAGAGAATGGATACATGAGATCCTTCTCCCCGACGTAAGAGGAGCCGTCATACAGAGAGCGACGCTAGATCGCTCTTGAGAATTCCTGCCCTGTCGAACTTGCTCCACAGACGTCGCAATGAGAACGACCTTAAACTCTCCACCGAGTATCGACGATACGAATCTCTGCAGACCGAGGGGAAGGCTGCCAGCCAGCAGGGCGTGGGGATTCCTGGCCATTTTCAAGATTTCTCCGGCTGGGGACGCATCCCTCGTTTTATCGAGGATTGAAAACGTATTCGAAGTATCCGGGAACCGATTACTGATCGAGCCGTACAATTGCGGAAAACTGGTCATCCTGAACAGTCATGCACTTCGAGCGAGCACCGGAAAGATATTTGCATCCATCGCTGGGAGGAAACTACTCGGCACGGAATGGTGGAAGTATTGGGAAACAGCGGAAGTCTCACGGCGGCTTTCGATCATTTTCCAGCCTCCGTGATGAGGAAAAAAAATAGAAGAGGAGAATCGGTACCGGCTGCTCGGGGTGTTTCGAGATCCGCTTCATATTTGCATGCCTTCTTCAATTTACTCTCCACTAATATTCAGGAACCTCAGTGCCCCGAACGCGGCAAATCAATTTTTCCTCACGGCACTGCCCACTATTCCTGGACGGGAAATTCGGGTGTTAAATGATATCCTCATTCCGTGACTGCGGAAGCATCAATGCCGGCTGCTGACAATCGGACAGTCGAGCCTCGAGGGAGAAGCAGATACGTTAGAAACGCTCTCGGGTTCAAATTTCTCCTCCGTTGCGTCACGTGTGTTCCGAAAAAAAAATTGTCGTTTGGCCTGTGATTCCCACAAGCAAGAGATAGTTTGTTGGGCTGGGCTTTCGTTTCGACGTCTCAGCCGGGAGTTCTCGGCGCCGAAAGCCTCTCGATGGAGGGGATCTATCCACCAGATAGGATGCGAAATCAGAGTTTCTGAACAGAATCTTTGATGTGGAAAGAACTCTAGAAGAAAATTCAAGTGCTCCTCTTCGATGTTTTCCCCGGATAGCATCGGATAAGAAGGGACGGCACCTATTCCGATTTCTGGAGTTTCTCTTCCGTGAAACAGACTCGTCTTAGTAAATTTCGAACCAATGTACATTTATCATCTGATCTGTCTGAGATCGGGAAGCGGATCCAAATGTCTTCCATGTTCATGATGGATGGTGTCCGAGCCGAATCCGTAGGAAATGACTTCCGAATCAATCAAGGGGATCGGAAGACATAAATTTGGTGGAACCCGCTATGCCCGGGTGGGGAAGCAAGCCCCTGAAGAAGCTCGGACCTATCCCTCTGAGACTGAGATCTTCCGACAGTTTTGTTTCTGAATGTCTTTTGAGTTGACATGTAGCGTGAGAATGGGTGGTCTGACATGGTGCCCTGCTCGAGCCGAAGGTACTGTCCCCGGCTTGACCGTCATCGGATGCTGCGGAATACCGCATTTAGATCCCAGTCCCTGATATTCTTCCTCAGTCTTCTAAACGATCGTATTTTCCAGTCGTTGGCATCGGGTCGTGGTTGTTCCACATGACGCTCCTCTATGAAATGCAACTCATGGACGAACTTCCGATGGTCTGGGGCACATTGGCATCCAGCTATACCTTGTGAGTTCGACTGCCTGTAATCTATATAATAATCTTAGGCCTGAAGTTACAGGACCTTGATTCGCTCTGACGGGTCGACGGACATCTTGAAGCGATTCATTTTTTCACCTTCGAAGCTTGAACTCCGATACCGATCACGTGCAGTCCCCAAGCTTCCGATACGAATTTGACTTGAACTATTTCGCGATTTCGCAGATACGACATCGACGCAGATGAATCCAAAGTCAACGTGAAACTCGCACTCGGTCTCGTGCTTTACGGAACGATCATATCGGTGGTCTATGTTACTATCAATATCCCAGAATTCCATCAGGCGGCCTATGGACTCCTCGTCGCCGTATCTTTCCTGTACAGTTTCAACTTAGCGCGGTAAGTATACGGATGCATCTGTCATTGCTCCGAGGCGGGAGGGTTCCTCTCAGCTCGGCTAGAATACGATTCTACTGCCTCCAAAAATCGAGTCTATCCGCCGCGAGCAATGGTCGTAGCGACCTTTAATCACATTATCGGTGCTCCAGCCGGACTTCGCCATGACAATTTTTGAGTGGCAGCTGGACGCCATAAGACACTAGACATCTCTTCTCTCAATCTCGATCAGATATCAACCACAATTACAGATTCTCGATTTTCGGGGAGATAGATACTCCGCGGTAACTGACTCCTGGATTGTCGAAAGCAAGCGAATCGACGAATTCTTGAACAAGAATAGCGCATGGAATCAAAAACTTCTCCTCAGACATCCACCGCCGTTGTCTAATATTTCTGGAGCTGCTTCTCTGACGCGTGTTTCTCTTTGATATTCCAGAAAAAAATACTTCCCGATGCGATGGTTCCTGTTATCCATCTGCATGTACGCAGTTGGTTTCGCCGTTTGGAACATAGACAACGTTTTCTGTTCCAACTTGAGGACTGTGCGTAGTGGGTTGCCAGGATTTTTTGCGCCTCTCACGCAGCTGCACGCCTGGTGGCATTTCTTCGCCGGCTACGGTTCCTATATTTCGATATTGTATCTGAGTCAGGCGCGTCTAAAAGCCTTGAAACGCCATGGACATGTCAAAGTCGGTTGCATAGGTCTTTATGTCGACGTTGGGAGGGAGAAGGTTGCAACTGAATAGGACATCTGGTGATCGTAGGGCATACTGAGAATCGCGCCAGCCTTCGTCTTTCAGAAGAGGTGCATCTGATCCGAGACAATCTTTCCACATCAATGAGAAGACTTGGGCATCCTCTTATCGGAATTTCTTCTTCCAAATCAAACATCGACCTATGTTTCGTGAAATTCTTCCTGATGGCTCGATTGTAGTTGCTTGGCGATCACCGGGAAAAGGTCGTAGGTAGTAATTGAACAAACTGTTTAGGGAGAGAAGAGGGGACCAAAAAGAGGCGTGGCGGGGTTCCAGAACAGAAATGCTCGAATTCATGAATCCCACGCACGTCCATCCATGCAGTGCCACTAGTCTTGTCGGATGGCCTTTCCTTGCCGCATAGTCTTTAAATTGTTTTGGCCTCTTGGCAGCTTGGGCTATACTATCTCAAATGGACGAAATTCTTCCTCAGTCAACAGAGCCCTCGTCCGTCAGAGTCATTTATCAGCTGAGTGATGTAGCCGTCTCTCGGTTCCAGCAATCAGATAGCGGTTTCTACAAGTTGATGCCGTTGTGATTCTTTTTTAACATGAAGGTCTGTCATCGTAGTCTGGACGATGGAAACTTCTCCTATACTTTGTCAAAGTCTCCTGAGAAGCTCGACTGGGTTCCTCGAAACCAAAAAGTCAGGATAGAGTAGTTATTTAAATATGCGTACGTATTTACATGTATCTCGTGAACTTTTTGGAGCTAATAAAACCTATCGAACAATCACAAGATCTCATCATTATGATAATCATCGTTAGTATGATGATGAATAAATCTATGATCAATGATCATCATTGTCATTTTGGAGATTATTCTTATCGTTACTATCATTATCATGATCATGATGATTAATCATTATTAACGGTGCCTCGAGCCCGCCCTCCGCAGAAGGCCCCCCGAATTCACTGATCCAAGCGGGACCTTGAACGAAAGGAGTGGCCATCCTCCATCGGAGAGACGTTCAGCTTCAGTCATCCAACACCTCACTTACCCTGGGAACGTCTTTCGACCGTCGTTTCTTGAGCGAGGAAGCTCTGGAAGAGGTCGGAGATCGACATCATCGACGTATCATCGGAATCCTCCGTCCATCGTTTTCGTTCATCAGCCCTCCCGATAAGAAAACATCATTCCCCAATTGTCGGCATCGGCACGCAGCTTCTCCATTCGACGATCTTCCATGGGATGCAACTCAGGGACTCATCGCCGTAGTCCCTGCGCAAGTCTCCGACCAGTAGAAATGTTTCCTTCTCGGGAACTGTCGTCATGCTCGCAAAGGAGATTCGGTAGGTATTTCGAGACGCTTGAAATATCGGAACTGATTCCGGCACCGCGCCGTTCGGAAAGAATAGCAGTGAGCCTGTGATTTGGCCTGCGATCGTGGAGAACACTCTCGCATGAAACAACGATTACGGGGAGCCGATTGTACCCTGGTGGAAAGCTCTAATCGATTTGACCGAGATCGGTAATCCATTGAAGCAGTCCAGAGATCTCGCCGTTACATCTCGATTCATTCGGGGAAAGACCTGCGTCTTTGGAGCCCGCAGCTCCCTTGAAAGTCCCGCTCCTCGAAAGCAAGTCCTATCCGTGAGAGATCTCACTTCACTCGAATCGATAGGAGTGAAGATGAGAAGCCGGAAATTCATTTTTGGTGCAGTAGAGCGCATCCTTCCCTTCGAATCAGGTTTGCTTCACTGGGTCCGAGCGGGAATGCCCCCTTTGGCGATGAGTCGAGAAGGATATTATCACTAGGCGTGAGAGCCCTTCGCCCAGAAGGAGGCAACGTGCCAGCAGGGCCGTGATGTCGACATGATTGAGGAGCTTCACATTAGCTGAAAAATAACGATCACCGGAGAAACACTTGAGTTTTGCCGAAAGCGTGCGTCTAAGCAGCCTGGAGTATATTTCTTGACCTCACTGAGGCGATTGGGCATCGATTGGGAAAAGTCAGAAGTCTGTTCGGAGAGGAGAAGCGCCAACAATTGCTTTGGAGACAGACGGACATTGCGATTTAATTCTAGAGGGGGATTAGAATTTCCAAACAACCCCCTTCTCGGCTGTAACAAGGAGTTGAGAGCCCGCAGCTGGATGACCCCTGTGAGATGATTCTCCTGGAGACTTTCCACGGTCATTGTCATGTTGCCCCTAATCTCGACTCGAATTGGGCGTCCGTCGCATACGAAACCACCGCGTTGGATCGGCGAAATTCCGTTTCGGGAGCCTCCTGCGACTCCCGGCTTTTCCATCTTTCGATCTGTATAGAGAACATACAGATTGCTGGAGTGAAAGGTCGGTGTGCCGTCATCTAATCCTTTACATCGGCCCTGCTTTTCACCGGGCCTGAACGTGCCATAACAATTATGCAAATCTCATTCGAAATTCAATAGTATACATTCAGAAGATTCGGCTCGATACGGAGAGATTGTACCGCTTGTAGCCTGCCCTGGCGACGATTTCCTGAGTCTACAACTCTTCGATTACTCCGAATCTATGTGAGGAGTTCTCCCAATACTTAGAGAGCCTCTGGATCAAACGGTTGATATACGCTTCTACTCTGCATGGCCTTCTCGTCATAAATTTCGGGCGGCCTCGTCGGGAGCGAATGTCAACGCAGAGAATCACTCCCCGATATCTCGACAGCTCACCGTCGCGTCGCATGTCATTCGTAAGTAGGCCATTACACCGCCCGATAAGCACCCAAGTCATCATCATTTATTGGCTCTACGGAGACCAGAACTCGACCTGGCTTGCTAAGAACCGTGAGAGGTATCCTTTCAACATTTCCATAGGATCGGAACCTGAATTTCTGAAGCGCCCTCGCAACCACAAACTTCGTAGACATCAGGGCAAGTCGCATTCCGACGCAATTCCTGGGACCGTCTCCGAATGGCTGGAAAGCGAGACGATTATTTGTTCGGGCCTCGAAGCGTTCAGGACGGAATTCCAGCGGCTCATCCCAGTGTCTCTCATCCCGTTGAATCGATGAGACGGCGAACAAGATGTTGAGGCCAGCTGGGAAGGTAGTTCCTCTAAACTTGAATTCCTCGGCGGCTTGTCGTGTGTTAAACCTGCAAATTCTCGACCCTTGGAATGTCAGGGACTCGGTTGAATTTGACCGGGAATCCGTTAATAATAATTCACTCAAAGTCCGAATCTCCGATGTCGACGACTCACCCGGTGGCAGGGGGATAAAGCCTGAGAACTTCGTTTATCACACTATCGAGATACTGCAGTTTCGAAACTGTGTAGTATTCGAGCTCGTCTCGCGCATATCGGTTGATTTCTTCTCTCAGACGATCCTGAACATCTTGATTCTGACCGAGACAGAAGAACAAGTACGACAACAGAATGCTTGTTGTGTCAACTCCGACAAAGTACGATCCTACTGAGTTGCCCACGAGCTCTCCTTCACTCAAGGCTGGTGTTGTTGAGGTTGAGTTGTCCTCTGAGGAAAGTCATCGGGAAATTTCAATGAGATAATGATTCGACTCGTACCGGACCCCATCCATTCCACCTCAATAGAATTGCCCGACACCAACCTGAAGCATCTATCAACCTCTGCAGGAGATTGTTAGATTTCTCAGCTCGCTTCCTTGACCCGATAATATTTTTCAGCATTGCACAGAGATCGTCATCGGGTCTTTTGATGATACCGAGCTTGGATAAATAGAAAAACACCCCTTTGAAGCCGTATCCCAGCGTACTGAACGAATTCACTAACAGATCGAGGCTACCGGTCATTGAGGATTCTGCGACTTTTGTGATCGTATCGCGTATACTACTGTTCTCCTTTTGCGCTTGAGCCCCGACATCGATTCCGAACACGGTTCGCCCCATATTGTCTATCGAGAGGCTGGTGACCAGCGGTACAATGTCGAAAGGACCTCTCTGCTTCTTCAGATTCACGATGAAGTCTTCGGCTCCCCGCAGAATCAGGGGCAGCATCTCTTTCATATTCCTCGTCGTGAAGGCTGGCGTCATCAAGGACCGTAGCTTTTTCCACTTTTCCCCGCTCACCAGGCTCAGAAATCCTTCTATGTTCGGATTGGACATCTGCAATACGAGAAGCGGAGCCCGATTCACGAAATTTGAGAAATTCATCACAAGAGCGTATTGAGCGAACTCAACATCGGTGCTGACGAGGAGCGGCTTAGTCCCGAGGAATATGCCGTAGAAATCGCCGTAGTCCTCCGCCCATTTCTCGAGCCAGTGGATGTGGTTTTCTTGGAATTTGTCGTAATGCCCCCAGAAGAAATTCGGCTCGGGTCCCGGTATGCCAAGTTTCTTGAAGTACCGGAGCTCATCTCTGCGGCGTTTGACTAGAACAGCGACGAGCACAGCAATGAGAACCACGAAATAACCGGTAAGCATTGAAGTCATCTTCGCCTATTGAGGCAGGGACGGGGCTCGGAACGACAGTCGAACGAACACTGATCGTGTGTTCCATAGGGTGACCCCTTTCAAAACTTATACGTTGGAAGTAATCCAGATAACGAGCTTCACTATCTTAATCACAGTCGAGGGAGGGCTCTCCCTTTCCTAAGTTTCAAAACATCCACAAATCTTCCGAAGAAATCGGTATTTCGGATTGCGAGTCGTATCTCCTGTCGGATTTATCCTCGTTCTCGCAGTTGGGCATGGAATCAATCGTTCCGAATGGGGCTCGCTCCACCTGTTGCAAACCGAAACCCTCACACATTCCCAGAGCGACATATCCTCACCGACGCATACTCAATGGAGCCATTCCCGATAAAGCCTATTTCCGCTCTAGGTCGTGTCAAGGCTCTTACTGGCTCGACCTAGACCAACCAGATGATTGGAAGGGTAGCGCGCCTAGCTTCTTCTTTGCGAACGAATTTCGAATCCTGGATGGATGGCTTCATAGAGAGGCTCCCGTGGGGATCGCATTTTCGGTTCTGGTGGGAGCGAAGTCCAGCTGCATAGTTCAAGATGACGGTCCTCCTCAAAATAACGTTATTTATTCGGCTTGCTCCAGACCTCAGCCGCCTCACGGCCCTCATGTTCTTATAATACATATTCCATTGACCTCTAAAGAGCAATGATTCGAAATACTGTTGAAGTTGTCCGATCGAACGAAGAGCTGCAATATCATACGCGATCATGGCAAAAAATAGGATACGACATGGATCGTCCATTCGTAGCTTGACATTCGTCTGTATTTTGAAACTGGTATTCCGTCGTCTCGTACACCTACCAACAAGCGGGCTCGACCGATGAGAGAGTCCAGCGGTTCGAGACCTCGGATGCTGTCGCACCCAAAGGGAACCTTCTCCGTAAGTCCGTGTCAACGATAACAATCGCAGCGTAATGCTGACCGGATATGTGTGTATAGTTTCGGAAAAATCTCCATTCTCCGCGATGATCAGAAATCTACTCCCTAGAACGCTTCATGGATTTCTTGCAGCTGCTTGACGGCAAGATCTACGGGCAGGTTGAAGTGAATGGAGCCGAGTTTCTCCAAGGAACGAAATGCATCTTCGAAACCAGTTTTCCGAACGTAGCTCCAAGGAGCGTAATATCTTTCCACGATGGGTTTGCACCGGAGGATCATCTTCAGCCAAGCCGTCAATCTCTTTTCGCTGTGGAGGAGAAGGAAATTATTGAGTTCTCATCACACGTCTCGGATGCCACAGTTGCCGAACTTCTTCGGGATATGAACTCGAACGGAGACTCTGGTTCGGGTAACTAACAGACGACATATTTTCAGATACTGCTCGGACTCACTTGAGGGCGGCGCAGACGAAGGCTTTGAAATGAGTGTCGGCGCTCCGTCTGAGCGGAGTATGGGAGCAAATTATGTTGTGTATGACTCCGAGCAGGGTCTTCTTAGAGCTGGCTCCGTTGACTATATTCAAGTTGAAGCTCTCCGAGAGTTTACGCGCTGGGGTCGCGTTGTATTGAGGACCATTTTTGAAGAAATAGTATTTCAATACGAGGTCCCAAACATGCAGCATTGTTCCGTGCTGTCCCGGTCGCGACGCGAAGCAGCCCATCATCGAGGGAAGGAGGCTCCGCGAGGAGCTTCCCTCGAGACCGTGTTGCAACAGATCACGCAGTGCTCCGGCGAGATCCTTACGGACAGTCATGGTCAGTTGCTCGTTGTATGTCGAATCGGGACCCTGAGTATGGGAAGACTCAATTAAAGATTTGAACACGATTTAGCAACAGCGACAATCACGGGGAGCGGATACGGAAATGAGATAATGGGGTGATTCGTTACCTCGTCGCTCTCACTGGCGTAGTCGCTGTTTGAACTCTGACGGGCATCAGCTGTGTCGACGTCCCGAAGTACCCTCTCGATGGCGAGCTCCAACTTGGCTCGCATATCACTGCAGGAAGGGAACTCGTTGGAGCCAAATCGAGATAACACAAGATCCAAGATTCTCAATGCATAGGCATATTCGAGACTGAGGCCTCCGAGGTTTCTCGAATCTTCGACGAATTCTTCCGATGTCTTACCCCCAGTGGTTCCCGCGAGGGGTCGACTTCATCGTATTACTCCGAAAGCTCGGTTGCTGCCGCGAGCAAGTTCCGAAGTTGAGCACAGCAAAAACGTGCATCAGATTCGCCATTCTTTCGACCATGCGATCTCGACGGTGTCGCTCCTCTTCTGAAGTTGTCCGTCGAGGTCGACGTCTCGGCGGGTGCTTGCGGCAGGCACCTTCTTCGTCGGTGGTATCCGTGTCGGTGCAGACTGCTTCTCGGCCCTACGAATATCGAGTGAACGAACAGAACTTTTAGCGACGGAACTCCACGTGTTTTCCTTTGCGTAGCTTCATCTACGACGACTGAGCCGAAGTCTTGTCTCCATCTTGTCGAATCAGGATGACTCGGTTTCTCACCTGGATGTGCGAATCACAGGTACAAGAGCATTTTGCATTGACGACGGAAGCCGTATCGGTTTGTAGGAAGTCTATGTATCGTTCGAGGTCCGTGACCTGGGTCCGCAACTGCTCCACTAATTGTTCCTTCACTTTAACCGGGTTCACCATCTGATTCGCGTGCGAGCAAATTGAGTCGGATAAATGAGTTAGGCCCTCACTACTCGAGAATCTTATCTTCGGGATTCAATAATGATATTCGTCCATCGGAATTATTCTCTGAGCACTGATGATTATCCGTCCCAAGCTCTCTGATTGAACCTTCATCTGCCGGAACGCGAATATCCAATCGCTTACCTCTTTAATGGCAGAGTCCACTTTCTCCCGAAGCTCCTCGGCTGTGAGAACTTCCATTTCCTCGAGGTTGAGCGCCATACGATCCTTGAGCTGCTCGATAATGACACTTTGCCGTTCTAGCAGCACATTCGATGGTAGGCCTCCGTCCCCGGTTTCGTAGGCGTAAGTCTCTAAATCCTGTAGCTGACTGCGGAGCTTCTCCATGAGGTCCCGCTGCTTCTGTTTCTGTTTTTCCATCAATTCGTCGTGGGCGACTGCCACCTAAAACAGACGAATCAGTATCTCATGAAGGAATCCGAGTTCAACTCATCGGCATCGATGATCCATTTCACTTACGGGCGAAATGAGATCCCGAGCGTCCCCCGAAGGCTCTCTGAGATCCGGGACGCCACGGAAAGCGAACTCTTCCAATTCTTTAAGTAGTGTCTGCAGATGAGAAATATTCTTTCAGGGGCGAAAATCGAAACAACTGCTTCACAGCGAAGCTCCGGGAAACTCGCGTGCCAGAGTAGAGTTATCGGAGTGATGCGGCACTATCTACCTCTTTATTCGGGTCGGGGGCGTCGATGATCTGTTTCAATCGGAACTGCACTTGCGCGAAGTGTGATGTGAGAGCATAGAGAGAGTTATTCAGTTGTTCTTGTTCTTCCTCTAATTGACGAAGGTATTCGCCGTTTGGGCAAGCGTCCGGCTGCATGGACAAACTCTCGCTGTAACGGGATAGAGCGGAGCCTTAGAATTCTATTGTTCGGGTGTATATCATGGATATCGCGCTACGCTTTCATTCCTGATTTGCTGTTCTTGCGGAATTCATGTTCTGTACAGGAGGCGTGATTCAATGCGTCGGAGAAAGCAGTTCTGTCGCCGGGAGAAGCTCTCGTGCTTCTTTTTTGTATTCTCAAACCTCACCATTCCCATTTTCCCTCGAGGTAGACTTCGTCTTCTCCCTCGGACGCCTGGCCCAGAGGAGCAAGCCTCTCTGTGAGTCCCTCCTCGTTTTCTATGTCCGTCCAATTGAAGGGTCTCTGTAGATCCGCAGACACGGGTGCCGCTGTCACAACCTTCGTCGGGGATCCCGGGGAAAAGCTTCCCTCCCCCCTCTCCGGTTGCACAACGAGATCCATCTGAGAAGAAATAAATACGAAATCGGTTGGAAGAAATCATTATCGTATTTAAGTTTGAAGTCTGTAAAGCATGCTGGAGTGCATCCGTTCAAGGAAGGAGACTTTCCGAGAGTTGGAACGGCAATCTTCTTCTAAGTCGCGAGGAGTTGTCGTCATGACCACGTCCGGGATCGGATTACCGTGCACCTCTGTCGGGATTTCACCGCGCAAATCATTGTATCAGATGTTCTGGTCTTTGCCATCCAGCCAGAAGGGCTGTAATAAGTCATCGACATGGAGCCCGTATCTGCGAACCACCACAGCTGCCTCTAGTCAGATGTTCACGATACGACTCGAATCTTTTATGTCGATCTCTTACTCCGCGCGAGCAGGATAGTGAATGAATCGATGTCTCCCGAATATAAGGCTTTGTCCGCGGAACGCTGTAGTTGTTCGCTACTGTGCCCATCTGTCCCCTGAGGACCATGCCAGAATAAACTGACCCAATTCGCTTTGTTCAGCGCTGAGCTCGAAAATAATGGCCAGAACGCTAACGTCACCACTATAAGTCCAGTCGCACTGGAACCATGACGCTTTTCTCATTTAGGACATTCGAGTCGGATGTCAATGGATAGTTTTCTCGATAGCAAGCTCTGGGGAAACACGTTCCGCAGAATTGTGTCAAAAACTCGTGACCGGAAATTTTCCTAATTGTTTTGCTCGCCCTCAACGTAGTCTGACGAGTCGGTCGTCGACCGGTCAGAGCGTTACACGATCCAACGTCTCGCATCTCTCAATCGGGTGGCGAGACGATTCTTTCTCGACTTGCAATAGTGGCGATATATCACTTGTCGGTCTCCCTGAAGTCGAGCCCCTTCTCAGAGGACCTTGACCCGTTTCTCGGAACAGATTTGATCCAATTCTCCGTCGACTACGGAGATTTGTGGACTGTCGAATCGCAAACATCTTTCCAGGAGCCCTCAATCTCCTTCAGGTCTAGAATCTATCCTCCGGCGAATCGGAGGTCGGGTCACTCCACTGGAGAGCGGGAAAAAAATTGGCATGTTCCGGATTATTCCCCCCGCGAGCGAAACTTCCCCGCTCAATAGGCCGTCACCGAATTCGCCTCCGGGCTTGTGGTGGTTATTGGGATAGGGGAGCATTGCCATGGAGCCGTCGAATCGGATTCTGGAAACCGTGTCTCGAGAAATATCCCCCCACAGATTGGGACCGACCTGAACGCCGCGTCTTCTATCCTATCGCAACTCCCTCGGCTCCGTTTCCTATTCGGAGATCCAGTCAGCGAGCCAAAGAATGAAAACGCTCCTTCGAACCTCCGGGTCATGTGAGAGCTCCTCGCGGTGCCAAATCACCATGTGTTATTACAATCCATTCTCCTGAGAATCTTCTGGATTGACCAGCCGGCCTTGTGACATTTCTCTTGCAATTGGGGCTCTCCAAAACAGAAGATCGGGGAGCGGAGCTCTGACATTAAGATTATTTGGATTCTTTGAGCTTCGAGATGGTAACGAATCGTACATCTCCGTCTCCTAGAGAGATATGGAGGAGATGTGTAGGATCGCTGCGGGAGACCGAGCTGCGTGTTCGAATAGGGGGCTGATGTGAACGAGATGAGGCCATCAGACATTTTCGATCTGGAAGGATCGCCGGAAAAAAACGGGCACCTATAACGGGCATGGGAAGGAGTCCGTAGCTCATACATTTTCACGATGGGCCCGCACCGGAAGATTCCCGAGGAGAAATGCCCGAGGAGAAATGCCCGAGGATAATAATCGAGAGGGAGCTCTGGGTGCGTCTTCGTCTCAGGAGACCTATCGCATGGCGGATCCTCGGGAGGACTTCCCCCCATTTTTTCTGGGAGTGCCGAGAATAGAAAAAAAATCGAGATCCTGATGGAGGCTGGATCTTGCTTTACAGATATTATGCATGTTCCCTCCCTGAGAAAGGTCTTTTTCCTGCCAACACCTATTGGAGCACGTAGAGTGAAATTCGCTGTAGGTTCCCATTGTGCTGCCTGGTCGGCTCTCTCAGGGCAGCCCCGGGTTACCCGAGAGAAATTTCTGAAAAAATGGTTCTACGGTAGCCACTAACCTTCAGATTAAGAGGACGAACTCACGAAAAACATGTTAAGCAGCCGCATAGGAGCCAACGGGCTGTAACTTGGAGCAAGGCCCATATGGAGTGCAGAGCTGCGCGGTGACGTCAAGAAGCGAACGAGAGGACGAGGAGAGGGCTGCCGAGTACGACTGGGAAAGAGCCGTAAGACAGCATCAGAGAGTTCTGCATCGCCGTCGGACGCATGCGAACAATCACATTCGAATTCGCGTAGCTCAGGGCCTTGGGGAGAGGAACTTCCCGGGACCAGGGAAGAATTCAGACGGGACCTGTCTACATGATCAGTCCGCATCACTCATGCCTCATATTCGGGGAAATCCTCGATGAAAAGCGAAGAAGTGCGGGTCCCGGCTCAACAGAAGAGCAATATCAGACGCGAACCGGAAAACCCTCCTCTGGGGTAGGGGCTCCTTTAGTGATTCTGGGCCAGGGTGGGAAAATACCGCCACCCCGCCCCCTCACTCTTATCGCGAATGCTTACGCTTTTCAGATTACGAATTTCAGATCACAGGAAATGAGCGGTATATTCGATCTTATTCCTTCGACAGGAATAATAATCATTCGCGGGAGTGCAGGATGGTATCAGGTCTCGGCAGCTATCGCGATGAGCTGAAGGTCTGCGGTTCCGAAGTGATGATGGCCGTCTTCTAAGGTGGGTCCTCGCGATCACTCGACTGGCTCTCCAATCCTCGGAGGAAGCGTGTCTCGGCTCTGCCTTCGATGAACGTGCTCGATTTGTTGGGCACTCTCCGTTTTTTTGGATTAGGTCCCCCATTCTGCGACAAGTATTCTCAGAAACATCGTATATTGACATTCTGCTCCCAGAGAGGTTCGGGTCAGCTGAAACTTAGCCTCAAAAGCTCTCAGATAATTACATTTACTATGGGTACGGGTATCGCATCGGCGAATTCTTGCACGCCCTCGGGATGATCGGCTTAGCTGATCACGGGAATGAATCTCCAACGCATGTCCAGAATGAATCTCTAACCTGGCTGTCCAGATGCCTTTCCGTCATCATGCCTTCGAGTTTGAAAAGCAAGAAGCTAGGTTATGTTAATGACATCACCGTAGATTTACGTGAAAACGTTTGACGACGATTTTTCCGGCAAGCGGTCGGCTTGCGGAGGCGTCAAATCACGGCAGATACACCTATCTCTCTATCGCCCCACTGTTTGATGGAATTGGGTTAGTTTTCATGAAAGCTTGGTTAGAGCACACTGATTGCCCGACGGGGCTGCGATATTCAATTATTGTAGGTCTTCATGTCGACATATAGCGCGTAGTCGTCATCATCCGGGGAACGCGCTTAACTTTGAGCCTGTTGACGTAACGGGGAAATCGATGAGATAAGTTATCATAACTCATGAGAACTGTTCCTTAGTTTAGCTTCTTGAAATTACATCTGTGTCCCCACCGGGAGGAACACGAGCCGAGTGGTGTGAAATGGAGGCCTTGACAATCTTCAGATGTTGCAGAAAGCGGAGCCTCTCATCCACGTTTCAAGCATGACAGTACACGTTCTTTGAGGAAGACACGCCGGAATTGCAGAGTTTCGCGTTCCCATGAGCAGTGTAGTAAGGATATCGCATGAATTCGTCATCACGATGGAATTCAGATCTCACTGTACCGGATTCGATCACGACCGCGGCATTCCGACAACGGAGACCCTCGGAGCCGGAGCCGAACTCGATTCTTGATGAGTCGTCCCATGAAGAGTTCCTTCCGATGACAGCCTAAATCTGTTGACACGCGCACTCGCTGAGGGCGAAGGTACTTCGTCGTGCCGCTTCTGTCGCAAGGAGCTCCCTTTGGGGGGTCTCATCCGTCGTCGATAAGCTCGATTCGCCTCAAGTCAGAAGAACTACTTGGTTTTCCGGGAAACCTTCGTTGTGCACCTCCAAATCATGAATCGATCTCGATTTTTGCAGTTATCATCGAATAATCAGAAGCCCTTAGGTTCTCGCTCTGATATGACTGCGGCCTTCTGTCGGACTCTCACTCGCCGACCTCGCCTTATAGAATTCCCTCCGAAGGACTGACGGACTATGTCATATTTCGCGCTTATTTTTACGCTCTCGTGCCGAATCCAGGGGTATGTGGAAAACCAACTGTAGAAATCGAATGATAGATGTGCCTCGCGAACGATTGCACCGGGAGACTTTGCCGTAAATTTCGAGCCAGTGATGCAATTCGGATAATCGGACACTCCGCAGTTTCTGATTTATGAGGCCCCAAAAGCGGACAAACTTTCGATGCTTGAAGGACGAAGTACATCGAGTTGGTCAGCAAAGCCTGCGATAGAGACGTTTACACGTAAAAAAAGAGCATGCAGCCTAGAGCTAGAGGGCTCGCTCTTCGAGAAGTACCCACAGACAGAACGATGCTGAGGGAGCGCGCCTTCGTCAAGGATTCGATCAATCAGGTCGGTTGGTCTTCCCTACTGGGCGGACGACGATAGTCATTAGGAAGTCAAATCAACGACCTACGATCGGTAACGTTGCCTTGAGGAACCTGACGACGCGCTCCTCCATGAACGCATCAGAGCCAGCGTCCCGCAGAGGTCCCATGTAAAATGCTCATTGTTGATTTTCAATCGCGCATGATCTCCCCCGGAGGGAGGCTTTCTTCCACGAGGCATGGGGTCGAGGGATTTTTCCCGCCATTTTTCAAAAAGAACGCCGGAGCTGACGTCATACCTGAGCCGTCCAATCAGCACCGGACAAGTACTCAGCTGGGGCCAATGCACCTCGGTGGCTGTGGCATCGAGCCGGCTCGTTGTCATTACTGGCATCTCGTATTCGACGCGTGGTCGTTCACGGCTAGCAGGACGTAGTGTTGCGGGAGTCTCTTTCGGTCCTTAACGAAAGGGTTCACCATGAAGAGGTCGTGGTTGTTGTTCGTCGTTGTACTCTGCCTTTCTTGGGGTAAGTTGCGAGTATATTGTCGAAGGTGTCACGATTTGCAGTAGGAAAGCATTTATTATTGCTTTCGCCCCATAGCATTCAATCACCGGCTAACAGTCGGAGGAAATTTTCCCCGACACTCCCGGAGGCGGATCTATCGTGGGATCGCAAGCGTTGTCTCCCGTCGGGGAGATGACAGCGTGGATCATTTACTCCTCTGCGCGTCTGAATGCCGAGCTCTTCTGGAATATTCTCCGGTCACACCAGTGACACGTCTCTTTTCGATATGCGACGTTCAGACTCGCGATCCCGGCTCCAGTCTTCCTCTGAGCTTTCTTGTCGGAAATTTCTCCGAATTGACCCGGAGCCGGCTTCCCGGCAGGAGTGCCGTCCCGCGGATTTAGCCTCCATCCGAACAATGCGGTCTCGGATCGATAGTAACGCCTCCTCCGTATATGGATCAGGAGCGTCTCCCCCGACAGCAGAGAGCGGAATCTCACGCCTAGCTGTCAAAAATTCGAAACATGTTTTTCCCTCATCCGGAGCGCTCGGAAAATAAATATTCTCTCGATGGCTTTCCCTTCATTTCGGCCGATCCTTCAACTCGCGTATTGCGCGTCGCGAGATATTCACCAGATTTCACGCCTACGTATCCTTTGAGTTCCACCCTCCCGTTCCAGATCCGCGCTACACGAGGGCAGATACAGCGAACTTCGATCCTACTCGGGTGGAAGATGACATCGGTAAGATGGCCGAGGGGGGTAGGACCGATGCCGAGGTTGTCGGACGGGAGGAAGAAGCCATCAAGATCGATTCCTTATCTGTCTCTCAACTGAAAGAAATACGCGACAAAGCCGAGAAACAGGTTTTCCAGGTAAGCTATGATCTCTCGGCAGCCTGGTCAGTTCGTCGGCTGAATTCGTCACCCACTTGCTGTAGGCGGCTGCGAGCCGGGTCACGGGTTTAGCAGAACCTCAGCCAGTCATGCGAAACCCTCGGCCACCAAGAGCCGTGATTTGCAGTTTCCGCTTCTATCCTATGACCCTCGACACGTTTTCCAAGCTGAAGCTGTTTTCAAGTCCAACTCTCGAAATTATATGAGAAATATTCTGCTTGTTGCTTGAGGTCCGCCAAGGATGCTCCGATGATAGGCCAGCAGGAAGCATTGATTCCATCTTTCCGTTTTCTAGGCTGAAGTCGCCCGTATGATGAAACTCATCATAAACTCCCTCTATCGCAACAAAGAAGTGTTCTTGAGGGAACTCATCTCGAACGCATCGGACGCTCTCGACAAAATCCGTCTCCTGTCGTTGACAAATCCTGATGCATTGAAAGCGCTACAAGAACTCAGTATTCGAATTATGGCGGATAAGGAGAATAACGTTCTCCACATAACGGATACTGGAATCGGAATGACGAAAGAAGATCTCGTCAAAAACCTCGGGACCATAGCTAAGTCGGGAACCGCGGAGTTCTTGCAAAAGGTCAACGATGGGGAAGGCAGTAAAGATTTGAATGATCTCATCGGACAGTTCGGAGTCGGATTCTACTCCGCTTTCCTGGTGGCCGACCGTGTCGCCGTAGCCTCGAAGAACAACGATGACGACGTACAACACGTCTGGGAATCAAATGCTTCCGAGTTCACCGTCGCAGACGATCCCCGAGGGAACACCCTGAAGCGAGGAACTACAGTCTCGCTTTACATGAAGGACGAGGCCAAAGATTTCCTGGAGCACGACACCCTCAAAAAACTCATCGAGAAATACTCTCAATTCATCAATTTCAATATTTACCTCTGGTCTTCGAAGACCGTGACCGAGGAAGTGCCTGAGGAAGAGCCCGAACCCAAGGACACCACCGAAGCCCCATCGACTGATGAAGACGACGAGGCGAAGGTCGAGGAGGAGAAAGAAGCCCCCAAAATGAAGAAGGTTGAGAAGACCATCTGGGATTGGGATCTCATCAACTCGGCAAAACCCATCTGGACCCGGAAGGAGAAGGACGTCGCCGATGAAGAGTATAACGAGTTCTACAAGGCGGTCACCCGTGACAGTCAGAACCCATTGGCTCGCACGCACTTCACGGCCGAAGGCGAACTGACCTTCAAGAGCCTGCTCTTCGTTCCGGTGAAGCAGCCGCAAGATTCCTTCAATAAGTACGGTCAACGCACCGACCATATCAAGCTGTACGTGAGGCGAGTCTTCATCACCGACGATTTCCAGGACATGTTGCCGAACTACCTCTCGTTCCTCCGAGGCGTGGTCGACTCCGACGATTTGCCACTGAACGTTTCCCGTGAAAATCTCCAACAGCACAAACTTCTGAAGGTTATCAAGAAGAAATTAGTCCGGAAAGCTCTGGAGATGTTCAGGAAAATCTCCGAAGAGGATTTCGCCAAATTCTGGAAAGAATATTCGACCAACATCAAGCTCGGAGTGATCGAGGATTCTGCAAACCGCTCTCGTTTGGCTAAGCTGCTCCGATTCCCTTCGTCGATCGATGCCTCCGCCGACAAACTCGTTTCGCTCAGCGACTACGTCCAACGAATGAAGGAGAAGCAGAGCGCTATCTATTACATCGCCGGAGGGAGCATGGATGAGGTGAAGAAATCTCCTTTCGTCGAGCGTCTCCTCAAACGAGGCTACGAAGTCCTCTTCCTGACGGAAGCCGTCGACGAGTACGCCATCTCGTCTCTCACGGAGTTCGAAGGCAAGAAATTCCAGAACGTTGCCAAGGAGGGTCTTTCGATCGATGAGAACAAGGAAATTCGCGAGGCTCTCGAAAAGGAGTTCGAACCCCTCACCAAATGGCTGACCGAGACCGCTCTCAAGGACAAGATCTCGAAAGCCATCATCTCCGAGCGTCTTGTCGAGACTCCCATGGCTCTAGTCGCGTCCCAGTTCGGCTGGACGGGCAACATGGAACGCATCGTTTCAGCTCAAACCCACATGAAAGAAAATGATCCGCAGCGGCAATTCTACATGTCTCAGAAGAAAACTCTGGAAGTGAATCCCCGCCATCCCCTGATCAAAGAGCTGCTTCGTAGAGTCGATGATTCGCCTTCGGATGAGATGGCGAAATATTTCACCGAGATGATGTTCGACAGCGCCACCCTCCGCTCAGGATTCCAATTGTCCGACAACGCCCGATTCGCCACCAACATCGAAAAGATGCTCCGAAACATGCTGGGAGTTTCGGAAGAGGCTCAAGTCGACGCAGAGCCGGAGGAGGCCGAATTGCCTCAAGTCTCAAAAGAGGACCAGGAGGAAGACATCGAATCCGAGGAACCTCACGACGAGCTCTGAACAACATCGGCATCTACAACGAAAAAGAATCCCGACAGTCATCTCGACGGATATCCTGAATATCATACCCGGTAACATCCATCAGTCGCCTTTTTCACTGGACGTCGTGGCCATATAGACTGTATATTTAGAGACACAATCAAAGGGTCGAGTCAAGGCGAGAACGCGTGTGAAGAAGAAGTTTCCATGAAGCTTGGTTTCCTTGATTCTTCTATTTCTCTGATGACCTAGTCCCAGGCGGTCAGTCTTCTGCGAAAAACACCGCCGGACGAGGTCGTTGTACAAAACCGGGGTCTAGATTTTGAATATCGATTGAGAGCAAACGGAGAGAAGTTCAGCAAATAAATGACTGGAGCTACAACGAGAAAGTGGTCGCAGTGTTCGCTGGCGACTTCGGGTCAACAAGTTTTATCAAAAAGAATACACTGTGTTCTGATTTCTTTCGTTCGGATGGGCTCGCCACCTTGCATTCGTCCGCGCGCATCTCTCGCTCGTCATTTTGAAACTTGATAAAATTCACATTTCGATTACATAATCATTTAACATCACAGTCAGTCGACGAAGAATATATTCTGCAGCTGAGAATTACACAATCGTTTGACTTCCTCGCTGATCTGGATCAGATTTGCGTTCTTGTGATTCAGCACCACGTAGAATTCACGAGAATCCCAGCTCTTCGCCACAAGCCACCAATCCTCAGAGGTTTTTGCTACCATTTCCCCGTCATTGGGTCCATCGCCCTCGATCGTCATCAGGTTGAGATCTGAATGGAGATCCATTATGAGTCGGAGCAGTGACGACGGAACGTTGAATCCGAGCTTCCTCTCGGCGTGGATCGACGACTTCTGAGCGATGTTCATCCGATTGAAGTATATATACTTGCACACGATGTCCTGCGAACCCTTATTGACTGTTGCCGTCAGCTTTGTATATTGTTTGGAGATGTCGTTGGCCAACGACGTGAGTTCCGGCGCCAGGAATTCCTCGAGACCTCTCGCGAGGCTTGTCGTCAGGTCATTTGGCTCGATCAGCAGACAGACCGTGGCACTCAGCGCTCTGTATATTAGCAACTTATATCGTTCATCTCCCATAAACATGTGCGGTACTTGTTCGATGAAATCAGGGTCCTCGGTTTTCCCGTGCAGAAATCGAGCCTGCGGGAATGCACCGGGAGGACCTTTGAAGGGCGACAACGTCGGAGCCAAGAGTTCCGCTTCGAAAACTCCCTGCAGGATGTTGCTCAGAAGATAATGGTACAGAAGCTGCATATCTCTTTGAGCGAGACCACTCCATACCAATTGATCGTTGCACAGGAACGCTGTGTATTTAACTTCGGGAAAAGTTTTCTCTAGGGATCCCACAAAACTATGAACTTGCAGGAAGGCGGATTTATCCAACGGCAGGAAATGAACTCCCAGGAATATGTCCAGAATATCGCAGTGCTGAAGTTTCAACTGAGGCAGGACCGTCATGAAGTGCTCTCCCAACGTCTTTCGAAGCCCATCAACTCCGTGCGATGACATCACGTCGGCGAGTTTCGCATTAAACGTTCGGAACAGAATGTAGAGTTTGTGTAGGACCGCTTGGTACACAGGGTCTTGCACATCCTCCGCCAAATACTCAACGACCGTTTGAGAGTCTCTGGTCCGTTGTTGAGAGGGCAGATTCAACGTGAGTACTATCCAGTAATCCGGTTCAGCTTCCAGGAAGAGCTGTGGATTGGATTCAAAACTTGAGGGAAAATTTCGGAAAACTCTCAGCGGACGAGGAGATATCTTCCGTCATCGGTCTCCGAATCGTGGTCCCCTCTCAAATGTCGATTGACAACACTGTCAAGCACTCTTGCTTCCAAGAATAAACGGAACTCACCTGACGAGTTTTTTGTGTATGCAGCACTTCACAGGGTTTATGCGGACTGAAGACTTTGGTGAAACTGACGAGACCCTGAGCGATCCCAATGTCTCTCAGTTGATCATCTGAGTCTGTTTCTGGGGGATAGTAAAACAACAGCTTCTTGTCTTCCTCGTCTTCTCCCCGGCCCAGTGTGGGATTGAAGACGAAGAAATTTTGTAGAGTGACATGACTCCGGTGGGGCATGTCGTGGAGAAACTTGTCGCCTCCTTCTCCACCATCAGAGGTGGTAAGTACTTCGGTCCTTGTGTCAGTCCGGCTGTCAGCTGTTATACGAGGGTCGCCATATTGAGAATTCCCACCGAATCTATCCACTTCTTGTTGATGATGATGATGACTGCGGATGGCTGCCGCCGGGCTCCACGGAGTTCTCCAGCGCGCATTCCATGGGAAACCGATCAGATGCTCACTTGCACGAATGAGGATCTCGAACCACGTCGGAGGGCTCGGAGGAACACCGCGATCGGGCATCTACTGATCATGGGTTACGATACCTCGGCATAGATATTCGTCGTTTCTACCATATCGGTGGAAGCAGCTCTCAGCTGTGTGTGGAGGGGAGGCGCTTCTTTTGATCATCTAAACAGCAATGCGTTCATCCGTTCCTGGCCCAGAGAGATTCGGCAACAAAACACAGAACATGGCTGGTGTCCTCAAGAAGGTGAGGAATATCATAACGGATTCAGTGATCTGACGCGGTATCTTGAAGTCGTAGCGGCTCTGGCTGAATCCAGAGAGACCCCTCCGCGCTATCTCCGAAGGAATTGCGGGTCACGCGAGCATCTTCCCGACCCCTTCCATGAGCACCGTCTTCGCTCGAATTCTTGGAAATCTCTGCCACTTGTGTCACTATTCCCGAGAGAAGAATTCGGGAATACTACGGGTAGTATTCTCTATGCTCCGAATCACATCAGGGAGTATGTCCAGGGAGTATGCCTTCCTCACGGGAGCCGAGAGTCAAGAGACTGACACATACCCCCAAGTGATTTTTTTTTAATGAACTCTAATCCCCCCGCAGACGACGGGCCTCACCGGCTTGAAAGTTGAACCCCGTCCTCATAAGGTATGTTCCGTATTATCCATGGAGCCTCGCTAATGGAAGGCACAGAGTCAGCCACTCGACGGGTCGCTCTCGAAGTTGAAGCCGTTCCTTGATTTCAGATACTGACTGCTCTGTACAATCGTATATTGCTGTCGCTAGAGAGCGCCCCGAAGGAGGCCGCTTACCGGCAGCATACCGAGGCCTTAATCAAGCGAAACTTGGAGTATGTCCTCACGGTGAAAGACATCGGTAAACTGGAGGAGAAGTTGGGATACCAAGTGGAGGAGAGCATCAAACTGGTCAGTACTCGTACCATCCTGCCAATACCTCCTGATGGGAACCGTTCGCAGTGTGATCGTGAAATTCAATTTTCATTTTCCGCAGGCCGAGAACGAATTGATGCTCGCCCGGCGAATGGCACAATGGAAGCCCTGGCTGCCCCTGGAGACGAAACCCTCCGCCGATCAGTGGAAGTGGCCCCTGTAGTGTAATGCGTTTCCTCTCAATGTTGTTTTGTCGCGAAGTAAAGTAGCTGCCGAAATGTTAATAAATTTCTTCGAGGCAAGGTCCTCAGATGAACCCGGTCTCTTCCGTAGGATAGGGAATTCCCATTCTGACGCGTTTCAATCATTTAATGGACATTTCACTTTATGTACAAAAATGAGTTCTCGTTCTCATTCGGACGAGTTCTCGCTCCCGTATACAGATAACAGATATTCAAGCGGTTTGATCCCTCCGCTTCTTGAGCTTCTCTTCCAGCTCTCGGGCCGCTGTGAAAGTTCCTCCCGTCTGTTTAGCGCACACGAAACAGCGACTCGACTTCTTCAAGTTATCTAGCGCGCACTTCTTGCAGAAATAATGTTTGCATTTTGTCGAAACAGGCTCAACGAAATCCTCGCGACATATGAAGCACGCGAAGGGAAGGTCTTCTTCATCGGAGGGAATGCGATATTCGTCGTCGTCGTCTTCGTCATCGCTAGCCCCGTTTTGAGCTCGTTTCTTGTGTTTCGCGTCCCACTCTCGATCCAACTGCCACCCGTGCTTGTAATCGCTGCGGTCGTGCATGAAGATGCACGAATCACCAAAAGTGCAGAATCCCGTCTCCTTGAAGTCCTTGCAGATGTCTGGCTGATAATCCCATCTGGAATTTATGGAATGCACAATATAAGAGATGAAGGAAGATTAGCGGAGACAGCGTCGGTGGGATCTGCCTTGTCCTGGGAAAGATTGGCCTGCTCACCGTACTGTGCTGCGAATATTTGTTGGAGCTCGGAGCGGTCCCTTGACTTTCATCTTCGCGGCACTGCCAGCAGCAGAGTCCTTTTTCGTTATGTACTGGGTATAGTTGTTGATCCCTCGATAGACTCTGTCATCTTCCTTGCCTTGGAGGTCTTCGTTGACCTTCTGAGCTCGTTCGAAAATCGCTCTCGCGTCCTTGTCCAATTCGGTGTCGATTTCTATGGTGGCCGTTGCTCCTTGATCAGATGGCCCCGCTCTCTGCTTGTTCGACGCGAAAGAATGGACCACAGATTCTTCGTCCTGCTTCCATTTCTTTCTGTTCGTATTCTCTGTCACCAAGCCGCGCGATTTCTTGCGCTCCACTCTTTTCACCGACGATTGCTCGCCATCAGACTCTGTCGCGGGAACAATTCAATACATTAGCTCACGGGAGAAATTCATATGAGTCTAGACGTTGGGAATTTGGGGACTGGTCTGGTAGCCCCCTTCAATCTAGAGCGGAATCCCCTTCGGCAGTTCCCCGAAGGAGTGATCAGAAGGAGCCCCGGACAGAAGACAGATCTGGAACTTCTGTGTCCTTAGTTCGAAATTCATTCACATGCAGAGTATTTTCACTCACCGTCTGACGATTCTTTCCTAGTTCGGATGCCGCCTCCTGGACGAGCTCGAGTCTTGAACAGTGAGCTGCTCTGAGCTGGCTTGGAACTTTCTTCTGACATGTTCAGCTTCCAACGCAGCTCCGAGTGAGTGGATGCGGTGTTCTGAGTTTTTGATGCGTCGATCTCAGGCGAGGATTCGGGGAGTGGAGAGTCCTCGATCGGGAGCTCCCCCTTGGACTTCGGAATTCCGAGAGAACGGGTAACGATGATTCACCTGTGGGCTCCGCAAGCGGGTTGGACAAATCAGCGGAGAGCCATAGAATCTGCAAAGTTCCGAAGTCGAAATGCGTTTCGTCGCGCTACCTGCAGTGTTATGATTATTTCTCATTCGAAATCCCCTAGTTCCATGAAATAATTTTAAATGACGGAAAGTCTCGCTGCTCAGCTGTGGCGACTGACAGCCTTATCTCAAGTTTGAAAACTCCGAATCTCCACCGAGGATGTAGAATCTGAATGCAGAGTGTAAGATAATGGACAATAAGCGGAGAGATTCGGATGAATCGCTAACGTCGGCGACCGAGAGCGAACTAGTCGCGCAGGTCAACCGACTGTCAACGGCGATTTTGGTGAGCTATCACGCGCTTCAGACGTTTCGTAAACTTTCTGACCCCCTGCTGACAGCGGACCCGTCAGGTGCCTCGAGCTTCCTTTGAGTGGGTATCAAACCTGGCTCGCTCAGAACTATTGTCTGGCGATCCTGAAGACTGGGTAGCTAGTCACAATGAGGGTCCCCAGCCATGCGTTTGCAATACTATGTACTAATGAAATATGAGGAAGAGATCACCGCGAGAGACTCCCAGTCTTGATTACGCTCAGGAGGGTGCCCTTCGTATTTTCTATAGGGAACGAATGAGAACGTGACAATGCTGAATGAACGTCTCACCGAATATCAAAAGGTCAGTGAAGAAGCTCTCCGAGAACTCCAGCGTAACATGACGAGCCCTCGGATCCTGGAGTCGACGCCCCGAGTGTCCAAAGGAAGTCACCGCGTCAATTCACCCCTTGGTGAGTCTGTGTATCAGGGTATGATAGCCTACTACAGCAAAAATTCAAATTCTCGCTCGCGGGAACCTCCGGCGACTCGAGGGTCTGCGAATGTTCTCTCGAAAAACAATGCCGGCAGGGATCTTCGAGCGTTGTTTCCGGGTGATATCGGGCTTAGGGTCGAGATGATTTTAGGGGATCTCAAGATCGGTCGACCCAACTGACGGCACTGTGCATAGTATGGAACAGGATCTGACTCCACAGATAACAGCCCGCTGCAATCCCTGGTCTCGGTCCTTCGAGAAAAAGACTTGACAATGTCCGTAGTGCAAAAAGACAACATGACTCTTCGAGAACAGCTAGAAAGATTGCGATACGACTTGGAAAAATCACGGGCCGAAACCCAGACGGAGAAGGAAAACCTGAAGCGATGGCGACGCATGATCATCTCGCAAGTCGTTATGAATATCGCATCTGTCAATCGGTGAGCCGATCTTCCAAAGGAGCAAGATAAGGAACTCCTCGTGAATATCCACGAGCCCGGCCGTGTGGGCAATCATATCATGTACTCGCCAGAAATCGTCCCGAATAACTCGATATTTCGGTTCTAGGCTAATCGAAACCAATCGCACTATTCCGCCATCGCTCAAAGAGAGGCTTCTCTCTGAGAGACACCCGCAAGCCGATATCGTCCTGCAGCTAGCGGAGCTCTCCTCGAAACTCCAGTGGTTGTGCCAATTTTCAAATAGTTCAGACATGTGTTCCCAGAGACCCTAGTTACATCGGATACCCTCCTCACTGTAAATTACGAATTATGACTGACGACTCGGACATCCGACGTCTAGCAGGATGCTCATAAGAAGCACGGAGCTCGATCTACAGCGAAAGTTCCAGGAACCCTCCATTGAGAGATGCTCTGTATGAATGAATAGTTGTGCCTTGGTCTACGATCTCAAAAACGCTCTGTATACATCTGGACGTGTTCTTCTCTTTTCGACAAACAGGTCGCTCCTCTGAGTGTTTTTCCGACACGGATTGCTTCCGACGATCTTGAAAAGTCTTGCTCTCCTCAGGTCCCTTTTGGAGGGAGGTGAAAAACGCTGTGAATCCTTCGCAAAGACATCCGAGTTGTATCGATGAGTCAATCAGGCCGGCCCCTTTCAGAAGTAGTTCGATTTTGCAACAAGCTTAGGATGCGTTTATTCAAGAAACATACATCGGTGAATCCACGCATCAATGAGGTTTAATCTCGCTAACTCGATTGTTTCGCGTCGGTCTCCCCGTGATGGGTGTATTCCGAGGATTGGGGTTCGGAGCAGTCTACGCTCGTCCGCCACCACTCATTATTGGTACGAGTTCCGTCGGTCGGCGCAGAAAATGATGAGTTCGGACCGGTTCCTTCTGACTGTCTCCAGGGTATGAATCTCTACGGGGTGGGAACCTTAGTTTTTCGAGGCCTCGTTACGTAGATCCCGCAAAAGTTCTACCAGGGAGAAGGCATATATATATTTGAGATATGTACGTATGTCATCCCATCCATATGACTCGGACCTCGGAGATGGAGACGGATGATAGTCCGGTGTTTTTTTTTTACATCTGAGACCAGTTCGTTGAGCTGAGGTTAGCTGACGCTTCCAGGGCATGGGCGACCTGGAACCCAAGGATGGGAGATCAGATTCTGCTCGCTCGGCGGAGCGAGCTCACAGGAGCAGCTTTTATTTTGATCCGTGAGGGCGGAACCCCGCACTCCCGAAACGGCAAGCGGAGGATCGATCTAGAATTCCGGATATCACTCACCTGCTCTGGCACTCCATGGGTTAACCATACTTGGTTCAGCTGCATGTAGGCCGAGGAACACAAAGAAAGAGGATTCCCCCGGGCGAGACCAGGATCGGTCTCTCCGTATTCATCAACATACGGCGGCGTCAGATAAGCGCCCTTTGAATCACCAACGAGCAGCATGACTCGACAGTCTTTGATTCTCAGGAAAACTCCCACTCCAGCCGAACATTTGGCAGTGTGAGCCACACAAGCACCGACACGTGCGTTGCCTATGGTCGTCTGACAACAGTAGCTCTGAGAGCATAAAACCGCGCCACAGACGAGACACATGGTCGGCGTTCGGACCTCGTCCCCCAAGATGTTGACTTCACCGTCGGAACTCGGACAAGTCAGCAAGGATACATAGTTTATGAGTTCCGAGTAATCCGCCGGCAGGGAAATTAACGAATTTACTTGGAGAGGGTAAATGGGCTTCCAGTGCGATGTCGCCAGATGGAGAACTTTCGGCTGGCGAGCCCAGGACAATGCAAGTTCTCTCAGAGGGCGACATCGAAGAATCGAATCCAAATGTTCAACAGAGAGCCCGATGAATGAACAGAGGCTTGTGGGGTCGTTTAGATTGTTATTCCTCATCCATCCGCTGCATTCTTTAGGCGCGACGAAATATTGCAGAATCGCGGTGGCCCTCAAGAACGGCACGAGGGCGTCCATGACACGAGCTGCCGGCGGAAATCTGGAGTTGGCCGACAGTCCGGCAGCGAGGAGAACTTCACCTGAGGGAAAGGGAGGGGGTTCTCAGAATTCTACTCAACAGTTTTCTGCTGAATTGTTTTCATCGGGGGAGGACATCGCAGCTGGTCATTCCACTAAGATGAAACTTGACGTTACCCGCGAACTCGTTGACGCGAGCTACGTCGATTAAAGAAGTTTGCGCTGTCGGCTCTGCTTCAGGTACTTCTTCCTGCTTGTCCATTTGCAGGTAGAGCGAGATGATTATTTGGACCATGTGTAAAGCAGTGACGAGCGACAGCAGGTTTTTGCTCAGTGAGAACGTGTCGTAGTCGGAGATTCGATGGAGTGAGAAGTGCAGAAGACATAGGAGCCCAAATGGATCGATTTCCAAGATGCAGGAGTCAACTTCGGTTTGAGGTAGGAGAATGCATCTGCGAAAAACACCAGAGTCCTTTAAGTTGTGACCTTCGGAAGATCAGGTCCGATTCTTTTCCCTCCGGAGGATAGGCCGAAGAGCCCCGCGAAATGAGTTCCTTACGGGAAAACCTCACCTCAGAGCTTGTAGGCAGTCCGAAGCGACGTTCGAACCATTGGTGATTCCCATCAAAGACACAACTTGAGTAGCCTTCACCATATTCTCCAAGCAGTAGAGTTTTCTCGAGGATATATCAGCCAACAGGGCTTTGTCTTCTGAACGGATGCACCATTCGGTGGCTTGGATGGTGTACGCCAGCGTCCACGCAAGCGCGAGGAAGGGATCGTCTTCGTCTCCCAGGACCACTTGACTCGTGGCCTGCACGAAGCGGTGCAACATCATTTCGGCTTTGAGGGGCAACATTTGTCTGTTGTCCGGAGCGACTCCATCGGCAGGCCTCCACAGCTTCCCTCGACTCAATTCACTAGGTTCCTCCGTCCCCATGGGCATTGCGGTATCAGCAATCGTCCTCACGTTATCGAGCCACTCGGAGAGAGTTTTTTCGGGAAAAATTTGAAACTTTTCGTCCCTTTGGCACGGCACCAACGGGATCACTGTGTTGGAGAGACATTCGCAGAGAGGACACAGGAATTCGCCCTGCGGGTAGAAGAGACAGCTTCAGTCATCGGTCGAGGCGAACTCAGAGACGAGTGGAGATTTTGGTCATGAAAAAAAATCGGAGTATCCGGATGAAGCTCTCGACCCGACTAACCTGAGCGACGTCGAAACTCACGTGACGGCCGTATCGAACCGGCCGTCGGCGTTCTTTGGTTTGAACGAGTTCGTAGAAAGCTTGCCAGCAATACGAATGCATCACGTGGCCGCACGTGGAGATGTGGGCTCCGCCGCGTAGGTCAGAGGGCGGGAGTCCTCGTCCCAGAGGTGCACTGAAAATCACACTAGATGGAACAATGTTAACTGGAGGTCGCATGCATCGGTGGAGTCGCTCCCCATTCATCACATTGACTCCTATCAGGCTGCATGCTCATTCATTCAGAGTCGGGATGCTGGATTCATTCATCATCATTCATCTTCTATTCGATTCGCTGATTATACACAGAAAATGAACGAAGGACCTCTTCCCATCCTGGGGAGCAGGGGACCTTCCCCCTTCGCTTGTCCGTCTGCCGGAAACCACTCACGCCCATCACTCACTACCAGGGATCTCGAATCGCGGGGGCCATTCATCCGAAACGGAAGACCGTCAACCAACCTTTCGGCCGGATTATCCCGGGCGGACTTCTGGAGAACAGCTGATCTTTGGACGAAAGCCGACACGACGAGGCTCTTCTTGGCCTGCACGGAGACGAATTCTTCTTCTCGACACAGGATGCAAATGAATTTCGGTTTGTCCTCCTCCTCGTCTTGTGGCCCTTCTCCGGTCTCTTCGAACATATGACCGTGCACTTGCAAAAAATTATTCTGCTGGACGGACATGGCTGCCATGATTTTCGCTCGACGCGCCGCCGCGAGCTCAGCGTTGCGTCCTCGTTTGTTGCGTCCACTCGAGTCCTCCGGCCCAGCTGTCGTCATCGTGGTATCGCTGCATTCCCCGCTCGTCGGGACGCTGATCCTCATTATGATGTGATTCAGGAGCGCCAGCAGTGAAGGACTCGCTTCGAGCTTCCTGCTGGCCGTTTCGAACATTTCTTTCATACCCTTGACTCGATCGAGGAACTTTTGACCAAGACTTCCGCGTTTAACTTCGTCAAGACCAACTCCGACAAGATGGAGAGCTCTCTCCAGTTGTGCGTCAGAATACAACGGCGAGCTTTCGTGGCACCTACATGAATCGAAACGTTCGATTTCAAATCAATCCGATTACAGGAGTTCGATTATTATTCGTTCTCTTGGAAAGAAAAATTCACCCAGCTCACCGGCGTAGGATAACGTCTAGAACGTGTTGGAACACATCACAGTCTAGAATGTTGAGGATTGGTTTGAACTCAGGCGAGAAGCTCGGGAGTACAGCCGGAGGGCAGAAAGGAGGCAGACCGGCGTTTTTCCTTCTTTTGAGTTGAACTTCTTCCGCTTTACTTTGCTCCTGAGAAAAAGAAACGAACAGCTTGATCGATTCGAGCAGAGACGGTCTTTTTGGCCGTAGCCACGCGGAATTCTCCTTGAGATGGAATCATACGCGGACGAATCCGCGGTGAAGATCTTCACCAACCTCACGGCTATAATGGTAGAAGAACGGATTGAAATACTGGTAGTATTCCGGTTTGAGCTCGTATTTCCCCATGGCGTTCGAGACTCGCTTGAAGGTGGCGATCTCTCTCAGAACTTCTTCTAAGACGATTTCCATCGCACTGTCATCGTATCTGGCCGGCAACTGCTTCACCAGGATGCTATGCGGTAACGGCTCCATGCACAACAATTGAATGATTTCTTTCTTGACACGGTCCGTCTCGGTGACTTCGCCGACACCCGGAAGGTGACGTTCGGCGACCAAATACAAAATCAGCGAGAGGAAATCTTCCGCCAACGGGCCCGACATATCCGGCGATCCCTCGACGGGGGTTCGGGCAGTATGTGAGTTCACAAACCAGTGAAGCAGATCGAACTTATTCAGGACGTGAATCAGGAATTCGTTCGGATTCATTTTGGCTGCGCAGTATTGCAGTAAGGAAATGTCCCGGTCGAAAGTTTCTGCCCGCAACCTGAAGTTCGCGTAGAAGAACACCTGGTTGAGTAGCGAGTACCCATTGCGACGCCACATTCCTGCCCGGAACTGCGCGACCATGACTTGCAAACGCAAGGGTTGTTCCATGATTTGGATGAGCGAAGGTTTGTTCTGGATTTCGAGCTGATGGGAAAAGTAATCCATTCCAAACTTGAGCGTTGAGAGGAGCAATCCAGACAAGAACCGCGACAGTGGAAGATGAACAGACATTGGTTGGGTTGACACATCGTACTCGATGCACGAAACTTCCTTCTCATAACAACCAGGCAACGAGCGTTCCACGTAAGTTACGTCTGTGAATGGAGAGGAAAGTCTGAGAAGCGGCCACAGAATCGCAAGATGTCCGTCGATGATCCAGGATGGAATAGTAATCTAAACGCGTTTTTTTTCGCAGGAGAAACTCACGACTGCAGCTTTTATCCGCGTGGACCAAGTGGTCGAGGGTTCTCCTTATCGCTCGAATGAGAATGTCCTTATCCATCTCGCACCATTCGAGTAGAATCGACAAGACTGGACTGAGCTTCAATTGAATATTTATGCCCGTCTCCCATTCGGCTTCGAATTCCACATGCTGACCAACTTGGCGGACCACAGAATCCATGCACTGCATTTCCGAGAGGAGTTCGAGAACACATTCCAAACCAGATGAGAAACTTTTCCGCAGCTTGTCACTCCAAGCTTCCGTCGGTTTCACGTAGAGAAGGTATCTCAAATCTCCGAGAACAAACTGGGAACGCCTGGAAGCAGGGATAACCCCAGATCAATCGAGAGCAACCCACGCACTCGGTTCAAACCAATTGAGCTCCCGAGATTTCAAATTGAAAATTATAGTGATAGCTATTGAGCGATCGATACACGTACAGATCTACATACAGTAAAGCTCCGAACTCACTTGAAACTGGTACTTGTGTGATTCCTATCGAAGGCTAATTTGCCCGTGGTTTGATTTTTGTGAACCGCGCATTCTGACAGAAAAGTGCGCATCAGAGCCGAGAGCACTCCATCTTCCGCGATAAGGGTGTGTGCTACGCTGACAACGCTGAATATTTGCACCGATAAGCTCATCACAGACATCTGCAAAGGAAATCCCCTGCCTTCAGGTTCCGCCAAGCCATGGTACTGTTTCATAGACGCGGGTTGAGATGTGAGTACAAGGTGTTCATCGCTCCGCCAGAACGTATGGGACCGTTGAGCCTCGAGGCGCAGAAACTGATATGAGTACGTGCTTGAGAAAAGCATGCGAAACCATAGAATATAAAAAGTCACACCAAAAAGACCGCTCCGGTCATCGAACTCTCATGCTTGCTCTGAAATTGCTCGTGAGAAGGATGTCGGTTCGATGCCTCGACGGAAATCAACGGTAGCTCATCGGCGGCAGCACGGCGAAGAAGAACACCGAGCAAACTTCAAACTTCTCTCATGCGCGAAACCGGATCAATATCTGAGTCTTGAGACTCAAGCGTACCGTATGTTCATGATCGTCTGCGATGAACTCCTTCATCAAATCGGGATAGTCTCTAGCAAACATTTTGGCAAATTTCAATTTGCTTTCGGGGTCCATAAGTATGCCATTAATGATGAGTTGATGCCACAGCTGGCGTGCGCTTTTCCATAGTTGCGTATCGTGCCGCATCACGCAGCGGACCAACGGGTAAATATCAATGGGACTCGTGGGGACGGTGATGAGGACGTGACCCACGATACGTGCGAAAGCTGCAAGTTGATTCCGTTTCAAAATTTCGCGTGGTTTACACTCCGTTCATCGGTCGAAGGTTCAGGGTGCCCAATCTGAGCAGAGACATCGTTCTCAGAACCCACCTCGAAGTTGCTTGCAGAAGTTGTCGATCCACTGGATCGCTCTCGCGGCGAAAATTTGATGAGTAACTAGAGGCACCGTCATCACAGCAGTCCTGAGAGGTTTATTCCCGTTCCGTCCGGTTGTTCTCTCGATCGCATTTTTCACAGCGTAGCATACCGTCCAACTATCGATCTTGATCATTGAGCGACCTTCGCGATCCACCGTCGCTGCGTACTCCATGGCTTCTCTATCGTCGGCCTCGATAGCCCGAGACAGAGAAGTGATCACCTGGGGGTGGGAGATTATCGGTGAGCCAGAAGCTCAAGTACTCGGGTCGGATATCGATTTCAAGGCTAGAACCTACTGACCTGCTCGTAAGTGTGGGTTTCATCGTTGAAAAGCATCATTACGTAAAGACCTTTCTTCTTTGTCACTTCAAGGTCGGTCGGAAGCTCCAAGTCTTTATTCCAGGTAAGTAACTGATACGCGTAAATGAGGACGGTTTCGGCGACGAGCCGCAACCGAGCCTGCATATCTTGTGGTACAACTTCCTCGTCGACTTTCAACTCTTTATCATGAATATCGCAGGTGGGGGCTTTCTTCCACGCTTCGCGGTCTCCACAATCACAATATCCGCCGCCCCGAGAAATATTCATCTTGTATTTGTGCTGGCCATGTTCGGACGCCTAGGAGAAATGAGGAATCGTCAGACATCCCTACGATAATGTTACTTGGATTTGACGTGAGCCAGGAGATCGGAAATCAGATCGACTTGATCGAGATGTTGTGGGTCGGCTCATGAAGTTGTGATGCACTCACTTTGAAACAAGCGGCGCACATGACACATGTTGGATCAACCCCACAATCTCGGCAGGAATACGTCGGTTCTCCTGCTTTGAAGACGCGTCCACAGAAAGACGGGGGGCTCTCTTTCTGTTTCAAGAGCTTGACAACATTGCTGGGTTCTGGTGATCCGGTGATGAACTTCTCCAATGTTTGTAATAATGTGTAGTTGATTGCCTGCTCGTCAAACTGAAACATGGAAATCGGAATTCATGAATTCAGCCAACAGATTTCCCCACCTCCTCTCACTCTCCCGCTATGCGCGAAGCAAGACGTCGATTCAGGTATAGGGCCGACGGAGTTCAGGTGTGTTCCCCGCGATGAATTCGTTCGAGCGTCATGGCTCATTACTAGAGTTCCTGAATTTCGGACAGTTTATCTATGTCGATTCTCCAAGAGCGGCGACCGACGCGACGACCACATCGACGAGACGATTGGCTCTAATGACTTTCCGGAATCTTACCCGCGATGGTAAGATGTGAAAACGCTCCAATAAGGATACTGCGTTCGAATCTAAATGTGATTACTCGAACATTGGGGAATTAAACTGTTCAGGAGCTCTACCCGATAGTCATTATAATCGTTTCTGTACCGCAACGGGATTATTCCTCAGCAGCGAGTATGTTGTCCGGACAGAGAGACCGCTAAGGGGGGATGCGCTCAGACGAAATTGAAAATAAACGCCGATTGAAACACAACGTTGAGATGCTCGCGTCATTTTCATATCAGTCTGCATCGGCGCTCTCGAGCGCAACGTTCGCGTCATACTGAAGATCTCGGCGGATAAGAGAGCGCGATCGTCGAAAGTCCAAACAAAGAGAAAGTCTTGTACAGTTCCCTCCTCCTTGTTAGTGAACGGGCCGTGCTCTCGATGACCACGACATTGGAGAGTTCACGACCAGCGCGTAGAAGCTCGCGGCAGTCGTCTCGATACTCAAAGAACGACAAACAGGCAGCGGGCGATGTATTCGTAGAGCCAGATGTCGAGCTGTCGCGGGCTGCAAGAGTATTCACCGAGACAATGGGAACGGGAGCAAATCCAGAGAGCTCTCGCTGGAGCTTTGGCGGTCAGATCTGCGTCAATCCCTTAATCACACATCATTCGTTCGGTTCCGGGCGCGTCTACAGTGCCGCTTCGCTTCGAGAACCCGGAAGCATATTCTGTGTCAGGGAACGATATCTTGAATGCATGACACGCCTCGCCGACCAGAATTGAGATGTTAGAGTGAACGAATGAGCAGACGCGTTCACAGGAGGAATCCACCCATGATAAATCGAGTGATCGAATTTCGGCCATCTAAATCCGATTGCGCGCATTGCTAGTTGGGACTAGGGGGTTCAATCGATGCAAATGTCCCTGTCGTGTGACTTACCCTCGGGCTCAGACAGCTGAGCGACGGATTCAAAGCGAACAGTTCCGGAACGTGATTCGCCCAGTGGCTTCGGAAGTCTGAACTCTGCAATTCGAACGTCCTTGGTTACCAATGGTATCAAATCGGCCCATCATCCTCTGAGGTAAATTGTTGAGGATCGGATATATATCTGCTGCTGTTAGACGATATCGGTTTCCGGATGCTGTGAGAGATGGATCTCCAACCGATCGAGCGATGCTCATCAGGCGAAACTAGGAGGAGGGATCAGATCCCTCAGGTCACACGCCCTGGCTCATCGCCGTATGGCTGTCATGAGATCCACCCCTCAAGTCTGACGGATGAGCGGTCGGTGGTGATTCATTTTGACTCCGATCACTCATTTTGTCTCCAGTATTCAACAGTTACGCATTTCTGGAAGGAAGCGCCGCCCAAGAGATAAGCGAGAAGCCAAGCTCGAGCGATGTTTTGATACAGTCGATTATGTAAGGACGTGCTCGGTGTTTTGCCAGCGCCAACAAACAATGGAATATTAACAGCTGGATTGCGGCTGACCTCTCGGTCAGAGCGCCAGCAGGTGCTCGATCGCTCATTGAGTCGGCTTCGAAACCAGTGGAAAGACCGCTTCTGGAGAGCTCATCAGCTTACGCGACTTCCACTAACAAGAGAAAATGCACCTGACTCGAAATCCGACGAGTGATCGAAGAAAGAGAGCGAATAGCAAGCCAGGCGAAGGTGATCAATTCTAGTGAGCGGGTTACTTCGCCGCCACCTAGGTCTGACATGGAACTCATAGGCTCAAAACCAGTGTCAGAGGAGAAGCCACAAAGCACTGCGTTTCGAAACTCCTCACTCTTTACGATATCAGGCGGAGATTCTGATTTTCCAGTCTGACAATCGATTTCGTCGTCATTCAATGGCGACCCGTAGACTCTATGCATAGAGCATTCACGCGAAATTCCTGGACAATCATGGGACTGCGAAGCTTCCTCCCGATCTCGGCTCGGAGTTGGGAGGCCAGGCAGCATCCCCGAGTCGGAGATGGGGTTTCCGGAGAAGTGACTACTCACGTTCAGCTGGCCATCTTCGAACTTTTTGCTCCAGTCTTCCCATATTTCCCTTAGCAGCCCACCACCAGCCAGGCGGGGATCGATGTTCTCTTCAGGGGCTAACATTCCAACGTGTAACGAGTGTATGGCATGGACACCGGACAATTTTTAGAAGCAATCCGTTGATTTGGTCAACAGCGCATATGTAGCTGCGGCTGCTGCCGATCGTGGTGGTGGCTGCGAGCTAATGGTCTATGGTCTGCGGCGGCTGCTTTCGTCTCTTCGCTCCTCTTCTCCTATTACGCTATTGCCGCAAGACCGAGAATTCGGCTCATGACCTTGTGGGATCGTCCGCTGTGCTCTCTTGAGGTCCGGAAGTCTCATAGGGATACTTTATTCCTTCGGTTTCAGGGAATCTATCTTGGAAACGTGAAAGAAAAACATTTGAAAACACTCTTGAATGGAATCTGTTGATGAGAGAGTGAAGTCGGTGATGTCGATGATCTCTGCGGTTGAATTGAACAAGACCGGGCGGTCCTCTCTTCTCTACCATCTGAACTCTCTTCTATCGAAATCGCTCAGCTCTTCGGATCAGGTTCGCGATCCCAGCTGCGACACCTTATATCCTGTCTCCGGGCGTCGAATGACCTCGGGGGTGGATCAGCACGTACGATGCCGGGGGACACGGGGCTACGGGCGCGGAGTTTCGTTGGACTTAGTGATGGCCTGTGCGCTGTTCAACTGACTGTCCCAGTACCGAGACCCTGATCGCGCTTATGTAGCGTTCCAGAGTGTCAGTCATCTCCACCCTTCAAGAATTTGCTAAGAAACCCAACGATTAACGATGACCTGCGGGGCGGTCATGAAGACCGTCGTGCGCGCGAACTCAGAACCAACGCCCCCCTTCGATTGCTCGCCGAAGCTGACCGTTTCCACCTGTCTGATTACATCGATTTTTCTCAGTCATTAATTCGGAACGCGGATTGATAACCAGGGAATTGGAAAGCTTGTACTGGCACACAAGATTGGTTAGTGAGATAGGGTCGAAGGCAGTAGGGTCGTCTCCGCTGTCGCTCAGCGTCACCAAGGCGAATTCGTAGCTCAGCCACCACACTCGTGAAGAATCGAAGAAGCACTCGGGTAGAGTTTCCACACGACAGTGTGTTTATTGATTGAAAGGTTGTTTCTTATACTATTGTCTAAGAGAAAGGGAAGCCTATGTTGAGGCGCCGATTCGGCACCCCTTCTACTTGATTGATGAGCACACCCCCGTACACTATGGGTCCCCATGATTAAACACTGGGCTCTCACGAGCCGAGCGCTTTTTCGGCACTTGTGGTCGTGCGCAAGCGTATGCGGAGCCGCTTTGATTCTCAACTCTGTACTGTTTCGCAAACCGGGGTCCAATGAGACCCGGATGTAGTTTGATATGAGAATCCGAGATCGGCTGACTTCTAGCTAGCTTCTCCTGAAGACGGCTCAATTCATTTCGGATGATTCCGTCCCGATGACAGGTGGTTCGAGGCGAATGTTTGAACGGTCTTCCAGAGATTGAAGATGCGTCCTCGCGGAGTGACTCGGAGGCATCGCTATCTATGTTTCTCTATCTTCAACACGGATCGATTGTGACATGATGTCATTCGCGAAGTTTCCTGGAACGCTCGAGAATCCTTCGCATAACCCACCTCATTGGCGACGCGACGGGTCCTCTCGGAGCTGTAACCGACGGCAGGCTTCAAGCGGCCGAAGGCTAGCTTATGGTCGCTAGCTTTCATCTCCTTCATTTTTGGATCGACGGCGCGGCGCGTACGATGAACCGAGATACCATGGTACACATAAGCTGATTTGAAGCGGCAGGCTTGTCTGCCGGACTACTCGCGCCTCTTCCTCTAGCGACGAAGCTCTCCCCTTACGATGTCGAACTGCATGTTGAGAACAAGATCGTATCTTCTTTTGAATGTTTGAACTTCCGGGTTGGTCCGATGGTTGGCCCGCGACTCATTCTCTCACAATTAATCGTCGATGCGTCGAGCACATTTTCAAAATACCTGGGATCCATCGACTCTATCGCATACCTCAACCCCATGGAGTCAAGAGCTGCCCCTTTTTTCGGACTGACTTCGATAAGAAAATATGGAAAATTTCCACGGGAAATCGTCAGCCCACCCCATTCTCTCTCGCTCTGGCATGATGTCACGGAATGTATCAGGAAAATCGAGAGATTTAGCATCGAGCAAGTGCACCCTCAATGAACAAAGGGATCTCCAGGACATCGTTCGATGAACGATCTACAGGATGTGAGATACGGACAAAGCGTAGGGATATTTCCCATAGGACGCCAGCACCGATTTACGGAGTCGGAGGCGGAGCTTGGATGCCGGTAATCATTGATGGATCACCGGGAACCTTAACTCTCCGTTCTCCTCAATGTCATCAGCGATCGATCCCGTCAGCCGCCATCTCCGGAGAGATCCCTTTTTTCTCTCCTGATTCTGATGCACACGCTCAAGAGTTTCTCCAGCGAAACGCAGCCGGCGATGTGAGTGCGAATCGCGCTGAATGCGGTGAAGAGTCGTCTCCCTTGATTGAGATTTGGGTCGAAGAAACATTCCGGACTCCGTGATTCTGAACGTGCCAGACCTGAGTCCCGAAAGACGACGGACCATGAGTGGGACGGCTCTCCAGTCTACGACTTGTGTCCATTAGAGCAGCGATTCAATCACGGATCAGGACCGCGGGAACCGTGACAATGAGTCCTCGGTTCTATTCTGAACATGGTGTGGCGGCTGATTCTCGCGCAGCTTGTCCCTCTCCCTCGGAAAAAAAATGGCCGATCGACTTTGTTTTGATGTGGGACACTACCGCCACCCCGCTTTTACGAGCGCGCAGCGCAGTCGGAGTCCGGAGCGAGAAGCGTCTGGAATCTATCTTGTCCTTGTATCCTGTCCTTCTATCGTTCTGCTTCTTCAATCGCAGTGATGGCGGGCTCTATTTTAGAGAATCTTTCCAATAGGAAACTGGTTGTGATCGTTGGCTTCGTCATGCTAACTCTCTTGTCGTGTTTTCTACTCGGAGGTCTCATAGGTGAGTGCCGGTCGATCATTTTGTTGGAGTATCCGATCGGGGAAGGTCTGAGGGAAAAAAGTTTTCTTCCCGACTCTTCGTCCGAAGCAATGTCATGGATTGTCTTGGGGTTCCCAGTTTCTTCGCCTCGGTATCTCTATCAGATGGGACTCATTGAGTCGACTCTGCTCTGCCTCAAGTCACCCGACATTGAATATTCCCTCATGTCGGTGAAGAAAATCCCATGCTTCCTGAAGCTGATCGGGTCTGTCGGAAAACCGCGACATTGCTTCTCCCTGCTCGGGAACTCGGGTGGCGTATTCCCTTATCCGATCGCGACACCGTCCCTGAATTTCACTAATCAATACTTGTCTCTCGGACTCCGAATGACAGCTGACTTGCATTCCATTCAATGCATTCTCCCGATCACTGTTCTAATTGCTCCATCCATAGGTAGCTTGGGGACGCGAGGAATCGAGATCTGTCAATGTCTCATTGATATGATTGTTCGGTCTAAAACCACCGCCTGGGGTTGATTCGGTGCCCGTCTGGATTCGACAGGCGCTAGCAGCGTCCCAGGTCCCGAGAATTCAGCAATGAGAGTTTACCCTCCCAAAATTCTTGCAATCCGAGATCCCAGTTAACGAGCAGTTCCTTCGATTCCATCCGATGGGGTTGTATGTGGTGGAAGTCTGTGGAGGAACCTTCCCAGAGTATCGACACCGGATCACCGGGTGAATCTGTGCCTCATAGGTTACCTCGAAGTAGATCAGGATCTGAGACTGTGTGTATACTCTGAGCGTTTCGTGGGCATTCAAGTCTCCGAAGCGACCGGCGGGGATTTCCAGTGCTTCGATTTTCTTTCACAGAATTAGCTCATGCATCGTTGGAAACTTTTCATTGCAGCTCCAGCACCCACGAATGCTGATCAGGTTCTTGGGACAGTTTGTGCCCAGGAAACTCCCACAGTGCCCGGAGACTTCAGCTGGAAATGGGCGATTCCCCGAGGATCCAAAGGAGCTACGAATTGTAAAGTCTTACATAACCTTGCCGATGTGAGTGGTAAAACGCAGCGAAGGGGAAGCCGCCTTCCCGCAAAGAATTCCGGCTGCTCTTCGAAAGTTTATAAGCATGTCAACACGAAGCTTTATGTCTCGTATCCGTCCGGTTGCTCATTGCTTAGAGCCCGTATTAGAGTCTCAGCCGATACCGATCAGTTCGGAATTCTGACGAACCTTTTCGCTATGCTTCACTCGGCGCGCCGCTTGGGCCCGGAAACTCGACTCTGAATTCGCAGCCAGTATTCTAAACTAGCTGAGAGTTTCCTCATGGATACTAATATCCATGGCCATGTCTCCGCAGGACACGAAGAAGAACATCAACATAACGGCGAATCACGTCGTCTTCACGTTCCAATTGCCTTTGCCCCGCGAGCACAAAAACCTCGACTACTCACGGTGGCAACAGAATCTCATGGGTGTCCTTCACGTTGAGCTCTACTACGATGCGAAGAATCCTCTCAGTGAGTTTTCATTACCTAACCCCCAGACGCTCTGGAATTCCCCACCTCTCTTCTGAATTCTCTGGAGCTCGTGTGTTCCCGATTCCAGTCCTGAATTTCCGTCGTTGCGATTTCAGAACAAGATCCGGAGGTCGATATGGATATAAAAATGGGCTATCGAGACAAACACGAGTCGGCGGACACTTGGCATTTGTTGGCCAATTCCACCGAAAAACGCACCCTCGGATGTGACCTCAATGGAACTCATCACCATCAACAGGATGAGGTAGGCAACGCGGGATTTGATCCTCGCGAACTACACTGGTCGTCTTCAAATACGGTAAAATCATGCGAATCATTCCCTTCCAGCACATCTATGGCTACAACTGCGATGCTCTGGCTCTGTTCGAATTGGGCTCTCTACATCACGATTATTATCTCGTAAACATCAAGTTCCCGATCAATCGAGAGATGACCATCAACCAACATTTCGGTTTGATCAACGAAGTGTGGCTCGTCGTCATACATCAGAACGGAGGCTTCACCAAAGTTTGGACAACGATGAAATGCTTCTTTTTACCGCTCATAATTGCGACCATGGCTTGGTACTGGCGACGCATCAAGATCTTGGAAAGGGCTCCAACACTGCTTGAGTGCAGCATCTTCGGACTCGCAATCGTCATGGCTGCTATCGATGGTGAGTTCCGCCCGCTGTTTCTAGTGAGTTCAGCGGTTTCTATCTGACAGTGCAGACATCTGAAGCGGGAGATCGACGATTAAGGCGGATTTTCTCCAGTTCCGATCGAGTTGCTGACGTTATTCTACGAAATGCCGTACATGCTGTTGATACATGACATCCGACAAGGACTATTCTACGCTTCACTCTTCAGCTTCTGGCTCATTTTCTGCGGAGAGCACATCCTGGTGAGTTTCCCTGGAGTTATCAATCCGACTGATCGTCGCCGAGAGCTATTGTGGTAGATCAGAAATTTCTCGCTTGCGTTCCGCATCACTCACCGACAGAGATCTTGTCTTGTTCCATGCAAACAGGAGAACGCTGTGAGTCAATCGTTGTTCGGCGGCCCAATACGCTCCTCATGGTGTTCTAAACGAGCAAACTGATTACACATTCGAGACTCAAGTCTGACATGCCCCGCAGATTAGTTCATACAACTTTGTCCCGATTCCCTAATGACCCAACAAATGATTCTATTTCCGCAGGATAACGTTGAGCGTAACCGTCTGAGCGTATATTGGAAACAATTCTGTGGAGTCATCATTGGCTGCACATCGCTTCTCATATTCGATTTATGTGAAAGGTAAAACTCTGAAATCCGGCAATCGCTTCCCGAGAGAGCCTGTGTTCGGGAGGATCGATCAAGAATTATGACTTGATCAATATTACAGGGGCATCCACCTGGCGAACCCTTTCTACTCCATCTGGTCTACGAAACTCGGACGGGATATGGCTCAGGCGTTCTTAACTATCACGACTGGTTGTGGAGCCGTTTATTTCTTCTACTTGTGCCATCTTTGTCTACGTGTCAGAGCCAACATCTCGTGCAAACGATCCGCTTTGCCCGGAATGAGCGAGACTCGACGACTCTTCTATGAAGGGATCATCTACCGATTCAAGTTTTTGCTAACCGCCACCATCGTCGCTGCGGCTCTTACCCTAGTAGCGCTATTCATGAGCCGCTGGTCCGAGGGACAGTGGAAATTTGATGAAGATATCAGCCTTGAATACACATCGGCTTTCCTGACGGGCGTGCTCGGTATGTGGAACTGCTATGTGTTCATTCTTCTGGTGCTGTACGCTCCCAGTCACAAGAACAAAGGTCGGAGCGAACCGAATGACCTCAACAATCTCACTGACGAGAACCAGGACAGCATCGAGTTTTCCCGTTTGACCCATGCCGACTCGTGCAACGAAGTCCCCGAATGCTCGGGGCTGGCATCGCTGTCGGAAATGGCGAAGAAAGTAGCTCTGGATTGAGTCCATTCAAGATGAGCGAAACAGGGGCCAGATGGAGGAATAGGTCCACTATGATGTCCGGAGGGTGGATCCGAATCCGACTCAAAGCCCCCCGTCCTACCCGGCCTGGGTGAATCGACGGGCCCTGTGCCAAATGCTCGAATTCCTTCGCAATGGTGTATAGAGCTTATTTCATGCTTTTGAGCAGATGCAAGAGCAAGATTATATTCACCTTTCCAATTTTTTGGAGTTTATCCTTTTCGTTCTGCGTCACTCTCGAGCTTTCGGAAGCCTGATCCCGGAACTTTTCTATCTATGCGCCAACATCACTCCACTTGTGTTATCCGAAGGATCTCTTCTACAAGCTTTCCATGGGTCTTCCCAGAAATTTACCTGGTACCTTGCCCTCCTTCCTAAAGAGGCTCTTCACCTCGACTTCTGTGTCAATTCACAGTCCATAAGTGACTGTATGGCTAGCTCAGATTTGTGTTCATACTGTCGATTTTCTGAGAGGAACCCCCATATCGGCGGCCTAGAAACTCGCTTGACCAAATATCTTTATAAGTTCCTCGCTGCCGGAGCTCTTCGAGAGTCCCGTTGTATATTGCCATAAGTAGGTAGAGAAACATCATATACGGGTACGTAGACTTCTCTCAAACTAACTGCATTATCCCACCAACATATAAAGTAAAAATCGTGATCGATTTAATTGTGCTGGATTCTTGAGTAGGAACGAAGCTAAACATTGCAAACGCTGAGTACTGCTAACATTGTATGATGCATTGTAACTAATGGACTCAGGAATCTCGTATATTCTCTAAACCGATGAGGAAGTCAGTTCAAAGTAAGGACTGAACAAGGAAATAAATGGCCGTACCTAGGTCATATTGCTATGAATGATCTTTATTCATTTTCATACCATTGCACAGTGCGATGTGCGGCATTGACAAGGCGATTGAAGGCCGCTCTGTCCGAGGTTGTGAATGATTGGTAAGACAAGACAAGGGCCGAAGTCATCCAATTAAGATCGAATTCTACATGGCTCACTCAGCGGATAGGAAAATGTTGGTCGTCACTAGGAATCGTCAATGTATACACACGGTACTCGGACCGAGTCAGTGTTGCGAAGGCAGTCCAATCATGCAGCCGACAATCGGTAAAACGATCGTTGCCACGGCTCCCGCTCCGGCAGTCTTCGGCCTAGCCGTGATGTCGAAAACCCTTTCAGCTCAGAATAGAGATGCTTGAATGAACTTGGAGATCAGGGCGAAGATGACATTGGTGCCATTAGCCGCATGGGGTGCGCAACACCAAATGAAAATTCCGGCTCGAACAGAAGACGGCAGCCCGAAATTGCTGACGAGACCGACAATCATCCAGTATCTGTGGGAACAAGAAGCGATGAAAATCAAGTATTAGGAAGCGAACGACAGATAGAATCTTTGAAGAAATTCGAAGTACGAATTCGAGCGAGATAACTCACCTCGCCCAGAAAATGTCGGCGTCTCCGCGTCTGATCGACCTCAATGTGGGCAGGACACATAGCAGTATGGTGAAGCGAACGATTGTTTTCGTCCCCACCAACATCGAGATCATAACAAGAATCACCGAAACGTAAATAGCAAACCATACTGGGTCCTTTGCTAGGGCTCCGACCATGTTCTCCAAGTAATGGGGCTCCATGATCTCGAATTCGTCGGGAGTCCTCTTCCCCTGGAATCGTCGTCTCTCGAAATCGTTCCAGACGCTTTCATTCCACACCGTGTATGTACATCCATCTCATTATTACGAATCCATGATCAGTCCAAGAGGTCAACCCGGCCCGTGACCAAGAGTCTCGCTCGATGGCTCTTTTGGCGCGACGAAATAGTCGCTGTTGAAAGCTCTCGCGCAACAGGTTTATCGGAGCGACTCCGATCACTTCGCAGAATCGTTAGGATCGATCGCGAGCCAATGCGAGAATATTCTAAAGCAAGCGAAAGCAAGTACCTGGCGGAGACGTGTCACTCAGGACGAAGTATTCGATCGAAGCGTGTTGCACGAAGTCTCTCACAGTCTTCTGAGATCTCTCACTTGTGGCTTCCTCTGTTTGTAGCGTATCCGTGGTGACGTAGCCTTGCTGATGGCAATGCCGGCCTCATACTCACACTGATCCACGTCTGACGTCTTGACAGGATTAGCTAGGTCTCATTTTGGCCAACTAGAGAATCGACGTAAATGATTTCTCATCGCTTCCCGCGAGCCGACGTTCGATGACGAGCTCACAGGCTTGTTTTGATTTCCACTTAAGCGCATTTCTCATGTTCCCTCTCTTTGTGGGGAGGACATCGACCACATTCGACCCATTGGAGACACGCGCGATTCCGCCATTCTGATTCAAGGATCGACATCCGAGACAATTCAAGTGTCTTCGGAGCCGCTATTCTCAGCGAGTGGCGATGCGGCGAGAGAAATATCGCTGCGAGCCGATATCAGGTTCAGAGAGATTTTATGGTTCAGTTTTGGATCTCGCTCCCTGGGGGCGTTCGGATCGATTTCTCTTCGAGTTTGGTTTCGTAGCATAGTTTTTCATCCAATCGTGTCGCTTCCATTTCGCCTCATGCACCTATCTTGGCTAGAGCCTCACGACTCATGACTTGGCATCGAACCGACCGACACCGGCGAGTTCTTCAACGTCGCTGCTGCTGCAAGAGATGATTTCGAGGAGGGAATGTCTCACGGTCAGTGATGAATGATGAATCATGATTCATGATCTGCTCAGGATGTTTCAAGAAGCGGAACTTATATTCCACCACTCCTTACTGGACGAGCTCGAAGACCTAGCCATTTCAAGAAGGCTCTTAATTTTAGCTCTTCGGGCAGCTTCAAGCAACCGAACACTTCTGTGTTCTGGCGCGATTGTCGAGAAACCTGAGGTCCTTAGGTTTGGGGTGTAAATTTTCCGCGCGAAGGAATATTACTGTTTCCATGGTGCGATGCGGGAAGGAAACTGGAAGTTCGCAGAGAGCCCCGAATCTCCCTCGATATCGCGGGAGATCGCGAATGTCGCTCCCGATTAACGGCAAGAGCGGCTCCCGAGAACAAAAAGGCTTTGCAAGCTCGACCCTCGTGGCGAGTCTTGAGTCTTGATCCGCACATGTCTCCAAGCTCGTGGCCTAGCTCAAGCACGGGCCCGGTCTCATCAAGCTTCGTTCAGACTCGGAATACTTCCGACTCTCTTATTTAGCCTGATACCACGATCTAGAGAGGAGTTTCATTCGAGTTGTCTGAAGAAAGGTTGATTTACAATCGAATGTACGATTGATGAACTTCGCGGAGTCGGGAGTCGCTGGCAACCGTCCGGAATCGCGGTTACCGCGAAACTCGCGCAGAATCCACGTCCCATCAGTCATCAGGGGGAAATGTGCCACCACCGAGGAGAAACTCCCGGGAATACGCTCCTCTTGTCACAAAGACTCAACGCAGACATCGTTCAAGTCGTGCATGAAGTTGTCGACTTTCGATCCGCAGGCGGGTCTCGCGACAACCTGCAGGCACATGGAGTGTCTATCGACCCCCGTGTCGATTCACCTTCGGAGAGGGGAGGAAACCTTTTCTACTCAAAATGCGTTCGGCTGTCAGAAGTTCAGTATCGACTCCACCAGGTCCGTCCCATCCGAGACAGCTCGTTCCAAGCTTTCGCCCCAACGGATCGCGGATTGTGCGTGAGGGAAGCCGAAGTCTCCTGCCACAAGAACTTCTGCAGCACTGCCAGCGAATGAAATGTCAATCCGAATCGGAACGCTTCGCGGAGATCAAGGCGACCGAGCTACCGTCGATTCGCCCCTAATTGAGCGCAAGTACCTGAAAGGATCTCGTCCGCCACGGTGGAATAGGGGACGTCATTCACGACATGTATCTGATCCGGCCGAAACCCCAGAAACAAGATCGCCGATGATATGATTTATCGATGCGTAATCAATCTTCGATCAGCGGTTAATTGATGAGTGATCATTTGATCATGGTTGGTCCTTGGTTAATCATGATTCATGATCCGAGGTTCTGAGGACGACAACGAAGCCGCCTTTCCTGCTTGGAGAATCCATCATGAAATCACGATCGAGCACAGTTGCCATTATTAAAGATCTTTTCTGAGCTGAAGCTCTCGACGACCATGTCGAAACGCTTGCATTTGAGCTCAGACTTCTCTTGGTAAATCTTCTTATCTCTCTTTTCGGTCTCTTCCTTCCCACTCCGTCGACGCGAGAGGGAAGGAGAAGAGTATCATAGAGCGACGATCGAATCTGCTCATTATCACTATATATAAATTGCTCAATTCGAGTCGGATCGCCGTTAGCCAGAGCTATAAATCGAACCTCTATCCGGCTGTCTAGGCTTTCCACACGCAGGGTGTGTTGTGGTTTTTCGAATTTCCTGAGACGGCGACGGGTGTTCAAACTGACGCACACTCCAGAAGAGTTTTTCGTGAACGAACAGATGTGCCTCGTCACCTACGAGATTCTCGTCAGATTTAGGAAGAAGGTGCTGAGTAGAGGCGATATCTTGGATGAGGTCGAGAATATCTTTGGACTCATCGCAGAAATGTCCATCAAAGCGATATCTGCCGCCCGCGTGAGTGGACCTGATTATTTCCTCCGCGATAAATCGAAACGCGAATGGGAGAAAGAGATCCCGAACAAGCCCTGCGGGACCGCATCCAGCAACTGATGACTCTCAATCTTCAGTTGGGCACAGTGCTTTTCGACGAGCTCTTGAACGTCATTGTTGATCTTATGGACGGTTTCGATTCGCCCTTGACTTGGAAGAGGTCGAACCAGAAATTGCGCGATTCGCTCGAAAACGCCCTACCTGCCAGACATCCGAAAATACTGCTGCCCTCGATGGACAGCTTCCGGGAGCATAGTCTCATCGGTCAGTGGGGACTTTCTCCTATCATCCAGCTCTCGATTCCTTACTCTCTCGATATCACATTTCTACGGGATAGAATTTCTTAAGGTCAAGGAGGCTTCGGGACTGTGTACAAGACGACTTTCGGAGGAATGCCCCTGGCATTGAAGCTGATTGAACGACACACTTGTGAGCCATTTAAAGGTCTATTCCACGAGAAAGCAGCGATTCGTCTCCTCAGACATCCGAGAATTGTTGTCACGCATGCATCGTTCAGGTAGGGATCACGAATGGGTCGAATTAAGGAACTTATAGCTACTCCATTCTCGGTTATTGGCGCATCTAACTCCGAGAGCCCTTGGAAATTCTCAGATGCTCGAGGGGTTATGTTCTGCTCATGGAGCCGGTGAATGGCATAGATTTATATCGGCTGATCCATTCCTTCCGTAACCTCTCTCACACGGTGACGAAATTCCTCACGGCTCAGCTCGTTTCGGCAGTTCTGTACATGCATTCGACCGGCTTTCTTCACAGAGACATTAAGGTAATTCGATACCGACTCCTAGCGCTTGGGTTCTGGGGGGGGCAGCCCTTCTCGATCTCATCCGGACCCTCGGCGAGCCATTGACTTGGAAGCGATGAAAATTCCAGCCGTCGAATGTGATAATCACGAGCGGCTGTGCGCTGAAGCTTTGCGATTTCGACACGTGCAAGATCTCGATAGGGAAATACCCATCGGTCAGACCAAGCAGGAATTTCAACAGACGGTCAAGTGCCGAGTTCCATGACGCCATGTTCAACGGTACTGTGACCTACACTGCTCCTGAAGTTTTGAATCAACTTCCGTATGGCAGGGCAGCCGATTGGTATACCTACCCCTATTAGTCGATTCTGGCTTGATGGAAAGGCGTAATACGACTCAAATGCTCGGCCTGCCATGCACGGAACCACCTCTTCCAGGTGGTCGGTCGGTCTGACCAATTACCACATGTACTGCGGATCCTCACCTTTCCGCTTCTCGCGCTCGGTTAGCCGCAAACGCATGTCGTACGTACTGAGAACATACAATATTATCTATCCTGCTTGGTGTGCGGCGACGGCGGACTTTCTGAACTTTAGCAAGGTGCTTCTGAGAAAGAACCCGCAACGTGAGCTGCTGTTGCATTGCACAGTGAGGTCTAGGATTTGAGCAGCTGTGGATCTGATTCATTCAAAAGTATTCTCCGAGAAGTCGAGCCAGACCCTTTCGAGCAAGCCCCATCCCATTTCAGTGAGACTGGGTTCGAAATCGTACCGCGATCTGGTGGGACACAAATATTTCTCCGGGATTCCTTGGAGCGCCGTTGAAAGTTCTTCAGCGGTCCTGCGCGATGATCAGATCGAAGGCATGCTCGGGGTTGGCGAAGGACTCATCACTAAAACACTGTTGAAGAAGAAAAAGCGGAAGCATTTCATTGAGTTGGTCGATATGCAGGTTTGTTTCCCAGCGGCCTCTCGAGAACTTGGACTCCATGACTCCTATCCGCTATCCCCTCGCCCATCAACTTCAAAGTTGCTTTACAGAACTGTCCGCATCAGTACCCGTTACTGACGTTCGTGTCCGAAGAATTCGGAAAACTGCTGTTGGCGCGGTCTTCGGCCGAACAGTAAGAATCTAGCGGATTCGTACGCGCATTCCGTCTGTTCGAGGATCACGGATTAACACACGGATATCCGGGGCTTGGTAATAAAGTGACAATGAATCGATTCCAAAGACGAGGTGCTGTTTCTCAAGAACCGGCTATATTCATCCAGAATAGAGAATCGGTCCCTTCTTTATTCACTCGACGCGCGGAATCTCGATCTCTAACAAGATCGCAGATCGGATCACGGGGATCATCCATCAATCCATCTATCTATCTCTCCAACAATTACATGTTAACACGATGTTGAGACCACGTCGAAAATGTACAAAATGATGTGTCTTCCTTAAGCCTACCACTATATATATATAGAGAGAGAATAGATCTTGAAACTCTGATAGATTCTGAATTCACGGGGATTCTTTCTATGACTGTCCGGCTAAGAGGGGTTATATTACTTCGCTCCGGATGGACCTGATCGGATCGATGCTGATACACAGTGTGATGAATGGAGGAGCGATCGATCGATCGATTGAACGAGCGCACAAACGAACATTGTCATTCGCATCGAGCTTCTCTGTAACACAAGCGGAAGTAGTGGTCTTACTACTATTTACAAAAGGTCCTACTCTTTCAGTCTCAGAGTCGCCAGCCTGTCGTTGGACGTCAGATTTCATTTAGAAAGAAACCGAGATGAATGTCTGAGGGTTGATTCGCCTTGAGTATCGTCGTGAAACGATTGTTTGCTTGCTGCGTGAACGCTCAGTCCATGAACGGGTTGGTTGCTCTGTTTGTTTATCTGTTTGTTGGTCGGTCGATCGGTTACGGGGACTATCGAGCGGCCATTCGATCGCCTTCTTGACGCTTTGATGATTCGTGGTATTGGCAGACCTAATTATTATTTACAGTCTGTAGTACGGTATGCCAGTTAAGACCTAGTGCATCACGGTTTGGAAGGTAGTCTGGGGCGGATTCGAGGAGTGAGAATTTCGGGACGGTCGACGGGTTCTGTTCGAAATCGAACACGATCATCGTTTACGCTTTATCGTCTAGAACCTTTCACCGTCACGATATTTCCATTCCCTGTCCTCCTCAGTTTCTTGTTCGGGTCCGTTGGTGTAACGAGTCGACCTTCTAGTAGGTTGAGGTTTTTTGGCTGCGGACTCCTCGTCAGAGTCGGATAGGCAATCGAACGCTGAGTCTCCGTAGAGAATCTCGTTGTCCATGTACTGTGACGAAGTCGACCACGGATCCTTGACTCGTTTCGACCTGCAAAGAAACGAGAATATATTTCCGGCTCATTGTTCCGACTTCTCCGACCGGGAGATCTGACTCGGCCACGAGATCGCAGCAGGACTGGAATGTCTCCGGATTAAAGCTCAGCTCACCTCCGAGTTTTATCTTCGTCGGCCTTCTGTTTCTGCTCTTCTTGAAGGAGATTCGGATGATGGACTTCCGTGTACAGTTTCAGTCGCGTTCGCTGATCGTTTTGCGCGAATCCTTGCTCGTAAGGCAAGAATTGATCCAGAATCGCTTCCAGCGTCGAGATGAGTACCTTGTTCGAAGGCTGGTTCTTGTCAGTCTTCGGTTTGTTCAGGACAATCTGCAATTGAGGGTCTCCGTGAAGATAAATAACGCAGCAGGATACGGAATCCCTGCGAAGCTTCGAAAGAAAGCGTGCGAGTGGAGCGTTGCGTCACGTTGCACCTGCGAGGTTGCATACCTTCATGGTCAGGCGTTCCCTATGTTCGGGAACTTTCTTGATGATGAGGGGTTCTACTTTGGTTTCGCCGTTCTCTTGTAGCCTCCTCGAGGATCTCCTCGTCGCAACCAGTGCAGTTCCGCTCCTGGATTCGTCCTCTGCCGGAGAATCCGCTTCGCTGAAACGTTGGGTCTGTCGGTGGGTTCTCGATGACCTCCGCGGCTGGAATTGATTGGCGTCTTGCGAGGACTCATCATCAAGAGCCGACATCGATCTCGAATCGCTGCCTGACTTCACTTCGTCTTCTTCGTCTTCGTTCGAATGATCTGCTTCCTCGCCTTCAGGAGAATTCGGGTCGATTAGGTAAGTCCGCTCGCTGATTCAGCAATTGAACGCCCGATGCGGCTATCTTGATCAGTAAAACAATCTATGAAACATACCATTGTTCTCTTGGGTGTCGTTCGTCGTTTCGTCGTCTTCTTCTATTTCGCAGCCATTTTGGCCGTTCTCCTTATCGTGCACGTCGGCTTCGTTTTTGAGTCTTTCGATCAGGAGTCTCAACGATTTCACGCTGTCGGCCGCGAGAGCGAAGCCCAGTTCGTATTGCTGCTCTCCGGGATTCATTATCGGGCAGCCATGTGAATTGTAAATGATCACCTGGATCAGAGAGGAAAAATTCATTCCAGAATGCTCGAGAAAACGTATCTGAGACGGACGAGACTCGCGAAGAAACGCCCGCTATTCGACCGAGACGAGGTGCTCGAACAGGTTTCTGGGGCAGAATCTCTTTGACTTACCTCTTCGTCGAACTCCTCTTCGCTGTCGGACGAAGTCAAATCGTGGAGAGCTCGAGCCGCTTGTTTCGCGCTCCGTCTTTTACTTTTAGTTTCCACCGTGTTTTTGTGCTGTTTCTTCTTGCGCTTCTTAGGTTTCGGAGTTCGTGGGATTCGTTTGATAGCGACTTGGTAACAATCATCGTGGGCTTTCGATGGGAACTTGAGCCGTGAGTAGATTCGAACGTCGTGGTTCGATAAGCAAGGAAAATAGAAATATTCGCGTTTGCTCAGATCAACTCCGAGAACGATTTCGCGCATTTCTCCCCCGGGATAAGTATTTTCCACAAAATAGTCCTGGACAGTTCTATGTTTGGCCTTGGGAAGAGAGGAGATCAAGAGCATTAGTTAGGACTTAAGCAGAGACACAAAAGCTATCGATTCCTCAATGACGAGCAAAACTCCGAGCGAATGAGGCGGACACTCACCAGTCTTTGGTCACAGAGTCCTTTTACGATTGCCACCCTTGCCGGAAGAGGGAAATCTTCAAAAGTGGACCACTCTCCGTCTTCGTTAACTTCGTTGAACGGGTTATTCTCGCCCACGCTCTCGAAGAACGAGCCTTCTACTCCGGCATCTTCGAACACTTTGGCCACGCCGTGATTGACGTACGTTTTATACCATCCCGAAAGCTTGTTGCGAAGCTTGTCGTTCCACTCTTTGTAGCTGATCGGGGGTTTGTTTGCCGTTGAGCTGACGCTTTTGAAACCGGTCGTCAGCAAGCACGTCATCAGCGAGTGAAGCAGGAGACTGGCTTTTGGATACAGAAGAGAGCGCTCAAATTCATACATGGTGAATTCGGGAAAACCGAGCGCGTGTTGTGCGAGGAAAAGAAAATGAGCCACGTGCGGAACTTCCCAAATGCCTTGGACTTCTGCCACTTTCGCACTGACTTCCGTCAGCTCCCAGTTTTCAGCTTGCAGAGTGAGGGTTTCTTTCTCGAATTTCTTTCCCTCACGAGCTTTGAAGCGCTGTTCGCGTTCCTTGACAGATTTCTCGTGCCGAATGATGGCGATCAGCATAGATTCGCCGTCTTCCACCTTGAGGCGACTCCTCGGAATGCCGGAATTTCTCGTGGCGTCCACGGAGCACTTTTCCCGGAGGGACAGCGGCCAAGTGTTGATTTTTTGTTCGAGAACCTGTTCGAGTTTGATGCCTTTCTTCGAGATCGGGTGGTGCGGTCCGAAGGTCAGATAGCATTTCTCTAACATCAATCGGATGTCGGTGACGATTTCGCTCAAAGACTCGTAGGTCTTCTTCTCTAGGATTTGTTGCTTGATCTGAAAGTCGAAGTCGGCGTCCGTGAGACTCCGCATTCCACTCAATCGATCGCTGTGGTATGCATCTGAAGGCTTCAAGCACAGCGAGTTGGGGGGGTTGATGCGGCTCTCGCGGCTCGGGGCGGTTCGCGATGAAAACATCCAATCAGAGCGGAATTCCGGACTCAGGCATTCCGGAGTCGAAAGAAGCACGAACCGACCCGAGCTCATGCGGGCAATGATTGAACCCCGATGAGAACAGGAGCAGAGAATGAATAGCTGAAGTCAAACGCACCTTTCCGAGCCATGTTGTATCTTTGAGACCTTCTCCATAATTTCTCCAGTAGTCCCTCATGGATGATTCCGGCTTATCGAGGAAGGGACCGCAGAAACTACGGCAGTTGGTCGACATGAGATAACTTACGACGCGCCATCCATGAAGTTGTTCAGCAGGCAAGTCGGGTTCAGGATCCTGGGCGTGCCTGGTGCGTCTGTGAATGTGGAGAAAAATTCGAATGAAATTCGAACTCTCTTCGAATCTTCCGAGGAGATCGAGTTTCTGGCCGAGCGTACATTCAATCAATGCTCTCCGTGATCGAATCGAAGATGAGCTTGCATCGGGCCCCCTTACAGACGTATCGCTTCGTTCGAGAATACATGGCCGAATGTTGATCGTTCTCTTGTCGCAAGTAACTCACAGACACTTCGGACGGTATTGTCAAACAAATCGAAGCCAGGTGATATCAGTCAAACATCTGACGCCGGCGTTCGAATGGACAGACACACCGTTGATGACAGTTCCAGTTCGTCCGGTAGACACCAATGAGACATCGTCGAACTGCGAGCGAGGACTGACCCCAGTGTAACGGTGTCGTCGTCGGCCATTCGAAGAACGAGAAGAGCAGCACAGACCGCAGTCGTTGCAGTTGAAACTAAGGGAGAACTTACCTCTGCTCGAATAGCTTGAGCTTCACTTTGGAGTAACTGTGCTCCTGCAACTCCCTGGTGATCAGAACCAGGTCCTCATCATCGTCCTGGCCGCTGCCAACCTGCTCACAAGGGAACTCGACGTCGCTGACGTCCTCCTCGATCATCGCGATTCTGGAAGACACCTGCAGCCAGCTGCACTTCAAAACAATCGCACGTGACTGCGTGAAGACCCCGTTGTAACTCGGATACGGAGACAGTTGCCGCCAATTCCGGCTGAGACCCCACGAGAGTGCTTGGAGCTCACCGAGACACTGAGCCGGATTGCTCTCGAGAGTCTCTCGAGAGACAAACCACCGAGATCTCGATACTCTGCCCTTTCACTCTGATTGATGGCGCCCTGTGTTCATTGCTATTTCGCGGCCAAATTTGCTCCTTGAGTGACTGAATGTAACGAACTCGTCCCAGCTAAAGTGGTACGCTGTTTCAGTGAGCGGAAGCTTTTGTAACCACAGAGGTACCACAACCCCCGAGAGAGGCGCCAATTGAGCCCACCTCTTCGGAACCGGCTCGATTGCATCGAACCGAAGGGTTTCTCGCATTTTTTGCGGCCTTTCGCACTGTTCATGCCATTGTCCGGATAGTCGCGGCGTTCGCAGGTCTTGGGAATAGGTCTTAGTTTTACTTTTTGTTGAATTTCCGTGCTGGCGTATGCTCGGTCTGAGTGACCCTTAGGAGCCCCAGCTGATCGTGAGGAGTCTATGGGAATACCTTATCGCTTCCAGGTATGCCTTTGCGCATTGAAAGGCTTCGGGAAGATCGATTTTTCTCTCCGTAATATGTGTTTAGCCGTGAGATGTACGTCCGTGGTACGCGGTGTGGTACCCGGTCGGCAACCCTGTATGGGAGCGACTCGACTTTCTCCGAACTTTTGAGAGGAGCTCCTCTCCACAACAAGGAGGAGACTCGACAAGCAACAAACGAACGTGATAACAGCATGTTTTGTTTTCATCGGATCAAGTCAGAACAGACACTGCCACGATGGTAAGTGCCATGCTCTCGACAGGTTACTCGATGTATTCATTCAAGCCTCGGAGCGTTGTGGCTCCAGATATCACAAGAGAAACTTTGCGCTTCTGCGTAGTGTTGCCACCTGAACTCCATCCCTCTATTACGCAGCGGAGTTTACTTGTTGAGTGTCTCTGGAGTGCAGACTTGCTCTGGAGAATCATATGACGTTCTCTTGCGTCCGTGTGGACGTCATAGAGCTACGAGATGAAATTTCCTCGTCGGTCATGTGTTCGGTACTTCAAGCGCGATATAACTGTTTCCAGGTAGAACAAGTGGAGCATACGCAGGTGGACACCTCGCATGAGGATATGGTGGTGAGTAGGGGATTCTGAAATTAAACGCTCTGTTATCGACTCCTATCATGCTTATCGATTTCGAGTTGTTCAGGGAGGAAGACACGGATTCCCTCCCGACAACGCAGTCGCCGCTCCGTCTCTCACTTGCCTCTGTCGCTATGAGCCTCATCTGGTGCCCGGCGCACGTTTTACGGCTAATCCCGCTGATTCAGAAATGACAGAAAAATTACTTTTTCATAGAATCTTGAAAGTTTGCTTGGAGGGAGCACTCATAGGGGCTTCCAATCTGCTCCCCACGACCGAAATGCAGGGGAGGTTTCTCGAATTGGGAGCTTTGCCTCCTGGAGCAGCTTCGGAGGTTGATGCGTTGTCGTGCGCATTAAGGACGCCCCTTAGAAGCGGGATCTCCTGGATTTTCATTTCAAATCATTGCAAAGCGACTGTGCGGCCATCGTCGAGTACGATGTGGAGTCGCGAGCATTCCTGGAAATGAGCGGCATCCTGATTCCGGTTGCCCTGGAAGCTGTTTTCGGTTCGACGCTTGTCGTGCGATGACTTATCTGCGCACTTCCGACTGGAGAGACGGGCGTTCCGCTGCGCACTTCCTGAGAGTAGTCCCTTATCCATTAGCGACCACGGCATTGCGATTCAAGATTCCTCGAATTTCGCGTTTCCCGATCGCATGGCGCTCGTGGTATGATGTCATCGGCGAAAGGATCAGAATATTCTGAGCGAAAGCGAATTCAGGTGTCAATTTCTCTACCTCTACTCGGTCCAGGTAGATGCATGATTGTTCAGAGGATTATTTCAATCGGATTTTGAGAAAAGCGTCCTATTCCATCAGCACGATGCCCAGACGGATGCATACGGGCTACATCTTGCAACCTGCTCCTCGGATAAGAAAGTCAAAGTATTCGACATATCTGATCGGAAGAAGTCGACGCTCATCAAAACGTTGGAAGGCCATGAAGGTCCTGTCTGGCAGGTTGCTTGGGCTCATCCAACTTTCGGCAGCATACTCGCATCCTGCTCCTATGACAAAACCGTGATCGTTTGGAAAATGGGTGCAACGCCAGACGATTGGACGAATATCTTCACCTACAAGGTAAGGGAAGAATAGTATGTTAGCATGTCTCGCTCACGTGCGTTCGAGTCCGCCAGGTTGCACATTCAGGTATTTCCTGGCTAATAGGCCCGCATTCCGACGCCTGATCTCGTCTGACGGAGGAAGTTCGCGAGAAATTGACTATGAGCGCGTGAGCCGAACTGAGCCGGGGAGTAAAGGGAGAGAGCAGCTCACGGACCGACCGGTATGCTGCTATCTCAGGCTCCTCCATGGAACGGCAACGAACCTCATCTGCCCCAGAGAATAAACGCAAGAAAGTTCTGCATCAGTCCCTTCAGATGTTCACCGCGCTACAATGGGGGGCCCGAAGGGTTCTTCGGCTCAGCCGTCTCTATTGTACTTCGCTGCTGGATGTTTGACCGCTCTCCGCTGACTCCTGACGTCTTATCGCTCGGCATTGCGGAAGATTCTGGTGAGGACTCGTTCCGTTATGCGTCGCTGGTCGACCACCGAGTTTTCGGTCGTTGGAAGACTTCTTTCGGTGGAAATTCCGGTTCCACGGAGGCCTCGTCCATGCACGATCGGCTTCCACTGAAGCCGGCGCTCGGTATTCAAAAGCTGGATACATTGGAGATATTGTGAACGTATGGCTTCTTGGAGACTCTGGGTCTTCGGGCGTGTGTCTTCCGCTCCGATTCAGCCACTCCGGAGGTCACCCCGATTGAATCAATCTCCCCGGGAAGACGAGCCTTCAGCTCTCTTGCAATTTTCGTGCAAGGGTCGAGGTGACCGACAGTAACGCGTGACGTCCGAGCCAGAAGTGAATGGAAACATGTGTATGTCACTCGGGAGCAGCAGTTCCGACGAGCTGTGAATTGAATCTGGCATCCGCTCAGCATCCTCGCTGTTTCTTTCTTCAGCTGTAGCCGCAAGATCGAGCCTACAGGCGAGTTTCTTCTAACGGTTTGGAAATTTTCAGGATCACACATCTTCAGTTAACTCAATCAACTGGGCTCCTCGAGAATTCGGCTTGATATTGGTTGCCGGGAGTTCCGATATGACAGCCTCCGTTCATACTTGCATCACCGAAACTCGGTGAGCAATCCCTTTAATGAGAGCCCCCGATGCGGTGGCTTCCGGGGCGTTCTGAGGACAAGAGTTTCATTGATGACTTTTTTTTCCGAAAGGTGGGAATCGGTCAAGATTGAGTCGCACAACGTCGGCTGTAACGCCGTGAGCTGGGCGCCGGCGTTACAAAACAAACGATTCGTAACGGGAGGCTGCGATAATCTCGTGAAGATCTGGAAGTTCGACGAAGAAACTCAGAAGTGGATCAACGAGCACACATTGGAGGGTCACACGGACTGGGTGAGTCATCCACTACGCCAAAATATTTCCCTATAATTAGCTCCCGATTTTCTTGGTTCCGTTCATTCCGGTTCGCGCTCATTTGGACGTGGTGTGCGCCTTCGTTCTACGCTGCGGTGAGCCTCGTGCTCGTCACCCGTACGAGCGGTCATTGACCATCAGGAAGCACTACTTGTTTGGCGGCGGTGGATGGGTTCGACAGAAGCGCCGGAAAGCCTTCCGATTCGAGAATGGAAGGCCAGTCAAACATTGTACCGTAACGGATTGTTTATGGTAGTCGGTGAATGCGTGGAAACAAGAATGGATGGATGAATGTCCATACGTTCTCATTCGGGCCTCTATTGTGCCCCGTATGGACCTTTTCCGCTTCGGGAGATGAGCTAGTTCAGCCAGTCTCCAATCACTCTCCTTGAGGGAAGCGGACATGATGGAACCCATTCCGACCTTAGTCAGCCGATGCACGCGCACATGCTCACGCTCTGTGCACATGTGCACATGTACACGTCGCTCCGTGCAACCCGATGCGGCCACCGGTATAGCACTGGTCATCGGCTGTTCAATCCGTTTCTCGAACACACGGGTTGGAAGAAATCGATCCTATGGTGCCTAGATTGAGGAAACTCCCAAGCGGGAGTTTCCCTCTTTGACACCCCGAAACGGGGGAACGGCCCGAGCCGCCATCAGTGCTCTGTCAGTCACTTCGAAACTCCGCCCCGAGTGTCTGGTCGAAGTCCCACGCCAAAAGGGCCGTCTTGTTCTGAGCTCCGGGTGAAGTCGCCGTCTGGGTCATGTCACCGCAATAATTCATTCCCCGATGGTATAGATGCATCTAGAAGTTTGCCGATACGCGGCGTCCAGTGACTCGCTGAATTCATTGTCGCTCCCGACTCCCGATATCCGACAAGAGTCGGAATCCAGCCATGCCTTCAATTGTCATTCGAGCGGAGTTAGTCGTGAGACGAACTAAGTTCTCGAGGGAGCGCAGTTTCTCGCTTCTTCTGGGCCGAGAGATGTTCAATGGGGTCCGACGCGCCTCATCCAGTCACAGCTCTCATTCACTACTCTCTCTCTGACAATCTTCCGCTGCCTCCGATTTTTGAGGACATGAAGCTCGGTACAGCCCTCACGCCTGAGTGCTCTCTTCGCTGATGTGATGGACGATTCGATACACATATGAATCATTCCAGGTACGGGACGTTGCGTGGGCTCCGTGCCTCGGACAGGGCAGGAACATAATCGCCTCCTGCGGCCAGGACTGCCGTGTTATCATTTGGACCCAAGAGAAAGAGGTTTGGCGGAGCAAGGAGCTCTCGAAGTTCCCGGACGTTGTATGGTTGGTGTCGTGGGCGATCACCGGAAACGTGCTCGCCGTATCCGGTGGGGACAATAACGTTAGTTTGTGGATCGAAAGGGAGAATGGGGAATGGGATCAATTCAGTGACGTGACCAGCGTTCCAATGCCCCAGCCGCTCCCGCCGACCTCGCGCAGTCTGGTGCGGCACAATGCTGAAGAGACCGAGGACTGAAGTCGTCGCATGTACTCAACGGTGAAGGAGAGTGATCGGGTCATCAAAGATCGGAGAGATTAGGTACATCGTTCCCATGGCCCAGCTACGGCTGCCAACTCGAACTCGTCCGTGGATCCTCCTCCTCTCCTCTCTGAAGCCGGAAACACTGCCGTTGCCGAAACCTGTTTATTGTTTCTGCAATTTTCGTCCATACACGTTTCTCTGACTCTGAGTTTTTTGACGTCTGCCGGCAAATGAATTGACGACATGATCGGCGCTATTCGTCGAACTCGTCATTGCGAGACGCTTCTGACTTTGGTCGCGGGCTTGCCGTGTATCTCTATCGCTGCGTCGAAGTCGCGAGCCCCACTCATGCGCATCAGTACAGTACAGCAATCTGGGTCCGATACAGTGACCGAAGGCTCATGGGCTTGGAGTTTTCTTGTATACTATAAGCTACTTGACGTGAACGACTGCCGTTTTGTATATAGGACATCGTCTTGTGTCTGTACGGATCAGACGTTCATCCTGACCAGCAGTTAGGGCTGAGCACTGTTTGAATGAGTTTCGCGGATTCAACTCGAAGTGACTCCGCGTTGCGTGGCGCTGGTCTCTTTCTACTTTTGTTGACCGTTTATAAAATACACATGAATTCCACATTTTTAAGGGGACGTCCGTGATTCTGACCGTCGTCTCTGTTTAGCAGAAGTTTGCGAACTGTTTCACGATGCAGCAAGGTGGCGGGCAGTTGACGAGGTAGAATTACTCGCGGGGAAATGCAGCTCAAGTTTAGTCTGGGCAGAGGGATCATCTGTCCTAACGCTTGCACGATTCAATACTGAAGAGGTGAACATTTCAAGGAGAGCCTCTACCTCTCAATACATAAATGCTGATTTATTGTCAGATTTGCTTACGCGAATTGACGTCAAAAGAGGGATGATGGACATATATGAACATCTAGTAGATCACTCACCAATCAACCGCTGAGCAGGACAGCTTCCGAACCGACTCATGCTTCGGCAGTGGGAGCGAAGACAGTCACTTCAGTTGTGTTGATCTGATGGGGATCAAGCCGCGGATTTCGTGGGCATTAAAGTTTCTAGTGAACTCATGAGTAAGCTCACTCGGACGATATGGTGAATGAAAGGTTGCGTGCGAGAGCGACGATGAGCGACGATGTGATCGTAGTAGGGGACGACATGTAGATGACGATGTATCGTATGGTCAAGCCAAAGCTACAACAGTCAACGCTCGTGGTAGCGTCTTTTCCATAAATCATTGTATATGTATCATCCGGAGCATGGATACTCCGCTTGCAGCTTCCCATAACGACGACTGCGTTGTCAGTAAAGCTATCGTCACTGCCAAATCTTAGAACCCTGCGATTACGGAGAATTTATGCGACATATATAGAGTCTATATTTACTCTGTATCATATATGTATGTATTCGAGACACGAAGCGAAATATTTGAATAAACCCTTCGACATCGTTCGTTTGATCAGACTGACCTGAATGTCTTCATTGAACGCCGCATTCTCGGCTCCGATGGGAGATTCTGCCGGGCATTATAACGAAGAATTTCGCTGAATCGCTTCCCATAGAGACCTTCCTCGTCGAGGGGATTCCAAGATCTTATCGCTCGAGCCGATCCGCTCTCGCAGATCACGATGAAGCACGACTTCCAGCAATGATCGGGCTCAGGAATAGAAATGGCCGCCGTAGATGAGCCAGGCCAGTTCCCTGGTGTGGGACGGGCTGAGTTTCCACGAGAAACTCAATTCACGATCGCGTCCACCGAACGGTTTCCACGATTAGACGTACCAGCGCAGCTGCAGTAGCTTGTATCTATTCTTCGCGGGAACCCAGCATAGCCTCGAACAGCCCAACGCGAAATGCTGAGCATGATCATCGGGAAGGACCGAACTCAATATTCGAGATGACCTCATACGGTGCGAACGGGAGACAGTCCACAGTTCATACGTCATGGATTAAGGACAGGGGAGGCTGAACTAGGGATTCCATTCATGAAAAAACGATGCTCTGGAAACGGTAAACTTCCCGAAAGTCCGTGGCATTTATTCTCTACGGCTCCAGTCCGATTCTCAAACAAATGTGCTCGTCAATCGTGAACATGATTCCATCCTCGAGTCGAGGAAAACGAAAAGCGACGATGGGCTTATGGGGCACTCAGTGAGCTCCCATCTCTCTCGAACGATCTCTTTGACTGAATGGAAGCCTCTGTAGGAGCCTTCTAAGTAAGTCACATTTCTTCAGCTGACAGATTCCATTCTGGAAACCACTCAATCCATATGATACATCAGTCCTGAAAGCAGCCTGGCGTCATCGGAGGATGCCTCGCTCGGTGTCCTTCTGGTGGGGTCCTCGTCAAGCTTATTGCTTAGGTAGGTGATTCTGAATGAAACTCTCTACTTCGTCCATCTCCTGGAAAGGGACGAGCAGACTTCAGTTCTCGATCACGTACGAGTCGGAGGAATTCCTGGTCGACTACAGCTGCGACCGATGTCATGCCGATGAAAATGTTATTTCGACGTTCTGGAGTCGCGGTTCTCTGAACCTGGTCATGGAGGCCCTCATTCAGGATTGACAGACTAGAAAATGGATGTTCCACGATGCCCTGGGATGCTGATCGGCCGAAGCCACGCACCAGCAGGCTTCACTTTCGTCAGCCTCGCTTCATGACTAGGCTGCGCCATATGCAAGGACAGAGGACGAGCGAACGAGGCGACAGCGCTGCAGGCTGTCCTCTTATTAGTGGGTCAACGAACCTCTTTGCAGCTGGAGTGCCCCATTCCGGCATAAACGCTGAACTTGACGTTCGGATTGAACTTCTGAAGTGCGGTCGCCGTCATCTGGCCCCACCGTCGCGGTACGATGTCATCGGCGTCTCCGTGACCCATGAAAATTGGAACTTGACCATTTGCGCTGATGTTCGCGGGGATCTGGTCGGCTAACGGCAGCCACGTCGACAATCCGATAATTCCTGCGAGGGCGAGAGCACGCTATAGATATACGAAAGTTGACAAAATCAAACAATCGAGATAATAAAACGAGACCCCATCGAATAAACGCACCTGCCAGCTTGCTTTTATGCGTCAGCGAGCAGAAGAGGGCCAAAGCCCCGCCCATGCTAAAACCGCCTACAATTATTCTCTCGGAAGGGATCCCTGCCGATTCCTCATCTCTGATGATTTTCTGGACTGAAGAGAGTTCGAAGAAGGAAGTTAGTTCCGCTTGGAAGCATAGACGACAAATCGATCCAGCGAATGGTCGGAAGTAGAACTCACTGGTCTCACTGGCCGCTTTGATTCCGGCTTCATCTTGAGGGCCTTCGGCATCTAGCGAGTAGAGGTTGAACCAAGCTGGCATGCGCATCCCCATGTTCAACGCGACGGGGATCGAAGGTCTAGAAAAAAAAGCCTTGGATTCAGATAATGCTTTTTTTCGTTGATCGGCCCATTAACGAACAGATCAGATGAATCAATCGGTAGGCCAGGGAATGCCAGAACACGTTCGGGACGATAGCCGATGGAGGTGAAAATCTCAAGGGGTACCCAAAGCTTCGGAATACTCACGCGGTTGGGCATATGTATTTGATATGGGGTTTCCGAATTCGCTGAAGCTCTCCGGACCACCCATGACCAGTATCCCCGAGACCGTGGAGGAAAATCACCTGAGGCGAGATGGATTGAATCAGCCGGAGTCAGTGACTTTCATATTCTCGAGATAGCTTCGGTGAGTCGACAACGACTTCGAGACGTCGCGGAAGGAGGATGAGAAAGTTCTGAGAAATACTGAGTACTTCGAATGATTTGCGATTTTTGAGTCAGAATGCAACAGGAAGTTCCACTCCTCTTTCAAGCGAAACTCGTTTCGAGGAACAGTCCCTCGCACCGTTCAGGCCGACCGGAGGCTCCATCTTGAAAGGAGGGACTGTAGAGTAGCCAAGATCGGAATCTGGAGAGTATTCCGAGCTGTTGTCCCAACCGGCTGTCAGAATTCCCCGACAGCCCTCCGAGTCTGCTTACGAGCGCTACGCCCGTTGGTGCGCTCTCAGGCGAGCTGAGATGAAACTAACCGTTGCAGTGTGCTGCTCTGTTGCAGGGACGATGACTGGGGCTGCCATTTTCGAGCTCCTCGTTCCCATAAAAGTCCGTCGCAAAAGTCTGTATGCAATCCCACCCGAACGACGGGGACTAGCGGAGTGGAACAGGGATCCCATCGTGACACCGACACAGAAGCCTCCTTCCGACCTTACCGGGAGTCTTGGGAGGTCGGCTGGCGGAAGGTCAAAGCAAAACCTTATCGATTAGCTCTCTAGAACCCCTCCGTCTTCTTCCGTTCCTCCAGAGGTTCCGGACGAACTTAACGAGTCGAGCGGAGTCGAGGGAAACGTGAATCGGACGACACAAGTTTCTGAGCTAAGCTTCTCCTCCGAGCAGAAGGATCAGTTTCTACAGAGTACACAGAGAACCGCACTTTCCCCTCCTTCCCTTTTCCTTGCCTGTGTTCGAACTCGAGCACGTTTCTGACTCACGATGGAAACTGCTAAAACGTATGGATCATCTGGTTTCGATGAAGGTTCGTTGTTTCCCGTTATTCAAGCAACGTTATTCGTGCAGCCGGTTCTGTGCCGCCTAACTCGCGGTTCGAACATCGTGGCCCAGAACGGAGTCAAGAAAACCTCGCGGAGTTGACTAAGAGTCTACAGGGTACTGATTCGGTTTCTCTCTGATTCAGATAAGATAAAAATTCCGGCTTGCGTTCACGCCGTCAGGCCGCTCGACGACGGCATGGGGAGGACACCGACCCAGCTCGAGCAAGTGATCTCAGCATATGATCGCCTAATAGATACCGCTGTGGCTCAGCTTCGCTCACTGGAAAACATCGACACCTCAGCCCCAGCATCGGAAACTCCAAGGGAGACGACGACAAGCGCAGCGATGCAGGGGCGGCGGAGCCCACTGAAATCGTCTCTAAAATCAGGAACGGCTTCGCTTGGCGAGAAGTTTGACTTTAAGTGGCCGAGCGACTTGAAGTATCCGCTGAGCATCGCCATAAAAGTCAGTTCGGAGCACATACCCGTTACACCGTGGCTTTTCCGCCGAATTTTCGGTCCTGCCGTTCACGTTCGCCTCCATAAACACTCATCATACGGAGAATCTCTCCCGGCTCTGATAAATGACAACAGGCGACTCCACCAAGCGGCAGAGCTCAAATTGATCTTCACTGTGATCGTCTATGGAAGCGGAAAGCTCGAGTTTATAGCTGATCCTCTCCGACAAGGAATTATCCGAGATGAGCATAATCTGCAACGGTATCTGATCCGACTGCTGAAAATATTCTCACCCATGGATCCGGTGGAAGACGCGTCGTCGGAAAATTACGTCGACATCGTGGGACGCGGTCTCCTTCAGAAACAAGCGCCTACCGCTGTTAAAAAGGTCCTGAGCTCCCTGGACGGGGAAATCAGGAGCAGAAATCTCCTCGTTCGATCAGACAAGCCAACTATTGCAGATTTCAGTCTCTTGGCGGCTAGCTACGGACATGATGTACAGAGCTTCCCGGCCATCAAGACTTTCAGAAACAATCTCGAATCCTACTTCGGTTTTAGAATCGACGAAAAACTATGGTTCAAAGCTGAATGTTGATAGCAACGATCGATGGCACCAATATCTTACTCCGAGCCGAGCCCCCGTGCATCGGAGGGTAGGGTAGATTTCTTGTAATAAAAAGGTACACACCACGAAATGAAGATTCCCACTTATTCCTACGGCAATGAAGACCGTTGGAACTTTTATTATTCATTGAGTTCGTTCATCATCGTCAATGTTCTGCCTCTTTCGATGATAATGGAAGTTGTTTCCCCCTCATGCTCATTATTGCCGCAAACCTCAGACACAATCAATTATCGAAGATAATATCAAGAATACTCGAAACGTCACAATTCGTGATTTCACCTCGGTACTGGATATGAAAGTAGATTCCTTCCATTGCAAATACATGAGAAATGCGTGTGATCCCCCCAAAATTACGAACGCAATCCTGAGGGTCGAATTCAAGCACTTGTTTAAACAATGAGAACGCACCGAAAACTCCGAGTGTCACCGTTCTGCCCAAGTGCGATTTTTAAAATTCGGTAGTGAGTAGGATGATCGTCACTCGTTTCGAGAATTGAATTAGCAATTGTTCATATCACCGTCGTATAAAAAAGAATAATGCGTCCACATAACATGATGCGAGAGAATCCTATCATGTTCAGACGCTTTGTCGATTGTCATCGGCTCGTACTCCATGCACACAAGGGATTGTAGAAAAAAAATCCAACAGAATGATTGGTATCTTCTTGATTGATTCGCTTATGTGATTGGTTAGGTATTCTCACAGTCAATCAGCTCGACATTCATATAGGTAAATGATGAGGTCTCCTCAACAATCACGGGCTAGCAACAGTTGATTCTCGATGATCCCGTGCCGTTGAGAGTTGACGTCAAATAAGAAAATCTCACTGTTCGTCATATCGGAACCCTGTGATATACGCCTTGAGTTTTCTTGAAGCTTGGAAACAGCTACTCACTAGACTTCTCCCCGAGCTTTCCCATGACCCTATTACTTAAGCTAGCGTTCACTATCAACACGTTGCGGTCGGAGCGAGCTGGTTCGACCTTTCTCAACATAATTTCATTTACATACATCACGCTCGTTAGGGTGCCATTGATTTTAGGGGATGCGGAGAATCCAGAGCTTCTCATGCAAGAACTGACCCAAACTTCTTCTTTCTATAACCACGTTCCTTGTCTCTGTTTCCTATCGAGAAGAGATACGATAGAGAAGAAAACCGTCGGGAAAACCATTAGGCCTTCGATCAGATATGCAGAAGAAGAGCGACTGATGGAACAGCGGATAATTTCAAAGGCGATCGAAATCAATGGAAGCGAGTATCCCGACTAATTGAACTATGTATTTTCTTTATCGCATACGGATAATTAAATTCATTGATTGATGGTCATCTACGCGAGGCGAGGAGGTTAGGATAGAAAGATAATAATAATCATAACGAGCACCTTCGGAACCCACCACTTGGAGACCAAAACACTGCCTATCGGTGATTCTGAAGGCTGTCGGTCGGACTCCTTCGAAAATGGAAGGTGAGATTTGGCTTAGGCGGATTGCCCGGATAGCTTTCCTACGACGTTCGGGCTCACGATCAAACGTGTTGAGTTGGGTCTACTTGAGGACATCTTTGCTGAGGAAAAACATTCCGAGAACGTATCCGACTGGGAGGCATTTCTCGGGATTTCCACGGTGGAGACTCCAGAGAGAGCCCTTCGTGGGAAGGAACACCCGAGTACCTAGGGGTCTCAAGAGCCATTCTATGGAATTGATTCCGCTGAGACGGTGAATGAGCTCGCTGAGACGGTGTCAAGAACCATGCCGGATGTATACAATAGCGGATTCGTAGTTCTAAAGCGATTCTCCGGTCATATATTATCGCCTCGGAGCTGAGAGTAGATAAATGCAAAAATCTCACTAGTCGATTGAAACTCTTCAAATATCTCACTATTCGAATGGATTGTTGCCCTTCGTTCGGGACCTCTGTATCCAAATCGATGAGGTATGTACATAGAGAACCAATGCACTTAGGTTTGGGGACCGATTGTACACACACTGTATCCGGATGATCGGTGAGTCGGGCGACAGTGTAGTGGGTTTCACAAATCACATGGAACTTCCGGAACCAGATTTCCGCGACTGATCGCCTGGATACTCTGTGAGCTCGTTCAGATGTTTCTCGAGTGGTATGGTCTCATTCCTTCTAAAATCGGTAAGTCATACCTAATCTCACATTTTGTCTTGATGTTCTCAGCAGTCAAGTTTCAGCAGCCGGCGGCCTTGAAGATTTATCAGGGGGCGGAGCAATTGGAGGAATTCTGATGCGGAAAACTCCCTCGTGTGTACATACAGCGCATCATGGTCGTTCTTGTCGGGATTGCTTGATAGCCGGGTCATGCAAGGTTTACCTCCTGTAGAGCGTCAAGACCACCGCTCCGAAGCTGAATGCCCTTAGAAGATTTTCACATAGGAACAATATCTCACTTTTCGATCTCACTATTCGTTTTGTGTTTACGTATCGGCGAACCTAAATCCCTGTACGGCAGCTAAACCTCTGGCCAGCCGAAGTCGTGTCCTGCCAGGGAGTAAAATTCTCGATTGAAAGGCGCGTAGAACTGCCGTAGACGGGATATGACTTTCGGGCCCACTTTCGGGTGTTTCCTGCCTTTGCTCTCATTCAGACAATGATCTTGTATATCGTCGGGGGGCCGCACGCAATAGAATCCCTTGGTCTTGTTGAAATAGAATGCGTCTTCGGATATTCTTGCCGGTAAGCCTGTGGAGGAAAAGAACACAAGCGACTCAGTCGGGTAAGGACGGACCTAATTACGTCACCCCAGTGGAGTGCCGAGATCAGAACGATCCTATCAATACAGTTTTTCTCATCAATACACCATCTCGGTCCCATGTCGAGATCACATTCTGGACACAGTCCTCCTGTAGATTGTTGGCGCGTCGAGAGAGCTTTGAACTGAACACGAAAACAAAGCGCAGCGACCGCAGCGCCCTCTAAGCAACAACATGGCGCCATCTTGTCCACACGATCCTTTTCCATAGCACGAGCAAGATGGTAAGTTCGTGCGAAAATAATCCGCGGGAATCCACAGTTTTCCTCGCTAATACGCCGTGCCATAAATTCATCGGGGAAGCTCGATGCTCCGTGGTGCTCTGAGTGGCTCTCTCGAGCGAATAATCTCCGGCGCTTAGGCGGGCCGCCAGGAGAAAATTCGTCCGACTGTGCGGCTCCTCTACTCAATGCAGATCTTATTCCGCGATCCGAGGAATGATCGGATTAGCCGTGATACCGAACCTACGAATTCATGACGGTGGTCACGAGTACGGGAAACCTAGATCACGGTGCACGCACGATACGCCGATCAGAAGGAAGGCCGTCAACTGCATACTTTTCAGAGCACACTCCTCCGCCCCGCCGGAACGTGGCCGTCACAAGAATTTCGTGCTAGATTCACTCCGCTTGACAGGAAACTTGACCATTCCAGGTGAACGTGCCGAAGACCCGCCGTACGTTCTGTAAGGGAAAGTGCAAGAAGCACACAATCCACAAGGTGACGCAGTATAAGAAAGGAAAGGATTCCATCTTCGCTCAGGGCAAACGTCGTTACGATCGTAAGCAGCGTGGATTCGGAGGACAGACCAAGCCTATCTTCAGAAAGAAGGTGAGTGCTGGCGACTGATGTTCACTCAGTTTCATCATGGACCGACACCGATGATCGAGCTGCTGGCTCCCTAGTGGCAGACCAGAGTTCTGATGTGAAGGACGTGCGCCGCTCCTCCACTCACTAGAACTCCGAATCCTTGCCTTCTAGGCTAAGACCACCAAGAAGATCGTTCTGCGTATGGAATGTGCTGATTGCAAGACCCGTAAACAGCTCCCCATCAAGCGATGCAAGCACTTCGAAATCGGTGGTGACAAGAAGAGGAAGGGACAGATGATTCAGTTCTAATTCCCTTCAAGTCTGTCGTTCTGTTAATAAACGGTCGATGTCCTGAAGGAATTCTTCGTTCGTTCTTCCTGTGTCCAGGCTGTATGTAGTACAGCCTGTATGTAGATATGACCAAGCCCATGAGAGACGAAAAACCCAGGACAGGGCGGCTCGACTCTGTTCGCGGGTCGTTTCGGGTCCCCCTCTAGGATCCATGTCCGCGTCGTGAGCGTGCTCCTTATGTCGTGTAGGGATACGATGATACGACGGGGTCCCTGGTCCAGAAGCCCAGATCTGCTCGATCGTTTTCCAATGGGCCTATATGGCACAATTCCCCTAGATCTCCTCGCGCGGTCCCGATGCATTAGTTCCCTGTTCTACCGATGTCGGAGATTATGCATCATCAAGCTCCTTCCTGGTAGCGTACCGCTGATCCTCTAGGAATGATCGAGGAGGTATCATGAGCGCCTCAGGTCGCCCAGTTGTCCTCATCGGTGGGACTCGCAGCTCTCCTCTCGGCTGATAAGCGAAAAAATGCAATGGGAGAGTTGACAGTTGCGTGAAAGCGATGCTGCGGAGAAAAACTGCGCAAATCGTGCGATTGGATAGGGAGGGAACGGCTTTCCCGGACCCGATCCATGATAATTCCTCCAACGAATCGCCTCGCCGATTCCGCGCATTAGCGGACCCTACGGGGAACGTGTCTACGTTTTTTTCTTGTTTACGTACAATCAGGGATATATCGATCGAGTGCACAATACGCCGGTGCAGAATATCTCTAATGAGGAACCGGAGCGATGTGCTCATCCCTCGCACTTGGCAACAATCGTGTCTCCGGCTAGATTCTCCTTGGACGATGCGAGCCAGAGCGCGACTGCCAGCTTCCTCGCGACCGTTTCTGCTCGTAACGATCCCGTCGCTTCCGTAATAGTCTAGTTTCACATCGATGTACTAATAACTCCGCTTATTATGCAGGCTCAAAGGAGCTTCCAATTAACCTTGACTCGCGCACGCTGCCTGGAACGATCACTTGATAGGTCCTTCAAGGATCCACTTCGCTTCCTCATTCGAGGAGCAATTCCATCGTCGCACTGGATCACTATGATAAGGCATGCAGCCGAGTCCGTAGATCCGCGTCCGAGATCACGAGCGCAGCTCTCGCCCCCGACTACCGGATAAGCACTACGCGAGAAGAGCGCGGGAATATGAAGGCTCTCTCCAATACGGGATCTTAGTTTCTGGCTTACCGAGAAAATTTTCGACCTTCTGAACTTCCTGAAAAGGTTCTCGTATGAGGCGATCTCCATCGATGACATGAATTTGACGCCTGGGGAAGTACGCCAACCATCTTCGGAAATACACGGCGTATATCGATGTTCCAACCGGTCGATACTCCGTGTTGACACGACCCTCTGGCGTGAGGACGACTTGTTCGAATAGTGGCACCTGGAAAAGGATCGTCGGTATGAGTTCTCCAGCTGAAGGTTGCGTGTCTCTGAGCAGGCGAACAAAAGCCGGACCCGATGCTGTCCCTGTCAGAGATATTGTCCCCGACGCGCTAATCATGAGGGGGGGAATTCGTGTAATTCGGGTCTAGCAAGGCGTTGTTTGAGTAGGGCACTTATTCGTCTACGAGGGAGAATTCTGTCAAGTCCAACCAATTGATGGGGAATCGGTAAATGTAGTTCTAGAGTATTCTTTTCGGAGCATGCTCCGCTCGAGGAAACGGTTGCCGGGTCTGCTTCAGATTCATACTGGGTCGAACAAACGGAGAAGAGCTCGGTAGGTGTCGCCATTACCTCCTTACCCGCGGAGATATGCCAGCGATGTTGTCGGAATGTAGACTCGTCTGCCACTCCACAAATTCAATATGCGTTCCTGCTCCGACTTCATAGAACGACGCCACACGACTGACTGATTGTGGTTCCGCATCCAATAGCAGCTCTTCGCCATTTCCAGCATCGATCAGCCGAATTATCATACAGAGAGGATCGCTTATGAGCAACATATGCCGCCTGAATCGGCTGACCCTTGCCATGGTCGGGAATTTTTTCAAGAAGTCCGAATTCCGCGGAGCTGCCACCGGTTTTTTGCTGAATTTTATTTTCATGAATGCTCTCGACGGGGGTATTCCGAGAAGTCATTCAGCTTGAAATCCTCCCGAACGAGAACCTGACGAAGCTCTGGAGGCTGGACAGACAGTACTACGCAGGAGGAACAAGAAAACCTGGTGGACGGAGGACGATTTCCGGGGAAATGACATGTTCGGATCTCTCACGCTTAGGGATTCCCATCGGAGACCCACATCGGAGGGACCCATCGAGGATCTGTGAATTATTGTCGGTACCTGGCGCGCACCTGGTCTCGGTAAGCGCCTCGAAAACCGGAGCCCTGACTGAACGAGCTCTCCGTCTGCTGCATTGTCGATTTCCTCGCACATGAGTCCACGAAACGGTCGCTGTCGTCCACATCAAGGTCGACTGGACAGAGCTGGACTGCACGCAAACATCGCGTCTCCGAGCCGCGGTTTGCGATACGTTATTACACACTACTGTCGGAAGGGCACATCAACGATCCACTCAGACGGAGAGCGAGCCGATGGCGCAAAATAACCCTCCTTCAACGAGGCAATCCGAAGACCAGCCTCCGGAAGCTGACAGAATCCAGAGCGGACCGCGTCCATCAAGCAGTAACTTGCGAAATCGCAGTCTCCGTATCACGGTTGCTATCGATCGCGAGGAGCGCCCTTCTACCAGATTACGTCGAGGTCAGGAAATACCCTCCGACTTTGGGAAGATTTCTTCGACGTCCGTGATTTCTAGCCGATATCTCGGTTACTGCTCTCTGCCAATCGTCTGGAAACGGAGAGACGGCCGGGCAGCCACGAAGCACGGTCCTGTAGAACGAGATTGGATGTCGACTCTTCTCGTCCTCTTGAAACGTTGATTTCTTTGACTGGGAGCGGTGTATCAAGCGAACGCCATCAAAGAAGCCTCTCGAGCTCTGGAGTGTCCTTTGGTTCCTCTCGGATATTTTCCCTCATATGCGTCTCCCTCCAATTAGGGTGGGAGTGGTTCCCTCTATGTACGTATGAGGTAGCATTTTCGAATCGTCCGTTGAGCAAGGCGCTGGCCTCTGGCCTACAGAAGAAGTAGGTCGCGTTCTGGCATCGAGTTCGAAACAGGAGCCGACAAGGTCGACTCGAAGTCGATTCCCCACGCTTCTTGCTCTTACGCAGCCCATTATCCGACTTGCCGATTCCGAGGCCTCACCGACCACGACCAGAGAGCGAAGCGACGAAGTCCAGCCGAGCCGACGGAAAGGTTACAGCCCACTGTCCCGAAAACTCATTGGCCCGAAATCTCAATGGCCCGAAAAACCAGTGTCCCGAACGGTATCTGTCCCGAAAGCGCATTGCCCCGAAAAAATGAAAGCTCAGCGTAGCTTCTATGCGGAGATGTGCATCTAGCACATTTTTTTCGCTCTTATATTCTGTCATATTATTACGTACAACCTCAGGGGTATCACAAAGAGCCACGGCTCAAGACAACCACCGTCTCGAATCGGTGAGGCTTGATACAGTTGAGTGGTTACAGCCCACTTGAGTGTCATTGAGAGTACATACAACGTGTGCGAACAACGTCTAACATATTCCATGAGAGTCATTTCATGGTTTTCATATTGTCGTACCGTTCCAGTCTTTGATTTAGGAGTATGTATTTTTTCCGCAGCGGCTTCGGAGGGTGACCGACGTCCAATAGAAGTCTGTCCGACTTGTGCTTGCTCTAGTCCTGTTTGAGATGGCCTATCAAGACAAAGATGATCGCGTGGCTTTCCTTGACCATTCGATTCAAGGCACTATGCCATGCTTCGATATTATTTTTCGTGCGCGGTCCAAAGTTTCTAAGGGGAGGAAATTGAAGGATAAGGCAACTCAATCATTCGTACAGTACCCGCATAGAAGCTTCGCTGAGCTCTAAATTTTTCGGGGCAATGCGCTTTCGGGACAGATCCCGTTCGGGACACTGGGTTTTCGGGCCATTGAGATTTCGGGCCAGTGGGTGCACCCCGACGGAAAGCAGCTGTTTCTCGAGGACAGAGGAAAAAATATCTCTCTTCCGTGCTACGTCGCAATTAGCGGACAGCGTGGCGACTTATTGCCTCGCCTCATGGTCCTTGCCCATCATCTCCCGAGCACTTTGCAATTTTCGGCGTGTACGCTTCTTTTGGCTTCTTTTCCTCTCCACAAGACCATAAGCTGGCGTCCGGAAACTTTCCTCCACATTTTCCACTCCAATAATTCCGAGTTGGATTCGAGAGAGGGAGGATCAACATCGAAATCGAACATTTGATAGAATAAGTTCCTACGGGACGCCGCAGGTCCCGATTCTTTTGCGTCGATGGCCGCTTCTCCGGAAATAGCGTTATCAGGCATCCGAGAGAGCTGAATAATGGCTGGATAGCAAGGATAGTACCGGATGTTCGATCCTTGGAAACTGGGCTATTCATCGGGATCGATCATCGATTCGATGCTCGGAGACTCGATCGATCTGATGCAGTTCATTCAACCTTTTTTTTCCGCACATTCAGCTCAGCCCTAGAGCCTTAAAGGCACTATTAGCAGGAACATTAAAATTGCAGTTTTGCGAATCGTTGAGGTAATTGCGTCGCGATCATAAGGAAATTAGAATAACTACCGTCCGGGAGCGAAATTGAGGGAGCAGGAATTGAAGCTCGTCGTTCCGCGTTTGACTCACCTTGTTTTTATCTTTGCCGGCACTTTCTCTCCGCATTCTTCGATTTTCGGCCAATTGGGCGTAATCCGAGATAAGACGCACGACAGGATCCCTCACAATTAGCAGCAGTCGCAGTGACGAATTCATGGCCCACATTCGCTCGGGAACTCGATCCGTAACGAAATAAGCTGGCGACTTCTCAATCGTGATCTGGAAACATAGTTCAGTAATTACGGATAGGCTAAGCCAACTCCGATAAACTCCAGGTGGAACTCGAATGATGATAGCTTCTGAAGAAGCCGGTCTTCGACTTCGACCAAGCGAAAACGTTGCGGAGCTCATGAAGGTTCTCTCGCGAAGCCTTGACGGTGGTAGCACATCGGGGAAACTGGAGTGGAGAACCTTCGGAGCGACTTCTGAACGACGAATAATCTGCATGAGATTGCCGTAAGGTTTTCCATCTGTCCCGCCAATCCCACAATAGGCTGCGCTCACGAGGGACATTGTAGAGAATCTGGTGAATTTATACGACATCCGTCTCTCATATATCCCGCATGCGCTGATTCCGGACATATCATTCTTTCCACGGATCGATGGAGGCGCATAAGTCTTCGCTTCCGCAGTCTGTATACTAGTTCAAGCCTACAGAGCGCCGACGATGTTCGATTCATATTCTTTGCCGCTAACAAAGAAACCGTGAAACTGAACAAGTCCTTGCGTGCGGGGGAGAAGCTAGGCGCTCCCACGGCGATATTCAGACAGCGTTGTGAGCCGAACTGGGGCTCTTTCGATCTCGCGTTATCCTGCCTCGGGCCCACGTCCTACCGCAGCGACATGCTTAACAATGAGCGTGTGTCTTCTGGGATCGCCATTCATCGGCGAACCTATCCTTCGTCTTCCCTGTGCCCCTCTCAGTCTGTCTCAAGTCCGATCGGCCACATCTGATATGGAATCCGTACAGACTGTTCCTCCTCCTGATTCGCGTGGACTCACGACCGCACTTGATGCATAAGAGGTCGACGTTATAAATGGATGCATGGAAGATTCGCTCCGAATCCTGGGGTACACGTCTCAAGAGGTTCCTCCGTCTTCCTCGTTTCGGTACGCGGGTCTGCACGGAATAAGGATTGAGCCCACACGTGGGGAACGGAGATTGGACCGAGTTTTGAGCGAGATTCCCCGAGGCGGGTTCCTCGACCCTCTCGATGGAGTCCTCATTCAAAGCTTCAGCGGAAGGGGAGAGAGCTTCGCAAGGACCGAGAAATTAAACCTGATCTGGGTTCCCGCTCTCGAAACCACCGTTACCGGAAACCTCGACTTTTCCATGAGGGATTCCGAGTAAACGAGATGCCACGCACTCGATATATCGAGCCGAGGAGTCATTGTTTGGCGGGAGTCCGATAGTCGGCAACCTATAGTTCACTCTTTTCCATCGGAGTCAAGTAGTTTATCGAACTCCAATCGGAACAAACGAATTTACTCGGAATCCCGGAGCATCGTATTGGCGGGAGGGCTTGTATCGATGGGTGATGACATGTTCCGTTCTGATCGATGGCGCGGTGCCTTCTCGAGCGTGCCGCCCGGATTTTGATTGTCCTTGAGAGGACACGGCTCGAAACTCGACTCGGCTAGCCCCGGCTCGTATGGTCGTCCGCGCATTCATCGACTCTGGTATGCAGTGAATGTTGTCGTGTTCGAATCACTCGTACGAGAGGCGGAGGGGAACAAGCGCCCATGGCATCACTCAATAACTTAGCTCTCGCACCCGCAGTAGGAGGCGAAATCTCACCCAGAGAAAACATTCTAGAGCGGCTGCTCTCGCTCAGGGCAAACACCCGGATGGAAACTGATCGGATGACTGAAGCCCGAAGCTCACCTGTTCTGAAGTTGAGGGCGGCATTCGCGTTCTGTACCAATCTAGTCCCATTCTGTATTTCGTGTCGTCGTCGAAGAAATGAACTTCGTCTGTAGCCTTCTCGATCCCTGGATGAAGATTCAGAAATTCGAGCAACGCACGCGTGCCGCCTTTCCGTGCTCCTGCAACCAAACCAGCGATCCAATCATAGTAATTCAGCATACGAATGTTGCGAAACGATATTGATCATGCTTCTCATCAATGTTTATCGATTTGAACGGAGTGCAGATGAATGCGCTCGCCCCTAATAACTACGTAACGAGAGCTTTGCCTTACCGATTATGATGCACTGCGGGAGCCTCTTGACGGCACCTGCCCGTGCAGGCGGAGTGGAAGAATCGCCCGAGTACGTGAGGTTCTCGGTGACCATTATCAACATCTGGTCGGGTTGATTCGAAGGCATCTGGGACGATTGCTTGAGTGCGGCGACAGGAGTTGCTTGCATCACGTGATTAAGTGGCCCCATGGAGTAATCGGAAGGGGGGGACGGAGGTGCCGGAGGCGAAGGAAGCGGCTGCACGAGCAACACGTGCAGAAGCAGGAAACAAGTGGCCGATAACACCAGCAGAAAAAGTCGACGCGTCTGCTGGGTCGCCATGGCTGCTGGGAAGTCAACCCATCTGCAAAAAATACCGTAGGAATAATCACTGACCGTCAATATTCGCCGATTGCCCGTATCCAGACCGTTTCCGAGGAAAACCGCTAATGTCTCTTTCCCCAGAGCATTTATTGAACTTTATCGAGTTCCGGCTGTACGTTCACCCACGCTTCTTCTCGGAAGTTTTCCGTTCGTTCCATCCGAGTTTTCTGCCCCACGGCTCGGAGGTGAATCGGCGATTCGCCGAGTCGCGGTCGTGGACGAGCTTTCCGGAGTCTTCTCCATCCCAAATGTTTTCTATTTCCGTTGCTGCCCGACATGGGCGTAGCCAATAGTTTTCCGGAAGGAGGAAGCCCGAATTCTATGACGGCGAATGATCGAGATGATGACGCGCCCACTCCACTCCTAAACTCGAGAGTTACGACCGAAAAATCTTAGAGGAGTGGGAGAGTGCGGTCCTTCGCCTCGTTCCGTTCAGGAACGCCGACGCACCGACTACATAGCGGAACTCGATTGATCGACGCAGACGGCTAGGGAGGCGAGGAGATTCATTCGTCTGATTCACGCAATTCCCACGAGATATTCTTACCGTGCCGGGAAGCCTACCCCGCATACGGTCGGAAGTCTTCCGGATGGATGCTATTCATATCGATAAATGCAGATTTCCCTGAATGACATCCGTGGGCTCGATCTCGGATATCCGAGAGGTTTTCGATGATCCCGCATGTCGAATATGTTTTTCTTTCCAATTCCGAACGACTCTCTCATCCGGGTCGATTGCGTGCTCGACAAGGTCCCGACGCGAGTTCGCATGTTTGAAAGGATGCATCTCGAAAATTCGCGTAGGCGTTCGAATCAGCGCTCGCATTGCACGAGTTCGTGGTGGCCTTTGTGGTTCAGAACTCTGTTTCCCCAACGTGCTATTTCCTTTCGTTGCTCGCGAGCTGGTGTAGTACATACAACTACGTACAAGCACGTTAGCTTGATTAACTAATTGACGCTGGGGGAGGGCAGACGGCGGCGATAGCGTGGCTAGCGTTGGCACAGACGCCGACGAGCGCATTGGTAACGAGCTCTGGGAACACGGGCTCCGATGTAGAGTAGCGGAGGGACGCGTCCTATTCGCAGGTCGCCTTCAGAAGTTTAGCTAAAAATTCCCAATTCAAGTTGTGCCGTTTATTCCTCTCACGTTCCACACCTCCACGAGCCCGGACCCCACGGTCAGAGGACCTCTCCGCTGTCCGTCCTCGTGTGCCAGATCGTCGTCCGCATACTTTAATTGGAAATGCTCCCAAGTCCTCTGGAAATCCGCTCCCTCGAGAGGCGAAAATTGGAAGACATGTTCCCAGTTGTCCTTTGAACCGCATCGGATTCCACTCCGCTTTCATCTTCCGTCGGAGATTCCGATGATCATGAGTTTCAGTCTCCCAACTTCAGGCCCCAGAGCCCACTGCGGAATCTCGCGGCATCGCGAATAAGCGACATGACCTAGCGAAAACGTTCCGAGAGGCGTGTCCTACCGCGGAGGTTTGCGGCCAACAGCCCGCTACGCCGCGGAATATTCTATGCAAATTGATGCGGAAAAGTATTGCCCGTTTAATGGAATGTGCAGCCGGCTCCAGCTGCCGTTCCCATTAATCGGTCGACGACCGTTAGCGCTGCGCATCTGAGCCGACAAAAGATGCGCCGGACAGCTGCAGGGCCGACCGACCGACTGCCGCGCCAATCTGCCAACGACGAGGCGCGGGAAAAAAGGTTTGGCAACGCATTACGACACTCTCGCTCACGACCGCGGCTCACAGACGGAGCATCAGGGCAGGAGTTGGGGAGCTCCATCATGAGCGAGCAGGCAGATGGACCAACCAACCAGTGGGCGGACTGCTGCAAGACAAGGCAATGCTACTAATGGACGACGAAGTGCGCCGTGCTCTCAGAAATGCTAATCGTACAGCAACGACTCAGACGGATGTCTTTCTTTCGCTCGCTCGCCCGCCGAAATCATTCGCTTTCCGTCGTGAGGCGTTAGAAGACCCGTCGGTGGCGAGCTCGTCGTGTCGGTGTCCAGTAGAAGTCAGAAAAAAGCCGATTCGACGTCTTCAGCAAGGCTTCCGAAGGAGATTGACGCACACCAAACGAGGGAGCGGAGAATTGTATCTCTTGGGATGGCTGGGAACCGACCTTTGCTACCATTGTTTTTTCCCAATACCTTTCTGCCTCGGTCAGATGGTCGATTCCGACAGCGAGCCGGCTTTATTTCGAGTATGACTCTTTGACAGTGACGGATCTTCCAGGCAGATCCGGCGATGGACACGTACATCTTGTTTCGTTTCCCTCCAGAGATGTTTACATTCAGACTGCCGACGGGAAATGCCTGGCGCAAAGGGAGCATAGAGCTCCAACATGATTTGCCCGAAACGTTTCCGGGGTGGCACGCAACACCGTGTCAAGTCTTCTCCGAGCAGACCTCTCCCCAAGTTCCTCGTTCGAGGCTCATCGACTCCCCGCGCGGCCGGAGCAACTCGCTTCGCGAATGCCGCCGCTTTCGATGGAGGCATACACTTCAAACGGGAATCTCGCGCCACTCGCATCAGAGAGAAAACGATACTCGAACATATATGAAGGGAAGAGGAGCGATGCTTCCCCTCGAGTAGTCGGCGCGTTCTACTATTATTTGTGCCGGGTGGGAATTTAATCGGGGGGCTCCCTGCCTCGGACGTGTCTCGCAAGCCACAAACAACTTCTCCATTTGCGCAGTGGCCGAGGCTGAAACTTCTGCACGCGCTTTTTACTGTGGCGCTTAGCCGAGCGACCAGAAACGTCCGACTGCGGCTCACCGCTGGTCGGAGCGGCGGCAATGGTGCCTCGGCTACGGGCAGGGGTTAGACATCCAGCCGACAGTGAGTCGACAAGGGCAAGAACAGAAGACCAACTCAAATTAGATTAATGCACTCCTTTCCTGTGAGCCGAGTTCTTGCTTAGCACAAAGAGAAGTCGTCGTCCCCAGTGTTGCCGGAAGGCAAGAGTAGAGAGCCACCGTCGTCACACCGAGCTCCGAGAGTATAGGTCTCACGCGGAGAATGAATTCAAGCTCAATTTCTTCCCCGTCGGCCGTATCATTCAACAACAGGATTCCCTGATCGATGGGCATCTTGATGCAAAATCAAATCCTGCGGTCTCATTCCGGCGATTACCGTCGGTCTGTTCGGCAGCGGTTTCGAGGAACTTCGGCGGGGTAGAGTCGCGCTTGGAGCCGCTTTCGCAGCACGGAAATCGCGAACGACCGGAAGAGAGCCAGGACCGCAGCTTAAATTTTCTAGTAAACCGTTTCGGGGATCATCGAGTCGGAGAACGGTGTTGCGACGGCTCCAGAATAGCGGGAATCTATCGAGCTTATCTCCTTCAATGACCCTTATGGGATTTCTGGACGGAAACGGAAAATCTCAACCTGTACAGACGATAAGTCTGATGCTTCGGAGCTACTTCCCGATGCTCTCCACGATGACTGAGTGGATTGTATGTGACCGTGCTTCCGCTCCCAGCTCGAGTGCGGCACGGCGCGGTGCCGGGACGAGATTCACCCTTCTCGCTTAGATCTCGCAGCGAGATGCGCGACTCCGGACGCGCATCGGAATGGTCGAATGCGTTTTATCCTGCTTCGTGCAAGCACCCGTCTGCATTCGAGAATGAAGTATATTTTCACCAGCATGGAACACACATATTCACGCGGGCAGAGGTTTTGCGTATTCAGCATCTAGAATATGAATGAGACCGCGGCATCCTGGCCCGATTCTAGGCATCGAAAGTACCCTCGTGTGCGGCAAGAGGCCTTCTCGACATTCCCAAGGGCTCCCGTCCCCCACCTGGCTCTCCTTCACTCAGAAAGGCCGACTTCCTCTATTTCTCCTTCTTTCCGCGGGTTCCCGGACGAGAATTGCATCCCAGCTGTAAAACTCAAACAAATCCGGATTGCGTCAAAAGTCCGTACTCGGCACGGACAGCGGGGACTAGATTTCATTCCTCCTTCCCTATCTGCGGAGGTGTTCTCCTCAGTAAACAAATACACCGGGGCCTCTGGTCCGGCGCGAACGAGTTTCGCGTAGGTGTTTTATACGGGGTACGATACTTCGTATTTCGCGATCCCACGTACCCACAGCACATAAGCGGTACCGGAGATCCTCGGAATACATTCGGTGAAAGAAAAGAGGAGACGTACCCGATGTTTTTAATCGAGCGATCTTGGCGGGGATAAACGTCCCCGCCGTATAGGTGTTCAGAGCGCGGAGACTCTTCCCCGATCCCTCCCGTTCAAGAACCCCGATCTCCAAGTGAGTAAACATCGCTCTCAATCGAGCTGGCGGGAGCAAGAAAAGCGAGCACGTCGAACAAATGGCAAGAGCTCCTCGTTCATATGCACGTAGAGGGAGCATTCGGTTTTTCGGTGAAGTCCCGCTTAGTTCGAAATCTCCGCGCGCTGCCTGGCAATGTTCGCACAGCCCCGGCTGCTGCTTTGTGAAGGACAATTTGGCGGAGAAGCTCGACTCTCGTTTTTTCCTGGCAGCAACGTTTTTTCGCCGGTTTTCCCATTCGAGGAGGAATTCGCGTCAGCCGGCCGGCGGGCCGGGCAGCCAGCCGACGTTTTGGAGAGTACGACGCAGTCTGTTCGCTCGCGACGGCTGTTATTCTCAAAGAGGAATACGACGACAGCTCGCACTGAATGTATGTCGCTTCCTCACACAACGACCGGTGAGCAGCACAACGAGATCCGTGAGAGCTCGCAGGAATGCATGCATGCAGGAAGCGTGCGGGCATGACCTCACGCGGAATCAGCGGACCGACTCCGCGCGAGTCACTCAGTCGGTGGAGAAGGA